GGGTATTGCTGCCAGAGAGGAAGACCAAGTTGATCAGACTCGGGGAGATCCAGTCGTCGGCAGCGAGAGTTAAGAGTTAAGCAGTAGAGTCGATAGTTCTGTCAAAAATATGTCGCGTGGGCGATTCCGGATTAGGAAGGGGACACGCGACACGAGAGCGCTGAGACTAGACAGGTTCAAAGACTCTTGATTCCGTCTAGAGTACGCTACTGTAACGAGAGTACGAGGTCGGGTATAAATACGATACGTACGAGACGCCCGAGTAACAGGGATTACCGAGAAGTCGAGTCCATGAGTAATGACAGTCGGCGAACGCATGGTCCAGGTGATGGGAATGAGCAAGCAAGGAGTAGGAGTAAGTAAGCAAGAGGAACGGGATCAGATGGAGGAGGTACGAGGAGATGATGGGAGTAGGTACGGCGGGATGGAGCGAGAGCGAACGAGCGCCGGGCGCTACAGCGTCCGAGTCGGTGCCCGCGGAGCCCGGGACGGTGGTCGCGAGTCGCGAACGCACACCGACACCGGCCTGCTTCCTGCGCTCACGACGACCGTTGCGGGTGTCCGCCCCGCTCACTCATAGACTGTTTCTCTCATAATACCTGGCTTGCATATACCCTCTGTTCTAGACACGCAGCCTCGACCGCTCTTTCAGCATGTCGGTCGACTCGCAGAAGAAGGAGCTGAACGCCTTCTTCTCGTACTTCGCCACCTTCGACCTCGCACGCCCCGTCACGACCATCGCAGACCTGTCGGATGGCGCGGCGCTGTTCGAGATCCTCTCCATCGTGTGCGTGCTCAGCTCCCTCGACCGGACACGCTCACCCTGACCGCCGCGTCGCCCCCGCAGCGATGCGGAGTACTTCCGCCAGCCGGGGCGGCCGGCGGCCCAGCCCTCAGACAACTGGGTCCTGCGCTTCTCCGCGCTGAAGAAGCTCTACCGGCTGATGACCCAGTACTTCTCCGAGGTGCTGCACCAGCCGACGGGTGCGCTCGAGGTGCCCGACCTGCAGGCGATCGCGAAGGACTACAACGTGAACGCGACGCTCATCCTGTGCCGCCTGACGATCGCCATCGCCGTGCAGTGCGAGAACAACAAGGAGATCATCGAGCGCATCCAGAAGCTCACGGAGTCCGAGCAGCATGCGCTCATGCGGGTCATCGAGCAGGTGCGTGCCTTGTCTGTCTATTCGCAGAGCGCCTCGTCCGACATCGTCCTGGACAGACCATGACGAAAGTCCGGAGCTCTGCGGAAGCGGGGATGGAGGCGAGCATGACCGAGTGCGTGATTCGAGGACGCGTGCGCGAGCGTGCGGATGAGATTGACCCGGGTGCTCGCACAGAGACGACCACTACTACCAGATCCAGTCGGAACGGAGTCGGATACTCTCGGAGAAGGAGACGTTGGAGAAGGTGTATCAGTCCCTCTTGGAGGAGCACCGGACGCTGCAGACCAACTACGATGACGTCGTGTCGGAGAAGGACGATGCTCTCGCGCAGCTCAGGCAGGCGCAGCGCGAAGCTGATAGCAAGCGCGTCGACACCAGGGGAGATGCGATGATGCGGGGCGAGATTGACCGTCTGCGGGCAGACCTGTGAGTCTCGACTGGGGAGGTGGTTTCGCTACTAGGCAGCTGATACTGAAAGGAGGGATCTAGCCAGAAGAGCGAGGACAACCTTGCCATGGCGGAATCCGAGCTTGACAAGCAGACAGTGCTTGTGACCGAGCTCACTCGCAAAGTGGACGAGCTCCAAGTTACAGCAGATGAGGCTACCCGACTGAAGGACCAACTCGATGAGTGCGTACTTTGCAAATAACACTACTTTGATTATGATCTGACGTTTTCAATCAGATACCGGCATGCAGCTGACAAGCTCCAAAAGACGGAGAACGTCATGGAGAAGTACAAGAAGAAGTTGCAGGAGGCGGCGGACATGCGCCAGCAAGTCAAGGTAGCCTCGGTCCACTACTGCCTCTCCGTAGCCACTGAATACCTTGCAGGCACTAGAAAAGCAGAATGCAGACCTTGTGGATAAGAACGCCGCTCTTGAGGACGAATATCGGAAGGTTGCGGCGTTCAAGCCCCTCATGGAGTCGTACAAATCGCAGATTGCGGAACTAGAGACTAAAGCCTCCGCTCGCAGCAAGGAGATCGACGCGCTCAACTTCGAGCTCGCGCAAACTAAGAGCAAGCTCAAGGCCGCTCAGGAGGAGCGCGCGAAGGACTCCGAGACCCTCGAGCTCTACCAAGAGCGTGTGCGCGAGCTCGAGCTCACTTCGCAACGTCCAGTGGCCGCGTCGCGCGCACGATCACAGCCGGCAGATAGCGATCCTACAGGAAACATGACCGAGTTCACGGAGGCCGAACTGCTTGGCAATGAAGGAGCGGCCACAGATGTCGACGACGATGTTACGGGTCTCGGTGACGAGCTCGACACCGCGATCGCAGGCACGACCATGACGGACCTCAAGCTGCAGGTGCGAAAGCTCCAGCGCGAGCTCGAGGCCGTGCGCAAGAACGAAGCGGACGCCAGTCGCGTGCTCGTGCTGGAGAACCTACTAGACGACGCGAACCGCATGAAGGCGCGCTACGAGGCGGACTACTTGGCCGCGCATCGCGAGAAGCTCATGCTGCAGAACAATCTTGAGGAAATCAGGAGCGGGAAGTCGCTCGGCGATGGGTGCGTTCGCATACCGTTTCGTGCACGCTATGTGTCTGACATCGGTGCAGAGCGGAGGCGGCGATCGCTCTCCGTCAACGTCTCAATGAGACTGTAGACGAGCTGGACAAGCTCAAACAGGAGCATGCCGAGCTCGCAGTCAAGTTCGAGGCGATGAACAAGGAGCTCACCGTTGCGAAGTCCGACTGTATGCCATTTCCTCTCGCTTCAGTTCCTGGAGGGTCTTGTCTGACTGGAAGGGACAGTGACGCTCGTCAACCGCGATCAGCTTGACATTCTCAAGACCCTGCGCGAATCCGTCAACGAGGACAAGGCCGAACTCGAAGCCGAGCTCGACCGCCTCCGGACGCAGGTTAAGGAGCTCTCGGACAAGAACAAGATGCAGCTCGAACAGATCAACGGCCTGCTCCTCGAGAAGGTCAATCTCCAGAGCGAGGGTATCGACCAACGGGACCGGATGCTTCAACGCGAGCGTGCGATTGGGTGGGTCAAGCATGCCATCGGGTGACTGAAACGTTTGCTGAGTGTGCTGTAGCGATCTCCGCGCGTCTCTTTCCGGGAAAGACGTGCCCGAAGACATCAAGCAGCGCATGCTTGCCCTTCACGAAGAGAATGTCAGTCTCAAGGAGCAATACAAGACTGCTCAGGAGAAGCTTGTCAAAGCGAAGGCTGTACGTATCACACCACTCTACTGTGCACCCGCTTCAACCGCTCATATGCATGTCTCTGTAGTTCATTAAGCAGCAGGACAAACTGTTCAAGGAAGAGCACGCGAAAGCTGGCGGAACCATTCCTACGGTCAGTGTTCTCCTACAAGACAAAGTATTCATTCATATTCATGACAAACCAGGGGGCGTTCGAGGAAGCTGAGACCAGCTATCGCTCGCAAATCCGTATACTGGAAGATGACCTTGCCCGTCAGAAGGTGAGATGGTTACGGAACGTTCAGTTGATACTTGGAATACTGACGGGTGTTTGCAGCGCCTGCTCTCCGAGGCCACTAACCGTTACAGGAGAGAACAAGCTCTCATGCTCGGTGCCATCCACAATATGGGCATGCATACCACGAGAGATCAGCTTGGTTACGCAAAGCAGCAGTCCCAGCCTGGGCCAACCAGTTGGCTCAAGCAACAACGACAGAATGTGGGTTTGGACTGGTCTCAGGTTATCCGCCAAGCTCATCATATGCATCTTAGCTTGGTCCCATGCTTCGACGATGAAGAGCGTCCGGATTGATTCTTACGTTCGATCTCATTAACCCTACTGGAGACCCCATACCACACCACACTATCAACTCACACTTTGCCTGGCTTACATGCATGTATGTATCACATTCAGGACCGTCGCGATGGATCATCTTTCAATTTCGGGCAAGCTATGAGTGCAGTGGATCAGGTAGGTGGCACACAACCGTAGAATTAAACGAAGAATGTCTGGTATCCGAAGCCCAACCTTTCCTGATACGGGGGCTTCCATTCGTGCTGGACAGGTACTCAGTAACTTCCTCCTGCCAGAAGACGTGAGGCACTTACTAGCACGGTGAAGCCATCATGGTTCATATTCACATATGTCGGCTTGTGCTCCTTTGGGAAAGACAGACGAGGGCCTTGATAGGCAACATGCGGGATGGATGCCCGCAGCGTGCGGAAGCGGAAGCTGCTGGCGTCCTTCATGACTGTCAAGCTCCCGCTACTTTTCGGGTTGCTCTGAGCTGCCCTCGCAGCCCAAGGATTCAAATCAAAGATGACGATCTGCGCGGACCCGGCCCTCCATTTGTCGCGGATAAGCATAGGGAAACGAGACCCGCACGGGCTGAACACCGCGCGAGGGATGACTTCTGGTCCGGAAAGGTTCAGGAGCAGGCCGCCTTTGGGGCCCCACTCATGCCAGAATACGCGGTGATGCGACTCATCGCTGCCCCGTGCCGCCTGTATCTGTGCGCGAAACGTCGAGCCGGGAACGAGGAGGAGTGCGTTCGAGAGGTCTGTGGCGTAGATGGCGAAGCGTACTGCGACTACAGACAGCATGGGGTCCGGAATGAATGGGGCGTCCGGAGGGGGTGACGACGAATGGATCCTACTCCGCTCGTCGTGGTGGACGGAGCAACGGAACGCTCCGAGGGGGAGCTCCAAGGTCAGGAAGGGTTCGATGATTTCGCCAAGTACGTAGGCGGGGCCGTCCAAGCAGAAGACCTCCAAGACCTCCTGGCGGCCGGAGGTCACGAGTATATGTGATGTGTCCAGGAACGTGAAGGACACTTGGGGTCGGAAAGCGCGACGCTGGAGAGGAGCAATCCAATCGTCAGTACACAATCAACACAGGCCCAGTCATTGGCTTATGCTCACCCAGACAAGACGACTTGTGTGCCAGTCCCAAACTTCGACCTCGCGCCTCTGAGATGCAGGTATCCATACTAGCCATGCAACGTATTGCTGGTGTATTTGGACGAGCAAGGGGCGCCCTTGCTCAGACACGGTTCGAATGATCGGTCCCGCAGCATCTGCATGCCCCTCTCCAGATGTGATATTCAGGAAACTAGCCGTGACTTCCCTACATCAAGAGCCCGAGTTAGCTGTGTGTGCTCGTGTCACTGACATAGCACCCAAGCCTACCAAGTGTCGCTGGTAGCCTCCGAGATGATCAGTAAGTTCTGCGACATATCCATAGCCTCGATATGAGACTCCTGGCCGGCCTCGATGGACAGACAGTACGAGCAAAGGCTTAGGGCTGCTTGGACACGCAACGGCGTCCGGACATCCAGTTTGTAACCCCCAGGCCTGCGCATCGCATATAGGATGGTACCGTCAGACGTCAGCACCTGCACGCGTGCGTCGACTTCGAACCAGATGCTCTCGTCGCGCGAGAAGTGGCTACTATGCGAGCGTGCACGGTGCTCCCGCAGCTGCTCGAGGCGGTCTGTCAGGGTGATGTCGCTTGGTGGTCCGTCGACCATGCCAGTGACGGCGAGCTCTATTCGGTATTGGCTGCGCACATCGTGCTGGACGAGGCGCGATAAGGACATGCAGACCTAGTAAGCAAGTGTGATGAGCTGCGCTACAAGTGAAGGTCGATAGCAAGGGATGGAACCAGCACCTGCTTGCATATGAGAAGGTCATCCGGGTCGATGAGAGCGAGTACAAGCAAGAGGATGTCGTCAGGGAGCGCCAAGAGGGTGGAGGTCTGTGTCGCTCCCGGGAAGTGTGTCGCTTGGCCAGGAGAACCAAATCGCTCCAGCAAACCATTCACAACTTGGGAGAACCTCCTGGTACCGTGGTTGTTCGACATCTGTCTGGAGAGCGCCCGCTAGCAAGCAACAAGATTCTCGTGATCTGACACCCACAGATGGGCTGGGGTGAGGGTAATATACAGCTGTTGCGGCTTTTCGTCGCGGACTTATATATGACAGGGCCGCAACAAGAGGGGTGTCCAGAGACGACGAACACGCAGTCTGGGATGGCGATGTGGCAGGCCACGTCGGCGTTGACAGCGTGCGCAGGCTGCATATAGCAAGCAGCAACATCACCGCCGACAGCACGCCTTGTGACTCAGCTGTAGTGCGGCCTGTCTTCCTGTCTTCCTGTCTTCCGGTCGTTGTGATCAGCCATGACAGACGCAAGATAGGCGGAGCGTGTTACGCGGAAGGAACTTCCCCCAACACACGACGTTAATGGATAATGAAGATAAAGATGTGGTTCTAGTACAGCATGAGATACTCCATTACGTTGGGCGGGATCTGGCACACGACCAGGGGGGTACACGTAGTCCGATATAAATAAGAGGATGCAGGAGCAGGGCCATTACCAAGATCGTCACCGGTTGAACGACAGCAAGGACATGTCACCCAGTTTCCTGCGATCGCACACAATCGTTAGATGAGAGGCGGAGCGCGATGGCGGAATCAGGGAACATACCTCGGCTTGACAAGATGCCGGATGGTACCGAGGACACCAAGAAGAACGAGGAGAGAGGCGGCGGCAACGTAAGCCCAGCCGAGGAAGGGGTTTTTGCCACCGATCCAAGATACTGTCGAGATCACGATTGACTTCGTACCTTTGTAGGGACGCACAGGATAGTCTGCCAAGCAGGTCACGACGAGCCACTAGACATTGCGATAGACCAACGACGTACTGAGGTTGACAGCGATCTGGTAACGACCCTTGGGGAGCTTCTCGTTGTCATTCCGGCCCCAAAGTTTCGTGAAGGTGGGGAGACCGGCCGTGCGCATCCAGTTCTGGAAGTGCTCGTCGTTCTTCAAGTCCGGCGGAGGGTTGTCCTCCGTGTAGCCTTGGGGGTAGCGCTGGGCCCAATTGGGCGGCGGAACGATCTCCGAGAGTTGATAGTTGGGAGAGGTCGCATACTTCTTCGACTCGCCTGGCCAGGCGATACCCTTCTCAGACCAAGTGAAGGTCGTTGAAGTGTCCGAGGTCAACGTCAAGTTCGAGAACGTGTCTGCAACGCCAGGACAAAGTATCATGTGAGGATTGGTAAGGGCCGGATACGGGTTACGGGGTGAAGGACGCCCACTACGTCACCAAGACTCTTTTGACGGAGACGCACCATTGAATACTGAGTTCGCAATGAGCCCACATGGATACACGATCTTCCCGTTCGACACGTCCAAAGGCTTGCAATCACCGCCCTTGATTGTGCCGTAGCTGACATGGTCGCCACGGAGCTGGTTTGAGTTGAGACTCTTGACATACCGACGGTGGTTCTGGTAGAAGTTGCTGAGCTTGTAGTAGAGCAGCACGGGAGTCTGAATGTCCGCGGGCACATCAAACTGCAAGACGCATTGACGTGCAGAGACGTTCGAGACGCCGCTAGCGCCGCTCTGATCGAGGAAAGCGTACTGGGGTGTGGAGATAGGTGCGCCGGAGTCTGATGCACGGAGCTTGTAGGAGTACTTGGACGAGGGGATGTCGGTGAAGGTGAGGGAGGTGGAGGTATTAGAGGCGTTTTGGGATGTCAGGAGCTCGCAATCGGTGTAGTCCAAATCGATTTCTGTTATCTGTGTGTATGGAAGGAAGAATGATGAAGGACTGCCAGTTTTTCGAGTAGTGATGGAGGGTTCAGACGTACGAGGCCACTACCCCAGATCAGGAGCGCACCGATAGGTGCGAAGAGGATCCCGATAATGAAGAGTGTCGGGAGAACCGTGCGGGGGGTCAAAATAGGCTGCCAAGCCTTCAGTCGTTGCTGCTTGAAGGCGGTATCTGCAATGAGAGAAGCGATGCGTTAGACCTCCGTCTCTCACCATTCTTCAAACCGTTGCACGACACCTACTTGCCGGTCTCCGCCAACTACCCTTCTCCTTCTTGGCGCCCTCATCGTCACCACCCTTCTTGCGATTGAACAGACCCATGCAGGTGCAGGCAGAAACTAGCGTAGGAGCAGCGAAACTGGCTCAGCAACGAAGGTATGGAGGCCAGCCGAGAGGAGGAAGGGAAGGAGGTGGAGGAGCGGAAAGGCGTAGTCGGCCGGCGGTGCGACGAAGTCCGTCTCAGCCTTCCGCGCCCTCCTGGGCGCGTTCACGTAATCACGCTTGGCTACAGGCGCTCACACAATGGCATGGCTGCAAAACAACATGTCTCTTGAGGTCATCAACGGTCAGAAAGCTAGCAAATGGCGACCTGAACCTCTGGAATCCTGCTTCGGATTCTACATCAGGTATCTGTATATCGGCCATTTCTTTCAGCCCGCGTCAGCAACCCCTAATATCAGAGATCCAGCGACTCTTCCCACAACACACAATATCTGCAAGGGCTCACAACGTTGTCACGTCAGAACGACTCACGCCGAAACTCGTTAATCGACTCGGAGGTTGGGCTGATATAACAAGCTTAAACGGATACATGGACATGTATGTGGACGTTGTACTTGAGTCCAATAACTTTCTGTTGAACCATCACTCCAATATACAGGGCATGAGTACTTGCGAGCAGCATAGGATGCCCCACCCAGTTTCAGAGGACAATGCCTATCCATATATAAAACCTATGCCGTTGCTCAATATCACAGTTATCGGGCAGCTTTCAAGGTTTCCGAGCATCGGATACTACTGCTGTCCGTCAGCCTCTCTCCAGCTCACTCGGCTGGTCGGAGCAGGAACAGACGATCGGGGAGTACTTCTCGACCCACCATGCCTCGGCTCCAGCCATGTAAGCCTCCACCGAAGTGAGAGTTGTGCGCGCTTCATGTCAGCCATCCGGCCTCGAAGACACTCGGTCAGCCGCCAGGGCAAGGTGTATAAGAATCGCCCCCTTCCGCACTTCCTTCCTTACCACTCACCACCACCTTCCCCTACGCCTATCAGCCTTGGAGCCCCTCTCTCTTTTCCGAACACTTCACGTCTCATTCCATTCTCTCGCCGAGGCTCACAAAGACCCTCTTCATGCCTCTGCTGACCCTTATCTCGTTGTCCTCCTTCACCAGGATATAGAGCAATACAACCTCTGAGAACGGCCACTTTACAGAGCCGCCCGCCCATCGAGAGCAAGGTCATAAGGTGAGTACTGCAAGACGAGGTCTCACCAGGGTTCAAGAAGGTATCGCGTGCCGCCGCTGAGGAGGGATTAGATGCAGGTCGCAAGTAGGTGAGCACTGCAAGACGGGGTCTCACCAAGGTTCAAGAAGGATTCCGAGCCGATGCAGACGGTGGCACCAGCACGGTGCAGTCCTCCAACGCTGTAAAGGACAACGGTCTGAGAGACAAGGTGAGTACCGGAAGATAGGGTCTCACGAGGGTTCAAGATGCGTCCAAGAGCCGCCGCTGAGAACAGATGCTACACAGGATCTTCGCTATGACTCGCGCCTTGAAGGATGAGGGCCATCACAGGCAGTGAGTACTACAAGATAGAGTCTCACCAGGGTCAGGTAGGTCCCGAAGTTCCACCGCTGAGAACAGATGCCACACAGGAACCCACCAAAGCTGTCCCGGGACGACGGACGGTGCAACGAGGTGAGTACTGCAAGATGGGGTCTCACCAGGGTTCAAGATGTCTGCAAGAGTCGCCGCTGAGAACAGATACTACGCAGGATCTTTGCTATGCCTCGAGCCTTTCAAGTGAGTACTGCAAGATAGAGTCTCACCAGGGTTCAGGCAGGTCCCCAAGTGCCACCGCTGAGAACGGATGCTACACAGGAATACCGACCAAATTCATCCCCGGACGCAACGAGGTGAGTACTGCAAGATGGGGTCTCACCAGTGTTCAAGATCGTCTACAAGCGCCGTCGCTGAGAACAGATGTTTGATAGCACAGTGTATACTGTAACCCCGATGGACATAGGGCATTCCAGAGATGCTCAAAGGTGATTCCGCAATATGTGCTCTCACCAGGGCTCAACATGGCTTCGAAGCGCTGCTGCTGAAAACGAATACTATACAGGAGACTACCAAGGCCGTAATTACCCTCCGCTCAAGACACGTCCGAGAAGCTCGAGAAACGGCCTGATGTTCAAGGGGACTGCCTTCATATTGACGTCACAATTTCCGAACTCTGATCACGCTCGCACATTTCTGTACAAACCACGTTGGAGCAAAACATGTGTTACAGCACGACTGCATACTACCATGAACAATTGATGCTTCGTCCATCCAATATATACATCGTCGCACTTAGTCTAACTCTGGCGATATCGGTTCAATCATACAACCAAGACTTACTGATAGGAGGATTGGGGGATCAAACAGGAAATGGGGAAGAGGAAACGGGCCAGAAGAACGAGAATCGAGCATGAAATGCGCATGAGCAAAGGCGACTATGATATATGGCGGAGCGTGATGAGGAAAAGTACCTAGCATGCAAGAAGGGACTTGAATCCGAACGAGGAAATAAGTGGCTTTCATCGTAGGAACAAACAACCATGGTGTAGGAGATCGGCTGGCGCGGTCTCATGCGCCGCAAGGACCGCCTGCCGGATTAAGGGGGAAACATGCGCGGAAGATACTTTGCCGTGCAGGAGACACGGATACCTGCTCGAGAAAAGGGGTTGCCGATGTCGAGGGGGAACTAGACAAAAGATAGACAGAACTTCAATTGCAACCGCAAGCAAAAACCAGCGCATATCGGGAGGCGATGCAAAACCCACGAGAGCTTTGGGAAGAACGAGGGTGTCGAGTCCGTCACGAATGGGATGTAACCTGTTCATAGTGCTTCACAACCCGCCCAGGCTCGCGGGTCGCAACCTGACCGCGGTTACTGCCGCCTTAGATCTCCAGCGGCTCATGGGAACGCGCCTCGAAGCCGCCACGGTTGGTCTGACTCTCGCGGCGCTCGCGCCTCGACTCAAACCCACCGACGCCAGGTCCACGGGGTTGACGTACGACCCCGGTCGGGCTATCCATGCCGCCGCCCGCGCCGCTCAGGCCTGAGACACTAGCAGGGAGCGTAGGCACGGGAGGGATGCCATTCCCGCCGAACGCGCCGTTCCCAAAGAGTGCGGCAAAGCCAGGTGAGCGGCGGGACGGAGAGGCGATGGTCGCGTAGCCTTCACGAATGTTGCCGTTGGAGGAGCGCGTGGTGAGTCGGGGCGCCGCCTGCTGGAGACTCTTCATGTCAGGCATGGACTTCTTGACGCGGAGCGACTGCGCGGACATCGGAGATGTCGGCGACAAGTACGACGCAGGTGCGCGAGAAAGCGTCTGCCGGCCCGTCTGGTGGAAATGGCTCAGTCTTTGGTTAGCAACCGTCAATCATTGACACTTACGGGGTTGGGGTCGATGCGGGTCACAACAGCATAACGCTCATCGCCTTCTCCCACAGAGTAGTGGTAGACACCAAGCTTCTGCGCCACGAGGTGTACCACACGTCGCTGCTTTGCCGTCAAGGCCCGTGAGAACGCGAGCTCATCGCGCATGGGATCGTCCTTGAAGAGCAGGATGCGCGAGTAAATCTCGAGAGTCGACGGGTCGTTGAGGTCAAGCTCGTTGGAGGACTTCACACCACCACCAAGGCCGGGAGACACGGAGGGCAGTGGCGGGGAGGAGACGTTGAAGGACTGCGAGGTCGGCAGAGGAGGCATCTGAGGAGGAGAGTACTGCTGACTTTGATACACGTTGGAGGCTGAGAACGAGCGCTGGGGTGTGAACGGCGTCGACAGAACAGATCCGAACTCATCGTACGGTGACTGCTGATGTTGCTGCTGCATAGCGGCTTGCTCCTTCTCCAGCTGCATGGAGCGCATTCGACGGATCGCTTTCTCCCTCTCAATCCGCTCCTTCTCTCCTGCCTGGAGCACCTTCTTGTACTCAACGCGGAGCTTGCGTCCTTGCACATCGAACCCATTGAGCGCCGCGACGACGGCATCTGCATCAGACGCCTGCCGGAAATTAGCGAAGGCGAGCCCACGGAACTGGCCCGACTGGTCGAGATGATAGTTGAACGCATAAGGTGTTGGAATCGCCAGTGATGCCTACAGGTTCGGTCAGAATCACCGTTCTGATCCGCGAGGGAAACGAGAAGCGTGCTCACTATGATATCGAGCAGAGTCTCGCGTTTGACATTGAAGGGAATGTTCTTTATGACGATAGCGGTTGGTATGATTTCGTCGTCTCCCGCAGGTGTGCCGGGGGTGATTGGCGGCTGTGGTGCGTGCATGTGACTCAAGGGCGGGGAGCCTCCGGACGAGGACAGGTCGGAATTATTTGGGGGCGACAGAGAGCGATTGTCAGGGATGCCTGCCGAGTTGTCCAGCCATTGCTAGTTGTTACAACAGGGGCTCAGCAGTTGTCTATCGCAGTGGTGAGTTTGGATGGGACCTACGGATGGCAGTGCGGCACGAGAAGCCTTATTCTTGAGGGGGGACTGATTCATGCCGAGCGGATTGTACTGCGACTGGGCAGGGATAGGAGGAGACGTGGAGTAGTGGTACGGGGATCTACCATTACCACTCGAGTTGCCATCGTAGTCATAAGCATCATGAAGGCGTTGCTGAGAGGGCTGGGTGCCAAGGGAAAGGGTCGCGACTTGGGCAGCGATGTCTGGGGTAGAGGAGCTAGTCATGATGGATGAGGCGGATATAGCTGCGATGAATTAGTAAAGGATGATACAGGGCTGGTCGTGAAGATGACTCGTTAAGCGGAAACAGCGAGGGGGATAGGAGAAACAGAGGGAGTGGACAATGCACCAGACAGCGAAGATGGTCGTTGATGGAAAAAGTACGCCCGGTCAGACAGGCGCTCGCGGGTGTGAAACTCCCTTGTTCGCCCCGACACGAGGCCCCGGCCATGGTATTTCTTCAGCCCCCTAAGGGATGGTCTCCTGTCAGAATATCGGCACAACTGCCGCTAATCCAGAGGGAACGCACAACAGGCCTGGCATAACGACTTGCAGAGCGAGTGTTGCCACGACCAGCTTTCTGTCCGACAATCCTCGCAGATTGCGCCGGCTGCTCACATGTCCCGTTGTATCTTTACATACGCCTCAGCCCAGATTGCGCTAAGCTCGAGTGTGTATGCCCTCGCCACAAATGCAGGTGACCTGGTGTGTACCGCGGCATCTATGTATCTGTCCAACGTTCTGCCCAGTAAGTACATAGTGCCAGGCCGCGGCCGGCGGCTTGCGTGCGCACAGCTGAGCTGCGCACGGGGGTGAGAGCTCCCTCAGTATCCTCATACAGAGTCCTTCAAGTGCTATCGACGACGTTGTCGACAGCCCGCGCGAGCTTCGTGATCATCTCAAGCCCCAGCCTTGGACCGCAACATGCCTCTCCGGCGCCGGTCCATCGTATCCCATCCGGGAAACCTGTGCTGTCCACCGCGAGCGTGGGCTGCTTACAACAACCACTACAGTTGTGAGTCGAAGTGATATCAACGCTCTGGCGTCCGCCGCCCGTCCACTTCTCTCCCTTATACATGATCCTCCTGCCTCCAGACGGTCCTTCGCCTACCACCCAGCATGCTCCCTACTATCTGCCGCCCCCGGGTCCACCACCAGTACACTCACAGGCGCCAGTCCACGGTGCTGTAATATCACCCGAAGATGACGTCCAGCGGCTCTTCAACGTTTGCAAGGTCGGCCGAGGGAATGCGGAGCTGTTGCAAGAGGTGCTCGTGTATGCCAAACCTCAGGAGCTCAAAAATGACATCACAAAGGTACTGTATCTGTACTCATTGTGGCTGATTGTCCTCTGGAAGCCGATGTACGGACGCGCAGGAACTTGTAGGACGGGCTCGTGCATCTCATGAGTTGATAGGGTCGCAGATTCCATGGGCGACCACCGAAGCAGAGAAGTCGCGGCATGTAGCAAGATCAATAGTGCAGACCACGCAGGAGCAGCTGCTCGAGTCGTTGCTCGCTGCACACGGAGACCTCACCGAGTGTTTGAAGATGTATGAGGACCTCGAGCGCATCGCGATCGAGCAGGAGGCCGAGGAACGTCGGAAGACCGAACGCCTTGTACGTTCCAAAATGTGCTCGACGTGCTTCCTACCTCACAAACAGCGTACCATGGCTCAGATCGAAGCTCTGACTGCTGTTGCGGAATATGAAGCTTCTACAGAGGAGACCCCTCTCATCGATTGGGTCTTTTCCACTGGCGATTCCGAGCGTACAGGCAAGATCAATCCGCAGACCGCGACTCGAATATTCAGCGCTTCCAACCTGCCTCCAGACGCACTTGCAAGAATATGGGAGATTGCAAGCGTAGACAGCAAAGATGGTCTTCTGGATAGACAAGGTGTTGGAGTAGCGTTGCGGCTGATTGGGCATGCACAGAAGGGCGCGGTAGTGACTGAACGTTTGGTCAAGCGACGTAAGTTTTGATCGACATGTCCATATACGCGTCTGACACGCTGCTCAGCTGGCCCTCTCGCTGTGCTTGAAAATATCTCACCCGTCCCTTCCGAACCCGTTGCCGGCCCCTCATCAGGGATGATACTCGGTGCACTGCCGCCTCTTACTATGCATGACAAGGCTAAGTTCAAGAAGATATTCAAAGCCTCGGGTGCGCAAAACGGTTTCATGCCAGGTAAGGTTTCGTGAATGTCAATGTAAGTCTTGTACTCAAACTACGTGCAGGTCAACAAGCTAGAGAAGTGTTCATGAAATCGAAGCTTCCTCGGGAGACGTTGCAACAGATTTGGTACGCTGCGGTTCCCGTCTCCATGTCTACTCTGCATGCTCATGTCGTCTGTTCGTCAGGGCTTTGGCAGATGTACATCGCCGCGGTCTCCTTGATCTCACCGACTTTACTATCGCTATGTACCTCATTCAAGCGTTGATGACCGGCAAAATTTTCACGGTCCCCACTTCTCTACCTCAACACGTGTACGACGAGGCTGGGCGGCGGAGTCCGCAGCCTGTCTCGACCCCGAACCATGTTGACCTGCCACCTGCACCGCCATTACATCCTTTGAGGTCAACTGCTCCAGTCGCAGCGTCACCATTCGCGGATCCGCCTATGCGCACTCCGACAACATCGCCGTTTGCGGATCCGCCTCCCCGCCACCCATCGAGCAGGAATACACCCATTTCCACCTCCCAAGCGAACTCCTTGGGCTGGGAGATCTCGCCAGCGACTAAGGTTCAGGCTGACCATGTCTTTTCGACACTGGATCCAAGGAACAAGGGGCGCGTGAAAGGCGAGGCTGTGCGTGAATACATTCGCCAAGTCGGGCTGTCGTCAAATGCTATTGGTCGAATATGGTACGTGATACGCGACCTCGTCAAGGTAGTTCACCAAACGCGGCGCTGTTTTCAGGGATCTGGTCGACATCAATCGTAAGGGCTACCTCATTCGCGACGAATTCACGATGGCCATGCATCTCGTTAAAATGAGAAAGGACGGACAGCATCTACCGCACTCTCTTCCTCCTGGACTCCTCGCAGGATCACTCCCTGAAGAACATCATGACGCATATACAGGCATTGTTGCTGACGCGCCACAGTATCTTCAGCCCACGTCTCGACTGACATCACTGCACGCTTCATCGTGTAGCGAAGATAGGTCAAGACTCTCTGTTGCGTCTGCTGGCCCCTCAAATCTGCGCTCATCGAGGAGTTCGCCGCATCTTTCTACACTTGCTTCAATACAGCCCTTTGCCACGCCGTTACCCGCTCCCTCCACGCCGTTCCCAATGTCGCCTCTTCCACCGGGCGTAATGACTTACGTTCCATCTCAGCCGACGAACATCGAGCAATGGAACCTCAAGCCCGAGGAGCGAGCGAGGTATGATAGATACTTCGACCAGCTTGATACTCAGAGGAAGGGCTATCTCCTGTCCGATGTGGCCGTCCCATTCTTCGCCCGTGCCAAGCTGCCGAACGATGTCATGGCGACGATATGGTCAGTCCACTACCCTACCTGCCTTTGAGTATGGGAGCTGAAGTCCATTCCTACACAGGGACATGGCTGACTCGGAACACGACGGTCAGCTGACCCGAGAAGACTTCGCCGTGGCCATGCATCTCATCCGACAGAAACTTGCGGGCGCAGAGCTGCCGACGCCTACACCGGCCTTGACCTCCTCGCCTACAGCTCCATTATCTCGACCCGACTCCACCGCGACGCCTCCAAGACGAGCTAGTATGCCGAACCAAGGAGATACATTGTCGCGACATACGTCCGTGGGCCACCAGCCAATGCAGCCGATCGTACAGCCAGCTCCAGTTACACCGCCCGTCCAGCTCGACCCAACGACAGTGCGACTTCCAGACGACGTGGATGACGGGATTCGATCTGATACGCCTCCGCCTCCGTACGAACTCATTGCTCCAGATGCGACGTAGCACATAGAACAGACACTATTTTCCACACTACCTGGATTTCGCTTTTGGATAGGAGCGTCTGGCACACATTGTATAAGTACGACAGGATTCTGTCAGTGCATTCTGCCATGGGGTATATATTACACACATAATCTCTTCACATATGGTATGGTAACTTATGGGTCCTAATTTTTCCGTCTATCCATGATCGACCTGCATCCGACTCTCCAACAAAGGACAGGTCACAAGGCGGGGATAAAGGGCAGTTGATGCAACCTGGACGCGTACTTTACGTAAAAGCATAGAGCCTCAGAAAAACGAGGCAGGTGTTACAGCGCTGGCGCAGAAACGATTACGAGGCAGCTCGGATGAGCGCAGGGCTCTCTCCCTTTACGACCCCAGAGACGGCATTCAAAGTGCCTTGGACAGTGAGCGGGCGACATTGACGAAGGGAGCAAGGGAGGGACGCGTGGGCGGACACTGTTAACGTTGTTTGTGCCAAACAGGTGACGATGATCAACGGCGCGGCGCTGCGATCCAACTCGAAACAACCTCCACCACAAAACTCGCTCTCCCACAACATCATCCAAATACCCATGTTGGGCTCGCTCGCCGCCCCCAACAAGCCCTCGCCTGGCCAGCAACAGCAACAGCAGCAGCCTCAAGTTCCTCAGCAGCAGCAAGGCCCACAAGCGTCCGAAATTCCCCTTCCCCCGCAGAGCGGCCAAGACTACACGCTTTCCAGTGTCCTTCACTTTCTCCAGACCGAATGGCGGCGATACGAGCGCGACAGAAATGAGTGGGAGATTGAGAGGGCGGAGATGCGGGTGAGTCCTCGTCGTTGTATGCTATTGAGAGGGCCGTGTCCCTCATTGTGCGCTACCGCAAGGCTCGCATTGCTCTCCTCGAGGGCGAACGCCGTTCCTTTGACAATGTAAAGCTCGACTTGATGCGTCGCATCAAGATGCTTGAGTATGCTCTGAGGGTGGAACGGTACGTGCTGGTCGTCACTCCATACTGTGGCGCGACATTGACGTGTCGCGTCGCCAGCTCTAAGCAGCTCGCCCCGCCCGCTACGCAACCGGTCCCCCCAGCGAAGCTCGCGACGCTGCAGTCTCAGATTGCCCTTACGTCTCACAAGGATGACGCGAGCAGCGGCAGCTCGCCGCGCAGCGAGGGTACGTGTCATGGTCGCGCGACCGACCTCATGCAACATTGTTCATTTTGCCATAGATTCGCCATTGCCGCCGGATCGTATGTCTACGGGCTCGGTACCCAACGGCGCCGCCTCTGGCGGACCTCCCAGCCGTACACAGACGTGGATAAGCGGCACGGCTTGGACGGGGGTGAACCCGAATGCTGGAACGGTCGGCACCATGGGGAAGCCTCCTCCCGGCCGGGACCCGAAGAGCAGAGCGCGGAGTAGGGATTTCTTGAAGCAGTACGTGCTCCGCGTATCCTCCGCCAACGCTTCCTGAATCTCGTTTTCGCAGGTGCTTGCAAGAAGTCTCATATCTCACGTCCCCGCAAGCCATGAACCCTCTTCCCAACCGTCCGCTTCTTGCTAACTCCAACCTTCCCCTTCAACTGCCGAACGTTCCGCCTTTCGAGCCAATGGCGTTCAATGGGCGTCCACGTAAAGTTATGCCAGAAGTAGGCAAGGACTTCGCTATGCTCAATTTGATGTCCGGTGCTTTGACCGCGCCCGCTGCTCCGCAGACGAACCCCCTCGATCGTCCTGGCCTCGCTGGCCCCGGCGTGCTAGGACAGCAAGGAGGACAAATTCAGCCTGGCCTTGGACAGCAGGTCCAGCAGCAGCAACAGCAGCAACAAGCACAATCACAACAACAGTCGCAGCCTCAGCAGTATCCTGGGGAAACGAAAGATAGGGACGAGCCCGACCAACCGCTGTCGGACGATGGTGCTGACTGGAAGGAGAGGTTCCGGTTATCGCAGGAGGGCTCAGAGCAGGCTCGCCACCAGCTCAGCAGTACGATCAGCGGTGCTGGCGCATGGGAAAGGCGTGCACGGGAGGACGAGGATGATGGCAAGGACGAGGATGCGGAGGTAGACGATGACGACGCAAGCGTCATAAGCGAAGGCGAGAACACGAAGTCGTGGAAGGCGAAGAGGACACTCAGGAAGTCAGTCTTAGTCTCGTGATCAGCATTAGAGCGCATCCTCCTTGTGCCCCCAGAGACTAACTTATTCTGTAGTCACCTGGATGCTGTCCGTGCACTGGCGTTCCACCCGACGGAGCTCTGTCTCGCGAGCGCGGGCGACGACAGCACCGTCAAGATATGGCGGGTCGACGTCGCCAGTCTTGCGTCCTCTGCGTGCGTAGCACCCCAGCACGGAAACGTTCGTAGATCATTGGGCTGAGTTTAATCACAGATCACGACCGACGACTGAGGTTGAGCCTCAGCTCACGCTCCGCGGGCACTCAGCAGCGATTACCCGCTTGGTACACTCGCCCTCCAAGGGGCTTTTGTATTCCGCATCATTGGATTCCTCTATCCGCATTTGGGCGCTGCCTGCCCCGTCGCACACGACGTACGCGCCGTACGACTCCACGCGGGCACGGGGCGAGCTAATCGGCCACACGGACGCTGTGTGGGACTTGGCGCTCGCGCGCGACGAAAGTACGCTCATCAGTTGCGGTGCAGAGGGTCTTGTCAAAGTTTGGGATGTGTCGGGACCCTCCGGCGGTGGTTCGTTGAGGCTGTCGTGGTCATACAACGGTCTCGAGACACCGTCCGACTTAAGCCCCGAGGGCGATTTGCCCGGCGCCACGGCTGTGGAAGCCATCAAGACGGACCTGAAGAAGGTTGCCGTAGCATATCAAAACGCGGTGATCAAGATCTTCGATATCGAGAGTGGAAAGGAGTTGTCCAAGTTCCAGATCGATCCAGTTGAGGGTGGTGAGTGGCAGGTGGTTCTATGTAACACCGTCGACCGTATGCTGAGAGACAGGGGCAGACGACTCGATTTCTGCACAGGCCAACAGCATCGTGTCACATCCAACGATGCCGCTGCTCATCACCGGTCACGAGGACAAGCATATACGCATCTTCGACGCCATTACTGGTTGGTCAACGTCCGCCCAAATGAGCTTCGGAGCATCCGCTGACCCTCCCGCGCAGGCCAGTGCACGCACTCCATGCTCGCACACCTCGACGCCGTCACGTCATTGTCGATCGATGCAGCCGGCTTCGCCCTCGTGTCGGGCAGCCACGACTGCTCGGTGCGCTTCTGGGACATTCTCGGATCTCGAGCATGCATCCAGGAGAGCACAAGCCACCGCGAAAAGGCACGCGAGGGTGTGCTTGACGTCGAGTTCCACCCGTCGCTGCCCGTCATGGCGAGCGCAGGCGCCGATGGCGTCGTCAAGCTGTATGCTTCGTCCACGTCTTGAGACGAGAGTGTGCGTGAGCGCCTCGAGGGTTCCAGCTCGTCGCTGAGGCTGCGCCTTTCACAGGGATTGTGTTGGCACCCCGTCCGTTGTGGTTAATAGATCGCTCGTATGCTGGTTGGTATAGCTATAGCCCCTCCACGACGTCGCGTATGCCAGCCGTTTGTTTGTTCTGTTCCTGCTGTCCTGTACCTTCATATACCTCGCTACGACCCTTATGAGCGCAAATAATGGTATTGTTATGGAATGGAGCATCAACTTGTGCTTCGTATCAGAATGTTTCACAAAGGCCCTAGTTCTACTGAGGTGATATGGATGAGAGAGAGAAAGACTATTGATACAGTGGCTAAGGCTACAGTGAGAGTCTGGTCAGGTCGGGAGGCTATGATACATTGCGTGATAAATTGTCTGTCAGTTTCTGAGCAGAGCGTTCGTGTCCCGTTCATATTCCTGGACATCTGTCAGACGTCTGTGTATGCCATGACCGGACTGGGAACATACTGATGTGCATTCGTTGTTCAGCGGCGATGATCTCTACGCCGAGGCCCTTGGCATCCACCAGCTCCCGCACTTGATTCGCGATCACCGTGTGTATTGGTTCCTTGAACTTGCGCTGCAGATCCTCTTTGCAGTGAATGACATACACGCGGAGGCCCGCCAACGAACCCCGCAGGTCAGGCAGCGACTCCGTGTTCCGCCGCTTCTTCTTGCGCGCCCTGTTCGAGTTCTCCTGGAGGCGCGAACGCTGCCGGAAGCTGACAACCTCCACCGCCAACGCGCACAGCTCCTGCATCAAGTGCTCCGGACTTAGGTGTCCGTAGAGCAGCTCGTCCGGGCGGCCAGAGGGGTACGAGCACTCGATGAAGATGGCCGACAGCATGTCGGGCACCTTGGGCGCCGCCACGCGCCATATTTCTCGGTTCTGCGGCTCGAGGGAGACGGAGTCCGGCTCGACGTCCCCGAAGAAGAGGAACTCCCGCGAGCTCGGGTCGTGTCGGACGAAGTACGCGGAGCAGGGGTATGTGTGGCCAGGGGAACGCTGGCCGTGGCTGATGGGCATCAAGCGGACGGAGATGTCGCGTGCCACTGGAGCGTACACTGTCTCGAGCGGTAACCTGTCTAGTGGTTAGACAGCCCTCAGGATGTGCGAGTTTAGAGGGAGCGTACGGTGACAAGAGCAGGCAGCTCCCCGGCTCCTTTGCGTCAGCCCAACTCGCCAGTTTCGGCCATACTTCTCCGGAGAAGATGGTCGATATGCCTTGTAGCGTTTCTTTCGTCCCGTACACGAGCTTTGCTGGGCCCGTTCCACATCCGGCAGAGAGCACCATACCGTTGACATGGTCTAGATGAGCATGAGTGACGAGATAGCATCTGCACGCCGTGGTAACATGAGCATATATGGGAGAGGGGCAGCAGGGAAGGCGCAGCGCACCGTATGCGATTATATACATCCACGGCAGTGGTCAACGAGACGTCAGACGCGGATTCGTTCGAACTTTCGGATGCAAACAGGTCAGGATGGGCATCCAACAACCTTGTTAGGGCGCCGAATCCCGAGCCTGCGTCGCGGAGACTGGGAATGGGTGCGAGCATAACGCGTCATAGAGAGCGAACACGTACCGCCTTCCAATGCGACAATGCCGTCCTGCCACTTCGCGTCGCCAGCTTTCAGCAAATAACTGTGGCGCGTTAGCCACGGCTGTCCCATGCCGCTCGGAACGCGGGGACTTACAAGGATAAATTAGATTCGTTAGGTCCGCCGCCTGCGCGAGAGACCGTGTGCGTCAGGGCCCAGTCCGCGTAGCCGAGCACACAGTTCGGATGATGAACACCACTCACCACAACCAACCACAACAATATCGAACGTCGCCATAGGGCCGTCAAAGGAGTGTCGCCCGGACGCGAGTGCGCGGAAGAGTCGACGCGGGAAGAACGAGAGTCGTTGCCGTAGCCGAGAGCCGGACGCGACGATGGTCGCTATATACCGCCGTATCAGTGTCCTGATACAGCCGACGTAGTAGCCCGACATTAATCGCGAAGTCGACAGGTGCAGTCACGATGGCTGGCAACTACTGAAGCCGGCCAATTTCGGACTTCGAGGTCGGACCTAGTCTGTGAACGCAGCGACCTCTCCGGGGCAGTGGGCAACGAGGGAAGTGGGATTAGGTGGGCGAGAATATGTACCACGGTGTGCCTTGGGCCTTTGAGCGTTGGGATTTCGCGTAAAGCGCGCTGACTGGAGGTGCAAGATGGTGGGAGCGAGGACAATGCGCATGAAGGGCCGTCGTTCACGGCTCTTGCTTTCTGGATTACGGATGAGCTGGGTTGCAATACGGCGGAAGTGCCAGGCCAAGCGGCGTCAGCACTGTTGCGACAATGCTCGCTTGTTCCAATTCCAATCCAGCTCCCGCACAGTCCGGCCCCCGACACAGCTCGGGCGGGGAAGAGCGTTTGAAACGAAGCTAATGACTCGCCTTGAGCAAATTGCTGCAATGGACATTATCTAGCAGAAGCAGCGCAGTGCAATAGACGATGTCCACTATGACTCAGCGAAGCAGAAGCAGGCGGCAGCACATTCGGATGCGCATGCGCGCGACAAGACACAGCCAGCACATCAAGAGCAGCAAACGTCGGGGAACTGGATAACATTGGCAGATAGGGGTCAGTGTACGTACTGTCGCTCTCCATCCGACACAAAGGAAGCGGGCGTGCAGTGGCACGACAGCCAACACGTTTGCCACGTGTGCCACGGAAAGGGAGACAAGGGGAAAAGCAGCGAGCGAGCGTCCAGGTTTCCATTCCGGAGGTTTGGAAGAATAGCGGATTACTTAGTTTGGTCATCAGAAACGGAACACGAGGCGGAGAGGGAATAAGGGAATAAGGGGATCATAACGGTATCCAAACGAGGGTGGGGGGAGCACGGAGAGAGAACGAGTGACGAGTACAGGTGCCCCTCGGTGGCAAACAATTTCGAATCATTCACAGCCATAGACACAAAACAGCATTCAAGTTCAGGCGTCTCAAACAAATTATTGTGTACCTGCGGCGGTGCGCGTCAGCAAATGCAGATCCGTGACGCCCATAACCCCGAATGTGAACGTACCTAGTAAGCTATTCAGGGCTCTCTGAACGTCGTACCCGTGTTCCTCAAGCGCGGTGACTGCTTGTGTCCTGCTGAAACCCATGCCACAAAGCGTCTTCACCGCCTCTACGTCGTCCTCGACGGCAGGTGTGGGATCCTCGACGATCTGCTGCTGGGCAAGCGCAGGCACCGGCGGAGCATCCTTTTCTTTCTTCTTCCTCCCAAATGGCAAGCGGATCTGTCATATACACTCGTCAGTACCCGTGGGATCAGAGATGAGATGCAGTACTCACGCTCAGCCTGTTATGTCTAGTCGCGGCTGCCTTCTCCTTTGACTCAGCCGTCGAAGGACGAGGTCTCGGCGATGAGTGGCGTGGAGGGGGAGAAGCATGACGAGCCGGTGGCGATGTCTGACGTGCTGAAGGCGAGGAGGAACGCCTATCGCCATGCTGCGTCGAGCTCGACCCGCGGGGAGAGGAGAGCGGTGAGGAGGAGGGGAAAGGCTGCTGAGCTGGCCTAGCAGGAGGCGGGCCAGGAGGAGGTTGATACGATGATTGGGTGGTGAAAGAATTGTCAAGGGAGAGTACGCCTTCATCTCCGCCGAATGCGTCCTCAAAAGAAAAGCCGCTGTGAGTGCCGTTGCTCTGCGAGGAAGTGCTTGCAGCCAAGGCTTGCGTGGACTGAGACGTGGCGCCGAAGGCATCGTCGAACGAAAGCGATTGGGCAGGCTGTGGCAGACTGGCACTGGCGACAGGAGAGAACGTTGGGAGGGCAGGAGCGGGCGCGGGCGCGAACGCTGACGTAGGGCCCGCATTCGTCCCAAAGACGTCATCAAAACTCGTACCCCTCGTATTGGTGGAGGTAGGCGCAGGCGGGAACGCAGCGCTCGCAGGAGAAGGGATGGCGGAGGACTGCGTCGTCTGAACGGCCGACGCGGCCGCGAAATCGAAGTTGTCTTCGAACGCGGAGTCAAATTCACCAAACCCCCCAGGGAATTGCGGGGAAGGTGCGCCGCCGTCAACGCCTGGTAGCTTGCCAAGAGCTTGGTCGAACTCATTGACACCTAGGGTGGCCGCACCATTGGCCTTCGGGGAAGCGACGGCAGGAATGGTTTCAGAAGGGGGTGGCTCCTTGGCCGTAGCGGGGGTGAGGAACATGGTTGCCACGTCCTCATTGGGGACGGCCGCCCCAGGCGCAGCTTGCTTGGGCAGGTCATTAGAGTCAGAGACCCCGAACGAGTCGTCGAAAGCGGAGGTGCCGGAAGTCGAGAAACCGTTGGTCTGCGCGGGCGCGTTCTCAGTGAGCTTGGCCTTTACCGCAGTGAGCGGCTCGTTATCTTCCTCGTCACTGCTGCTATCGCTGTCCGACTCCTCGACCTCCTTCAACTCATGCGTCAAATCAGTGTCGACCTCATGATCTGGCTGCTGGCTAGCCAAGGTCGCATTCGGGGGAGCAGTAGGTGTCGACACGCTGTCATCGGCCGTAATCTCGTCCAAGGCTGGGAACCGTGCCGCCTCCGATGGCTGCTCCGGGGACGAATCAGTACTGGTATGCTCGGGGACAGTGGCTGTAGTGGGAGGTGTCGAAAACAAGTCAGTCTCAGCGGGGGAGATGATCTCCGACGACTTCGGAGAGCCAATGGTAAGCGGAGCAGGAGTAGTCGCCTTGGGCGTGCTTGGTTCAGGGACCTCAGGCTTGAGAGGTTCCTCCGGTGCATCGAAAGCATGATTGAACCCAAAGGGATCTTCGGCAGCAGGCTGTGCCTGAGTGGCGGGAGCCGTCGGCGGGGTCGGGAGGGCAGACGTGGCCGCGAACGGAAGGAAGGGCGACTCAGGGCGTGGGCTGCCAGAAAGCGCCAGTCTTTCGAAGGGGTTATTGCTCTTGGTGGGTGGAGGCGAGACATCTGGAGACGTCGGTAGCGAGGATGGTAGGGGCTGCGCGGCTGCGAAGGCTAAGTCAGGGGTAGCCGTGCCTGAGACATGTCCATTCGTATGAGCTGCAGGGACTTCCTCCTTGTTCAGCTCGGCCTCCACAGCTTCACGCTCCTTAGTGATGCCCTGCAGCTCTGCGGTCGCCTCCTCAAGTTCCTTGTCGACCTTCGCTTTCTCCGCTTCCCTTGTCGCAAGTTGCTTCTTAGCGATGGCCAGCAGACCCTTCTGCTGCTTCGCCTCCTTGCGAACCTTCTCAAGCTCTGCCTTAGTGCTCTCGATCAAGGTGCCGGTCTCCGCCATCCTGCGTTGCAGATCGCGGACCTCCTCCCGTTCGCGCAAGAGCGCACCTTCGACCTCAGCCTTCTCTTCCTTCGTGGCGCTAAGATCACTTTCGGCGTGAATGAGCTCCTCGCGGGTTTTCTGAATATCGGCGCTCTGGGCGGCATAGCGCTCCTTGAGGGTGCTGAGCAGCTTCGTCTCGGTATCGTAAGCCGCTTTAGCGGAGGAGAGCTGCGTTTGTAAGCTGGAGAGAAGGGCAGCCTGCTCCGATAGCTGACGCTCGATGGTGGCACGCTCGTTCTTCGCGGTTTCCAGTGAGCGATTGGTAGAAGAGAACTGATTCTTGACGTTGCCAATCTCGGCAGACTGGTCTTGGAGGGGAGGGGAAGCTGTATGCGGCTCGTCATCGTCACTAAGCAGATCCTTGGCGGGACTCGAGACGGCTTAAAACATTGTGTAAGAATGATTTGAGAAGCGCATACAGTCAAACCTAACGCACCGGCATTTGAACCGAACGGACTGCTCGCAAACGGATCAGAGACCACGGACGGCTGAGTGCGCGGTGGCGGCGACATGGCCGGAGTAGGACGACCGGTATTTTGGGTCTGTAGGATTGAGCCGGTGCTCTGTGCCTGCAATATTGACCCCGTGGACTGAGGTTGGAAGATCGAGGGTGGAGCGGGTGCTGTGGCAGACGGAGGCGGGGAGTCATCCCAAAGTAAGTCTTTGATAGCCTCTGGAACTGCGGGTTGCGGTGGCTGAGAGGGAGCAGCACCAAGGGCACCACGCATCGACGGTGGAACGAGCGACTGAGGGATGGCCGTGGGTATCTCCTTGCCGGCGAGCTTCCCTTGAATCAAGTGCATGGCGACCGCGAACCCTTCACGAGTAAGACGACCGTCGTTGTTCAAGTCAGCGAGATCCCTAGTCCTACCTCAGCCGGAAGCAAGAACATCATAGCGGGACGAGGGCGTACCATACTTGAGCAAGCACCTCTTCCGGCAGCTTGGACTGCAACATGAATGGCACAGCTACATCACCCTCAATGTAACCCCGTTTCTGCGGATCAAGGCTATCGAAGATGCGGTCAGAGTTAGCCTTCTCCTGCGGAGTGACGTCCCATTGTGCGCCAGTTGTCTGTTGCGGGATGAACGGGGAGCTAGGGGAGACTGCGGACCGCGCAGGCAATGGAGGTGCAGGCGTCGGCCTGAAGGTACCGGTGTTTTGCGGCTGAATTGACGAGAACGTCTGACCGGTCATTTGCGCCTGGATCTGCGAGAGCGCCTGTCCTGTATACTGCGGCTGGATTGGACGGTTGGAGAATCCACCCGTAAAGGAGGGGCTTATGTGTGAGCTGTCACCAGTAGCTTGTGGAACGACACCGTTCCTTGCTTGTTCGTATACGTAGGGTGGTAGTGTAGGGGGGATAGTCTGAAGCTGTCCCGACATGGACGCTTGGATGAGGTACATGGCGATCGTGAAGTCGGTCGCGTCCAAGGAACCGCGACTCTTGGTATCGGCGAGTGACCTGGAACGCAGTTGTTGACGTGACTGACAAGGAACACAGAGCGCGGGCATACCATATTTGTGAAAGCTTATCGACCGGTAGTTTAGACTTGACGAAAACATCTCGTGCCTTCTCGCCTACAAGATTGCATTGGCGTCATGCAACTTCTCGGAATGCAACCCGACTCACCGCTGAGGAGGCCGTTCGTGGGGTGGCATCCCAGAAAGAGCTTGAGAAACTTGGCCTTGTCCTGAGGTGTGAGTGGAGGGAGACCGGGCACAGTGGGAGGCGGCGACTTCGCAGGAGGGACTCCGAAACTCGACGGCACTGCTACGGGTGGCAGACCCTCGATAGTGGGCGGTGGGCCAGCTGTTCAAGGAGGAATGTAGGCACGGGCATTCGCACGAATGTAATGACGAAAGAGGCTGCTCACGCTTGTACATCAATGCCTCTGAGATCGTCTCGCCGCGTTGCGCGTGTCCGAGCAGGCGCACTGCAATGCCAACGCCCTTGCGAGTAAGCACTCCATTGTTGTCCTCGTCCGCGATGTTCCAAATCTCCGCGAGCACGCTGGGGGAGAGCTTCGAACCGCTGAATATCTTGACGGCGCCCTCGCCCGTAATGACACCGAGCTTCTGGGTGTCTGCCTGGGCGAATATCTGGTTGATGACCGCAACCTCTGCTGGTGTTGGGGTGAACTTGGACATGGCCAATAAGTTAGGACTAGGGCATGCGTCGGCCAGGGCAGTGAGCTTGCGAGTCTGAATCCAAGCTGACGTCCATCAGCGTCTCACCACTGGACCCCAAGCACCGTGGGAATCCCTGCACCCGGCCATGACCCGAAGCCGCCGAAAACGCGTGAAGCCGTCTGACATGACCCGGAGCAAGCGCATAGAGGACGACTCGAAAGCAGCAGAGGTTGCTAGTTGTTACACAGGGCCTGCAGGGCTCTTGGGAACTGAACATGGATGCCAACCCGAGTCTTGTCCCGATACATCTCATGCAGGTAGATGAGATCAGAGCTTCGATATCGCTAGACACACTTGGATGATCGCCAGGGTCGTGTGCTCCTCAACCTGCAATACACGCCTCGGCCTGCGAGCACTAGTGGCCTTGACAGTAGTAAGGGGGGTGGATGAGACACAAGGACTAGCTATTAACAATGAGGACGATGGGGATGCCCAGACGATGACGACTACTACTCCTACGCACAACAGCGTGCAAATATAATACGCAATGCATAGGCCTTCAGCCCTGAGCAATCAAATGCGCGTGCGATATGGACGACTAACTAATGTGAGGACTCACTGGTGACTACAGCTATCTAACCGGAGAATATACCTACCTACCTAACGACTATGTGGATCAATGCAGATGCGATGCGATACAGCTATGTAATGTTTGGCCTTCAGCCAAGGGTGATCAGACTACGACGATGGGAGACTGTCCCCTGATACGAGCAGATAGCGGGAACAAGAAACAGAGATGTCAACGAGAGGGGGCAGCTGCGATGGTATAGGACAGTGGCTGACAGTGGGAGAGACGGAACGATGGGTAACGCGCGACGGTACACGATGGAGATATACTATGATGGATGGGGATGGACTCAACAAGTAGAACACAGAGACTCTGGGGAGACAAGACGGCGGACTATGTGTATGTTATGTGATGTGTATGCAGCGCGAGGACGGGTGATGTGGAGATCCTTGTGGGCGGAGACGAGAGGCAATAACATAGAATCGAAGCAAGAGTAGAAGCGGTAAGTGGTGCCTACGAGCAGTGATGCCTAGTCGATTACCGCGGTCTTCCACCGCGAGTACGGTTCGGGAGCTTCTTGATCTGCCTAGACGTCCCTTGCTGAGGCGCAGCAGATCCGATGGTGAATCCCACTCCTCCTGGCGTAGGCAACGAGGTCGTGGCGCCGAAAGGTGAGGAGGGTGATTGGGTAGCGGAGCTTGGTGCTCCGAAGGTGAAGGCAGGCCCGCCCGACGAGCCAGGAGGCTGTGGGAGGCCAGCATTGCCAATGGCAGGAGATGCGGGCTGGCTGCCGAACGCGAAGGGGTTCGATTGCGCAGTCGCGGAGGTGGGCGTGACCCCAAAAGAGAAGGGGTTAGACGTGGGTTGGCCGAAAGTTGACGGACTTGCAGGCTGCGAATTGATGACGGTAGGTGGTTGGCCAAATCCGCTAGGCGCCCCGCTGCCAAAGCTGAACGAGGTCGTGATGGGAGGGGCTGCCTGACCGAAGGGCACAGAAGAACCAAATGGCGCAGGAGAAACCGGCGATTGCACACTCTCCACAGGCTTCGAACCGAAAGCGAACGGAGACGAAGTAGCACTCTGACCAAAGCTAGCGAAAGTAGGCTTGACCTCAGGCTTCGTCTCCGTCTTGGCGCCAAACGCGAAGAGGTTGGCCGCAGGCTGACTGGGCTGCCCGAATGGCGAAGCGTTCAAAGTGCTGGGAGCGCCGAACGTAAAGCCAGTTGTAGGCTTCGACTCGCCATTCATGTCCATGCCACCGCCACGAGTGGGACTCTCCTCCATGCTCATCTCCTGCTCTTTGTGAGGCGGAGTGATTGAGCGCGCCGGGGTAGCAGCGCCGAAGGAGAAGGGCTTCGAGACATCAACACCATTAGTGCTGGCGGACGGGCCACCAAAGAGCGTTGTAGGTGCAGAGACGGCAGGAGTAGCCGGAGTGCCAAAGGTGAATGCGGGCTTGTTGTCAGCTGGTGTACTCACAGGAGGCGTAGACGGCGTGACACTGAACGAAAAGGGCGACTTCGCCGGGGTCGCGGGAGTCGGGGCCGTCGGCGCAGTAGAACCAAAATTGAATCCTCCAGTGCTCCCGGTAGAGGTCGACGGGAACAGGGGCTTGGGTGCCTCAATGGGAGGAGCAGGCGTGGACGAGGAATGCGCACCGAAGGTAAACGTGGGCTTAGGTGCTTCAGCGCTGGCACTATCCTGGCTACCTCCGAAGGGTGAAGGGGAGGAGGCAGGCGGCACACCAAAGAGTGACGGTTTCGCAGGTTCGCTAACACCAAAAAATGGTTTAGCCTCCGGAGCCTTCGCAGGTTCGGGCTTTGGCTGACCGAACGAGAATGGTGCTGGAGAGAGCGTGGTAGCCGGAGCAGTGGCAGTTGTCGCAGGCGCACCGAAGCTGAACGAGAGGCCGGAAGACGCAGTGTTCGTTTGCGGCGCCTTGGTGGCTGGTCCGCCAAAGGCGAATGGAGAGCTGGCGGAGGCCGACGGCTTCACCTCCGGAACGATTGGAGCCAGCGCAGGCTCTTTGGCGATGACTGGAGACGTGGTGGAAGAGGACGTAGATTGGCTGGTGGCGGTATCTTTAGTCTGGCCAAAGGAGGCGAAGGAAAAACCGGAGGACGAAGCCGCTGGGGCACTCGCAGACGCAGGCGCGCCGAACGAAAACGCTGGGGCCGGTGTGGGCTTGGGGGCCTCCGCGTTTGACGTCGGCAAGTCCTTAGAGGTAACAGGAGGCGCAAAGGATGGGATATTACCGAAGAGCGAAGGCGTGGCTGCAAGCTTCGCCTCTTCCTTAGCTTCAATTTGGGGAGCTGCAGAAGCCTGAGGCGGCACCGTGACAGGAGCGGGAGGAGCAATTGTAACGCCGGGCTTTGTAAAGATCGACGAGTTTGCGAAGAAGTTGGGAATGCTCGAAGCAGGGAGCTTGATACTCTCGGCATCCGATTTGGCAGGAGCGGGGCTGGGAGGTATGAGAGATATCAATGGCACAGGCGGGGAAGTAGCGAGAGCAGCCTTCGAAGCGGGTTCCTCAGAAGCGGGTGCAGCTGGAGTTGTGGCTGGAGCAGGCGCAGCGGTTGGCGAAGACGACTTTGACGGCTGACCGGAGATGAAGGGTGGGTTCGGACTGGGATTCGTACCTGTGGACGCAGCGGAGGTCTTCATGAGCGAGAACGGGAGGGCTGAGATCGGGGGCTCCTTTGCGTTGCTCGAGTCGTGCAGTACCGGTGCCTTCTGCATGATAGTCAGCATCACCGCAGAATCGTATACATTGCTCGCAACACCAAATGGCATACGGACACTCACATCCTGCGCAAACGTGAAGCCCTTTGGACTCTCAAACAGCGTAGGAAGCTTCTTCGGCTCTTCTTCCCGAGCCTCGTCGACCACGTCTTCACCTTCATCATCGTCAAACGCAGCAGAAAAGCGATTCTTTGCCTTCGAGACGGGACGCGCAATATGGTTGCGTGAAGTGCGAGTGCGTCCAACGCGCAGCGAAGACTGCTCGCGACCACCAACGGGACGAGCAGGTGGCGCGGGAGGGGGGGGTGATGGGAACCTAGCGGATTCCTTCCGGACTTCGGATATTTCCGCCTCGGTAATTCTCTGCGCCACTTCATCTTGATCTTCTTCAATTGCGTTGTCACGCTCCTTCTCAAGCTCCTCCTGCTCCTCTTGCTTACGGCGAGCAAGCATCTTTTTCATACCCCCTCGGCCTGCGTAAGGCTTTGACGCCACTGCTTCATCCTCCTTCTCCTTACCATTCTTCTCAGATGTGCCGAGCCGAGGCTTACGTTCACGCTCGCGATCAGAGCGCATGAGTACAGGCGCATGTGTCTTCTTTGGCTTGAACATATCCGGGATCGTTTGTGAACCCCGGAGACGGGACGGTAACAGTGGCGTCTTGTACACGTCCAGGTCATGGAGTGCTTTCTCGGCAGCATTAACGGGCATTGCATACGCTATGATTGAGCTTGTCAAAAGTGGCGATGATGACATAGTCTCATTATAAGACGTACGTGCAGAAGTGCTCTCAGAGATAGTGCCTGGACGAGCGCCGAGGAAGAGCTGGCGCATGGGCGATCGACTCTGCAGGGAATTATTACATCTGATAAGCCAAGTGAGATGCGTTGTACACGCACAATTCGTCCATTTGCTTCTGCAAGCGAGCCGAGAGTCGTAACGTCTCGCTCTGACCGACTTTGAGTCACTTGCGAAGGCGCCCTGAGAAACTCCGGCTTTGTCTTGAGCTGCCCCACCGGCGGGGGCTCCGACGGATCTCGCTCCTTGTGGCGAATGTTAGGACCAAACGTCTGACCGATCGGCTGGGGGGTGAGAGAGCTTCTAGCACGTAGCTGGAAGGAGGAGTCACGACGGGAGGGCGACATGGTAACATCACGAGCAACGGGTCCAGGCTGACCATCCTCCATCGAGACATCGCGAGAGAGCGATAACGCACGATATGCCGGAGGGTCCATTGACTGGGTACGCTGCAAGCTAGTATACGGGCCGAACCCCATGATGCCTGCGGGGGAGGCCGTCCGACGAGCAGGATGGGCACCCTGGACGAAGGGATTGGGTGGGGCAGTGGCCATCGACGAGGAGCGGCCGTGACCAGGATGAGCACCAGGCTTCTGGCGTGTGCCAGGCTGCTTGGAAATGAGGTTCTCGGGGACATCGAGATAGCCTTGAGTAGTACGCGTCGCGGGTTGCTGCAGAGGCGCGGAGAGCTCGGGGCTGTCTACCCTCTTCCGCTTTGCGCTTGGCTGATCCTCGTGGTAAGTGCCTTCGTCCTCGAGAATAACGTTGTGATTTCGACCACGCTTGCCCGATAGGTTCTCCTGGTCGTCATAGGAGGTTAACCAGGCGAGGGGCGCGGAAACTATATTTTTGAGAGCCCCGAAAAGAGACCCGGAGCGAGTCAACTGACCGCGGGGAGGGCGGCGACGACCATGTTGTGCACGGGGAGAGTCTCTAGAGAGGAGATACGGGGGCATCGAGCCAGTGGCGGATGCAAGACAAGAGCAGGCTGCCCTCGCGGCTGTGGCCAAGCACAGATGAAGAGCCCAGTCTCACCCGCTCCGCCACTGCAAAACGTCACACTCACGTCACGCGCGGCTCTCTGTGACTTTATGTGACATACGCGAGCCCCATCGCGAGACGCGTTGTTCTCGCATCCACCAGCGTTACTGGTGCCACTCACGGCTGCTTTCTTCTGTTGTTCTCGTCTGTCCTCGCGGTTCTCCTTTTGTCGCGTAGACAATGCCTCGCGAGATTGTAACGGTCCAGCTGGGCCAGTGCGGCAACCAAAGTGCGGTTTCCACTGGTCACGCGTAACGCTAGGCTGACTCGCGTCTTAAGTGGGTTCCGTATACTGGCAGAGGCTATGCGCTGAGCACGGCATCAACAAGGAGGGGATTCTCGAAGACTGGGCGACTGAAGGCGGTGACAGGAAAGACGTGTTCTTCTACCAGGCGGACGACGAGCACTATATTCCGCGAGCCATTCTGGTCGATCTTGAGCCGAGAGTATGTGAATTATACGACGCGTTCCTGAGAATTGACATGGATGTATGCGCCCCCGGAAGGTCATCAACAGCATTCTCAGTTCACCATTTGCGAACCTGTATAACCCAGAGAACATCTTTGTGTCCAAGGATGGCGGGGGTGCAGGAAACAACTGGGCTCAGGGATACTCAGCTGGCGAGCGAATATACGAGGAAGTGATGGAGATGGTCGACCGAGAGGCAGAGGGAAGCGATTCTCTAGAGGTGTGGTATATGTTATGAAATTGTCAATAGTCACAGAACCTGATTGACATTGCAGGGGTTTATGCTTATGCATTCAATAGCAGGCGGAACAGGTTCTGGCGTTGGCTCTTTCCTTCTCGAGCGGCTCAACGACAAATTTCCCAAGAAACTCATCCAAACATATTCGGTTTTCCCGAACGCACAAGAGGGAGATGTCGTAGTGCAACCTTATAACGCGCTCCTCACCCTGAAGCGACTGACGAACCACGCTGACTCGGTTGTGGTGTTGGATAACGGTGCGCTCACGCGCATATCTGCGGACAGACTGCATGTCCAAACGCCAAGCTTCGACCAGACTAATCAGCTGGTGAGAACTGGATGCTATGCTTCTCCTAGTATAGAAGAGCTCATGACGACACAGGTTGCAACTGTGATGGCAGCAAGTACCCAAACACTACGATATCCTGGCTACATGAATAATGATCTCGTTGGAATCATCGCCTCTCTTATCCCCACACCGAGGTGCCATTTCCTGATGACATCATACACACCGTTCACCAGTGACCAGATCGACAAGGTCTGTGTGCATACATTCAATTGCACATCCATCCGTGCTGACGAGTTCTGCAGGCGAAACCTATCCGCCGTACGACAGTTCTGGATGTCATGCGTCGCTTATTGCAGCCTAAGAACATGATGGTCTCCACAACCCCCAGCAAGACCGCCTGTTACATATCCATCTTGAACATCATCCAGGGCGATGTCGATCCAACAGACGTACGTAGATGCATATATGCGCGACTATCTGAAACATCATGCTTACAGCGTTACGCCATAATTAGGTGCATCAATCGCTCCTACGAATCCGGGAACGACAGCTGGCAAACTTCATCCCCTGGGGCCCGGCGTCGATCCAGGTCGCGCTCACACGCAGGTCGCCGTATGTCCAAACGAACCATCGAGTAAGCGGCCTCATGCTCGCCAATCATACGAGCGTGGCTTCGGTACGTCATATCGGAATCCATCTGCCTGCACTTCGCTTCTCATACTGAATCCGGTATCCCTATGGCGGCACATCAGCTCTTCAAACGGATGATCGACCAGTTCGACCGGCTCAGGCGGCGCAATGCATTTGTGGAGCAATACAAGAAAGAAAAGATGTTCCAAGATGGACTAGAGGAGTTCGACGACGCGCGGTACGCCCTCGCCTCCAGCGTCGTCCGTACCTGACGCCTATCCCTCACGCTCGCAAATTATTCACAGGGCGACCGCTGAAGAGTTGCTCAAAGAGTACAAGGCTTGCGAGAGCCCGGACTACATCACATATGTGCGTATCTTGTTCTATCCTCTTCAAGCTATTTTATGCGGCCGCCGAGCGCAGCCTCATCATACTCTCAATACCCGATGTACTGAATAAGCCACTTTCATCTTACGACTAGGGTTCCGGAGATGCAGACCAGCCGGCGTGATACCATTGGGAGTGGCGTATATCAGCGAGATATCTGTATGATGCGGTCTACCTAACCTGTTGTATTCTAGCGTGCGTTTTACACTACGTCGATAATGCTATCGTGCTCTCCTCGAACATGGACCGGGCGGGTATCAGTGCTTCAGCTGGGAATCGATAACAGGACTACTGATACATTGTTGGATCCGAGATCGTGGGTGTGCCCTAGTCTGTCCTCTGACTTTCCTATGGTACTTACCTTCTATAATATAGTCCCTCCGATCCGCCTATCGTAAGTGGCTCACAGCATACCTCCCCGAATTCCTGGGTCCGCACCTACACGCAAGACACTAATAGGTAACTCACCGGCAGAGACTACGAGCTTGTAAGTCCCATGTCAAAATCATACAAGCCACAATGGTACATTCAGCATCGTGGGATCTTGGGCGTGTGCATTTGCGCGATGCAAGATATGGCGCTGACAAACACTATACAATTGCATGACGGATTAGGTAGATGCGATGAAAGCTCTAGTAAAACATGACAGGTGCATCAGGACATCAGGACAATACGACGGGTATCCCTCCTGCCTGGAGGTGCCGCGAGCAAGCCCGGATCCGAGATTAGGAGAAAGGAGCGGGTGAGACATGACACAACAGTGGCGGAGGGTAGAGCAAGCGAGTCCGTCATAGGCGCTACGAGCATGGAGGGGCGAGCCTACGACTTCTTAGGCCCCTCCAGCTTCTTCCCAATGTCGGTCCCGCGGAGCTTCACGCCGAGCACGCGCTCTAGCTTGGCAAGGATCTGAGGGTTGGGGATAGCACGGCCAGCCTCATAGTCCTGGAGGATGGAGGGCTTCTCGTTGATCTTCTGCGCTACATCCTTCTGCGAGAGCTGCTTCTCCATGCGCGCTGCCTGCATAGCCTATATTCGAGGTACCGGTATTGAGACACCCTGGTACGATTACCAAGCAAGACCCAAGTGACACGTACCTTGCCGACTGCAGGGTTGATCTTCGGGGGAGGCGCCACCTCGTTCTCCCGGTCAAGCTTGGCGATCTTCTGGTGGTCGGTCCCTGTAAATGCACATTCACGCAAACAGAAGCAGAACAAGGATGAGCAAAAGGAATCGATGTCATGCATACTGATAGGCTGACCTTGATGTGCCTTGTTCGTCCCCGCAGTCACCTTCCTATCGGTCCCAACGACGGCACCTGCTCGACGAGCCTGCGAGTGCATCCGTATTCGCATCAATCAATCGCCGCTGCGCGTTGCGCACTCGAGATGCATTTTACTTACAGCTGTATGGATGATGCGTCAGCAACCCATATCCCAATATCAAACGTAACGAAAGGGGAGGCTTGGCGTACCATTGAGATCAGCGGTGTTGCGGGCGACTTTTGGGGCCCTGGCCTTCTGGCCGATGACGAGCTTGCTGTCCCAGTCGGTGTTAGACATTCTCTATAGCAGATAGGGTAAAGTAGGAGATGTTCAGATGGGAGTCTAAGAGGTGAGGCGCAGTGGACGTGGACGGCGAGAGCTGGTGATGTGGGGAACATGCTCGTCTGACGCTCTTTCCATATATACTGAGCGCTAGAAATGGGCGCCTCTGAGTCATGCTCGGAGCGGGCGGGGTGAGGCGCGACAGCCCTGCTCCGTCTTGGTCCGCGCTTTGTGACTTCCGACCGACATGGACATCACTCGACGTGCTCGCTCAGAAGGCGTCTAGTCGGACTAACGTTGACGGGGGTAGCTGTTCATAGAGTAAATGCGAGGAAGACAAGTCTGGTCCTACGACAATAGGTATGTGTGCGAAGCGTCTAGAATGAGTGTGGCACTGCTGTATATGTATAGGATGGAAACGATGGTCGTGCCGGAGTGCAAGAATGGATGAGCGGAGGTCCATATGTTTTATCCAAGTGTCCATCAAGCAACCAATGTGTTGCTACTGTCTAATTTTGAAGGCGTGGGTTCCGGAATGTTTGGAGACGACATGGCGACATTAGCGTGGCCGAGTGAGCAGGAATGCGGCGGAGCAGAGGACACCCGCAACGAAGCCGACAGCGGTAGGCAAAAGAAGAGACGGAGACCGCACCGAGGTAGCATTCGCCGAGGCCTTCTTCGTATGGCCGCCAACGTCCTCGAGCCGCGGAACCTGGTTCTTCTCCCAGCCCTCGTCCAGCAACCTTGCAATCATTTTGTCATCCAGTAACGCCAATTCCTCCATGCTCCATGAAGAGCATACGTCTATCATCCACCGCATCCTCCTCTTTCCCAAGTCGCCCCCCACGCCTGGCGCGCGTTCCTTCAGCTTCTCCCTCAACTCGCCGACCTTCTCGATAGCCTCGCCGGCATGGTCCGGAATACATGTCTCGATCCTCTTCCGAATGATGTTTGCGAGCTTCGGGGAACGACCGTTGGTGGAGATCATGATCTGGAGAGGACCGCTGCGGATTTGTGAACCGAAATAGAAGTCGCAAGAGGGTGGAATATCAGCGACGTTGACTGGGATCTTTCGCTCCCTGCAGAGTGCGCATATTTGACGGGAGACCTCGACGTCGTCGATCGCTGTCAGGACCATGTCGACATCTGCGAGATCCTGCGGGCCCGCAAAGACACGATCATGATAGGCGATGCGGTCAGAGTTGTCGATGAAGTGCTTCGTGAGAGGGTGCAGGCCCGCCCGAGGAGCAATGAGGGTGATATGGGCGTCGGCCACGAGGATAGATTCGATGCGGCCGGAGGCGACGTCACCGCCGCCGACGATGAGGACGTTCTTGTCCTTGAGCTGCCATGCGACGATGAGGGAGCCTCCGGAGAGAGATGAGATGTCTGGAGGCATGGTGCTGTGTCTTGTGCGTGCGCAGCAGGGAAATTCGAATTCATAACCCCAAAGAGCGGTCTATTGACCGTGGGAACATCTTTTGAAACTGCTGCGCTGGCCGGTAGCCGGCGGTATGGACATTCTCGTCTCCGTGCCGGGTGATTGCCGTGCTCCGGGGCCGACGACCGGGACGAAGTGTAGGCTGGTGGAGGGCATAATAGGCGTGTTTGACGTGCGCGCTGCAATGAATGACAATGAAGGCTGCCATTGTGCCAGTCCGAAACCCGCGCGAAAGCGTATGTTTGGCTGCGGGGCTGGAATGGGCTGGATTTGTGGGAGAGGGAGAGGAGTGGCCATGGCGACCGGCCGTCCGGTCGCCATCATTTATGCGCGGCAGACATGGGTAGAAGTGCATCGCGTCGTTGCTGCCCCCGTCGACAGCTGAGCTTATACGCTTGCGAGCAGGTCCGTCTCCCCTCCTCCTCACCCCTTCGTTCCTCCCCCTTCGTTCTTCGACTGACGCGGTTCTCCCAGGCGTTGAACGTCTTTTCCTCTCTTTTTCTTGGTGCTGCAGCCACCTCTGTCGCGTCCACTCTCTCTGGAAGAGTTCCAAAGGCCGCCTTTTCAGTACCGAGTTGACTCGTATCTCGCTCGCTTCAGTCGTAGCATTAATCCTTGTGGTGAGTATCTATCATTTGCGGCGCAACGATACACCTTGTAAAATGGCTATACCGCCCTAGAAGAACCTACGCTGTATACAACCTAGCAGAAGATGCCTTCCAAACAGCTTATGAGCTTTTGGGCCTTCCTGGACCTCTGTCTCCTGGCGGCAGGTGTCATTTCCGTGGTCTTCTCGGAATTGTTCCGTATGCCCAACCTTGAAATCAACTTCACTCTCAACAACGGCTTCTTGCTTGGTGCGTCCCTTGCGTCCTGAATATCTGTGGGCTGTACCTGAACCTAGTATCTAGCTGGGTTGATCCTCGGCATCGTCCTTCTGTTCACATTTGCCGTGTCCATCGGTGCAATTGTGCAAAAGAATCATGTCACAATCGGTCTCGTCCTTCTCAACTGGTTCCTTGTCCTCGATGCCCTCGTTATCCTCATCGTTGGGACGATTATCTGGTTCTACTCCACGCAGCAAAGGGCCAACTATCTCAAGGTGTTCCAGGCAGCCTCCCCCGCCACGCGTATCGCGCTTCAAGACAAGGTATGTCGTTCCCGGCCTCCCAACGTTCAAGTTATAGATCTCAAGCATGATTCCCGTAGTACCAATGCTGTGGTTGGTTCACGCCCAACGACACTGTCCAGATTGGTGGCTCCTTCTGCGCGAACACGACGTTCGCCAACTCGCTCGTGAACCCGAACGACACTGGAGCCGGTCGCTGCGTTGGGCCTGTCACGAAGTTCACTGACTACACGCTCAACAACATCTTCTCGTAAGTTATCGGCTTTCACTAGGGTAACCAGCATGCCGAAGTTAACCTTATCACCTTTCACAGATCCGTACGTACCGCTTAAAATAGCTGTGGTAAGCTCTGCTGCGTTGCGGTACTGACCAATTGATCGTCTATAGATTTATGGGTTCATGGCCATCGTGATCCTGCTATTCCTGGCCACGATGTGTGTGATCAAGAGGGTGCGTGCTGCGCTTTATCTTTGTCCATGCTACTTTTAGACTGACCGAGGCTTTTCCCACTTCAGCGACAAGAAGAGGAGCGGTTCAAGAAGATCGACGCAAAGCGGGGCGGGAGGGGCTTCGTCTAAAGGGGTCGCCGGCTTCATCGCTCGCGCAACCTTCACTCCCATATTTCCTTTGTTCTTTATCCGGACGATATTCCCCTTTGCTCGCAAGTGGAGTAGCCTTCTAGTAACCCGCTATTGGACTCGGTTCGCTAGCTTAGTCGCTTTTCGCACGCTCACGCATCCCATCACATGGTCTCCATTGCTAGATGTTCCTTCCTGTTACAGTAGTTATCCTTGGAGTACGAGTCGCTCGTGTACTTTTACCGCTCTCTACCACCACTGCGGTCGGTGGGAGAATAAAGGGGATCAGGACTCATGTCTGGGTGTGAATGGCGTGACCGTCCCTAGCGTTCGGCAGGCATCGGCACGCGACGACAAGCGTCGTTGAATGCTTCTGGCCTTGTACTTAGGTTCTGTCCAACACTTGCTCTGAGCTATCCACTTCGAGGTGCGTCTAGATAGTACAACTTCGCGGCCACAGCCATATGATATGCGCAAGGTACCGGCGAAAAAACTGATGATCCTCAACTCCGCAGAACATACCGGCTGTATGCATGTCTTCTGCTTATGCACAGACAGCATAATGCTGGCTGACGCAAAAAGCTACTCGCAGCCTCGCTTGTAGTAATGGGTATGCGAATCGGATAGTCTCGTACCTTGACATACTCTCGCACCCTCCCACCGCAGGGCCACTCCAGGTAACACGTGGTACTTGGGTGCAAGACTAGTACCACGTCGAGGTATGAGACCACTAATGGCAAGTATACCGTGACCCGGAGTGTTGTGATCCTGCAAGCCTTGGTCAGTATGAAACAGTTCCTTCCTCAAACTCATAAGCGAGGCGACTACCACTAGTGATGACTCTACGATACTTTACGATTGAATTGATGTAGAGAGATGCAGCGGTCCCGCATCGACGATGACCACCCGTAGGCTGTCCGATACGTCACATGAAGACCGCAGCGGCTGCCAGCAAACAAGCAATACTTGGCTGGATACTTCGGGATAACGACCACCGGTCCATTGGTCGCAGTGTAACGAGCGCGCACCAGCTCCGTTGTGGCAATTACCACCATCCAGCTCACACTCCAAAGCGCTGTTCCCGGTACGCACACCCGCTAGTATGCCTGCGTATAGTTCATGAACCGACCCAACTGATTATCTTCTGTTCTGGTGTCAAGATGTATGCAAACTCCCTGGCGGCTTCTTCGTCAGTCTATACTTATAATGGCTATTTTCCCATTCCACGGGTACAAGTCGTGCTTCACCTTCCCCATACACGGGGAACGCCCAAACGATGGCAAGCATCGGTGGAGAGGTCGCTGCGGTGCTGTGATTACGTTCCGTTCCGTGCAGCCCTTTGTGAATTAACGTAAGTCTCACCCACATCCACATCGAGCCCTTGTATTTACGTTGAGGTCCATTTCAGCGTCCTAAGGCGCTCTCGGAGCTCGTCCCCCTCTGTCGTCTCCGTGTCAGCATACAACAGGCAGGACCCTGTGACGCCGTGGATTTGGACAAACCAATCACCACGCGATTCCCCTACAGCTCATATCTCCGACGTCGCTGCGTATTCGCGTCAGCTACATGCGTGAATATATCACGCGATGGTTTTGGAACGACACGGGCTCGAGGGCCCGTTATTAGATACGCATCAAGGACTTGGATACGCATCGATCGATATACTAGCCACAATCTCGTGATACAAGTATGGTGCCTCGACAACCGAGAAGGACGGTTTGAGGACTGAAGGCACATTGCCCTCGGATATTTTGCAGCCGATATTTCCGTGCTGTTACCCAAGAGCCGTGCAAGCGCGGAACTATGCCACTATAGGGCGACCCAGTGGACTTGGACCCACAATGGATGAACCGCTCCTTCCCGCCGAGGCCCCGAAGGTATGCCCCTGATCCTACTTCTCGGTAGGTGAGAACCCATATAGCCCTTTCTGCATAGGCACGCATTCTCATTCTTTGTTCGGTTAGCAGTTCGCTACCAGGCTTGAACGATTATGCGCGCGATGCCTCGACTGCGAACGCTCAGGAAGCCGTCTCTGTTTGGAGTCTCGGGATCGGCCGCCTGCATTACCACTCCTACGGCGACCCTAAGATGTTGTGAGTCGTGCCTATCGAAGATGTCCGGTCCTCCTCACGAACTTGCGAGGCGGTGGGCTCAGCACGCGCGGTAGTATCAAGCGGCCGCTAGCTCCGGGCGTCCTCGCATGACGCCATGGACAGCGGTGTATAAAGGGGTGTCCATGGGAGGGCCTACAGCAAACCAAATCGCACGGATATCACCACCATGGCCTCCTTCCTCGCCTTGGATAACTACTCCACTGTCCTCGCGTTCAATGTTGTGCTCCTCCTCATTGTAGCTGGCTGGCACATTAGAAAGCGACACAGGAATGCCCACCTTCCTCCCAGCCCGCCGTCCGACCCTATCATCGGGCACTATCGTATTTTCCCCCGCTCATACCAGGCCGAGGCATTCTTTGAATGGTCGAAGAAATACGGTAGGCTTCCGTTTGTCGGCTGGTGAACGCTATTAGCCCGAAATCGCTGATCTTGAAGACGTAGGGGATATCTTCTACCTGGAGATCCTCGGTCGCAAGATCGTCGTCGTCAACAACTATGAGATGGCAAACGAACTGATGGACAAGCGCAGCGCCAACTACAGCGACCGCCCGGTGTTCCCGCTCTTCATGAAGTGAGTGTGCAACAGCCGTCGGCTTTCCTACCGGCGCGCTGTGCATGGCAGATAGGCTCATCTGGGTGCCGTCTAGCCTTGGCTGGGGAGTCAGTGTGACGTTCCTGAAGTATGGTCCGCAATTCTTCAAACAGCGCCGCATCCTGCAGCAGTACCTTGCCAAGTCTGAAGTTGCGCGCTTTCGTCCGATCCATACGGAAGAAGCCCGCAAGATGCTGAAACATCTCGTTGAACGCCCGACAGATTTCGACTGGATGGTCCGCCGGTACGTATTGGAGGCCATGCTCGCATGTTACCCATGCCAACGGAGCGATTCTTTGGCGGCCACAGGTTTGGAGCGGCCGTGATTATGAAGATAGCATATGGTCACCAGATTGAGCGCGATGATGACGAGTACATCAAATTAACGGAGAACGTTTCGCTGGCGCATGTGGATGCGGGAGACCCTGGCACGGCACCGGTCGACTTCTTCCCGATCCGTAGGCAGACAATGCATTACGTTTTATTAAATCACTGACCACTGTCTACAGTCCAGTACTTGCCATGGTGGTTCCCGGGCTGTTGGTTCAATCGGGTCGTCCACAGTAAGTCTACAGGATCGTTAAGTGTGATGGGAGACCGGCGCACAAGTGACCATACTTCTAGATTGGAGCTGGGCTATCAAGAAATTCCATAATTATCCATTTGAGCAAGTCCAGCGGCAGATGGTAAGCAGGCGAATGGCACCAATCGCCAAAATCACAGCGCTAAGCAGGTGTATACCAGGCTGAAGGCCACGCCCCGCCGTCGTTCCTATTGACGTACCTGGAAGATTTTTCTAAACCTGACTACAAGGGCGAACACAGTCTGGACGACCTCAAACACGCCACCGGCGCAATTTACGCCGGCGGAGCCGAGACCGTAAGTCGTTGTTCACGCACTGAGCTCGACAGACATGATGCAACCACTGACCGGCATGAATCGGCATTCCCCAGACCTACTCCACGATCAACACGTTCATCCTCGCCATGGTTTTGCACCCCCACGTGCTGAGGAAGGCTCAAGAGGAGATAGATAGGGTAGTTGGCCCCAATCGACTGCCCGACTTCGATGATCGCGAGAGTCTCCCTTACATCGAAGCCATCTTCGCAGAGGTGCTAAGGTCCGTAGTCATATTTCTCTCGTCAGCGATACTACAGCTCATGCGGTACGATCTGCTACGCAATCTGCACAGATGGCGCCCTGTAGTCCCGCTCGGTAAGTACGAGTATGCGATACGCGATGTACCCTGAAACACGACATTGACCAACGCCAACCGATTACCCTGCGTCGTCGTCCAGGCATTCCCCACAGCACCCTGCAGGATGATACGTACAACGGCATGTTCATTCCTAAAGGCACTATGGTTTTCGCAAACGCCTGGTACGTGACAGTCAGCGTTTGAGCGCGATTCCAACCCCCACTGCCACTTGAAACTCACGCTAACGGTGATACATTGCATATGTCCGTCCGCAGGTCCATGGCCATGGACACACGTGTCTACCACGACCCTGAAGTGTTCAAGCCTGAACGTTTCCTGCCTGGACCGCATGGTCCCCCTGAGCAGTTTCCTCACGCCTCGTTTGGTTTTGGTCGCCGGTATGTTTCATGGCCGCATTTGGGCGTAGTGTCGGTTGACTCACCCTGCATTACGTATGATAGCATCTGCCCTGGTCGTTTCCTGGCCATGGGGAGTGTCTGGATGGCGATCGCGTCGCTCTCAGCTACCATGGATATTCGCAAGGCGAAGGGACCCGACGGCATCGAGATTACGCCCAAGGGGGAGTACACGTCCGGGCTGTCCAGTTTCCCGAAGCCGTTCCCGGCCGACATTCGCCCTCGCTCTGAGCAGGCACGCCGCCTAATATACAGTTACGTCTGAATGATGTCCATACGATACCGCCGGATACACGATCGTTATTGCTCAGTGTTTCATCGTCATCGAACAGACTGTTGACATATCTTTCCCCTTGCCAAACGCCCCCAATACTCACATTGTGAACATTGTACACTATTGTATGATATGTCCTTCTGGACTGTTGTCGTATGTCGAGCCATATTCTCAACTTGCTCTCAAACCCTTCGCAAACATCCCATCCACGTTAGCACGCCGTCATCGTATCCGTTCAGATACACGCTTCCACTAAGTAGTTTGCGCGTATCATCGGCCATTACGAACGAAACAGATCGGAGTAGGATATCAATTGTCCGTGTACAGTCATGATCTTACACACCAGCCCATGGGTGGCTGACGAGTCGCTGCACTGAAATGAGTGCTTGGTATCGGACCTCAGGGTCAGAGTGCGACAGCAGCTCCATCACACGAGTCTTCGCTCCCAAGTCTGTCAGCACCCTGCGCAGACACAGCGACGGTAAGTCATGATAGAGCTCGAGACATCTGACTATGCGCTTACTTCTTCCCAAGCTGATAGTGCTTGACGTATTGTCCAACGTCGTGCGCCGCCACGGCGAGCACTGTTGGGTCGTTGGATTCCTTGAGGAGCCTGATCAAAATCCTGGAGCAACCACATCAGCGGGGCTGGTTACGACTATTATGATGTCTCGCGCACTTCAGCAGCTCGTAGTCCTTGTCGTTCAGCTTTGTCGCGTTCTCCTTCCAGAAGAGGTCGGACTCATGTACTGGGGTCCATGAGAGGTGACCCGACAGCAGCTCAGAGCGATACTCGTCGTACGTCCTAGGAGGCAGGCTGTCAGCTGAAGGCCTTGATGTCATTGTAGGGTGTACCTACGTAAGGCTATCGAATCGCGCGCTCAGCTCATCGCGAAGGAACTGGATGTCCTCGACGATATCCTCATCGGTCCACTTGCGTCCGGAAAGATTCTTCGCGAACGGCAACAGCTGTGCCACAAGCATCGCGGGAAGGTTTGCTTGCGGCGCTTTGGAGACGAGATTCTATGCACACGAGCACACTTGAGCCTCCAGTTGATATAGGGGAGCTGCTGCGACATACTCGGAACGTCGCGACAATTACTCGGATAACCTTCTCTTTGGCTGCTCCTTGGGCGACATCGACGAGGAGAGGTATTATGTCGAACCGCCTGTGCCCCAAGTCAACACGGAAGCCGAGCACCAGTCGAATACAGGGTGTAACGAACGCACTTCTGAATCTGTTCCGCTACTTCCTGCTCGAAGGTGAGTAGCCAAAAGCAGAATCCCACTTGGTACGACATCTGCGGCGTGGAGTTATGCTTCAAGATATCAGCCAATCTAGGATTACAGAAGAATACTTAGTCATAGTAGGCACACTCTCTAGGAGAACGGCTAACCCAGCGACAAGCGAAGTGTTGGCCCAGACAGCTCTCCTGACTTCAGGACGGGGCAAGACGGCCTCAAGACACTGAACTGCAACATCTCTCTTGTTCAAGTTGTTGTTAGCAACGAACTGGGCGAGGGTGTTCAGGAAGGGTTGGAGCTGTTGCACTTGTAGGGGTGACTTCTCCGAGCTGGAGGGAGAGTCAAGATTACCAGGCCGGCTAATCAGACACAGCAGTGCCTACCTGAGTAAGACGGTGAGGATTTGTGTAGCCTTGAGCTGCACAAAGTCATCTTGTGATTCCAAGATGCTAGGAAGTCGAAAGAAGATGAGCGCTAATTGGCTACAAGGTTCGGGGAGACGTACCGGAGTAATGGACTGTACGGTAACTCTGGGTCTGATTGCGAGGCAGTCGTGAACAAGGGTATCCGTTCCTCGTGGTCTGTCTTGACGCATATAGCTCCTGCCCTCCACCAAGACCATGGAAAGACATACCAGTAAGAGCGTCCGCGATCAGAACGAGTATGCAAGACTGCGTGTCTATCCTCTGGAGCTTCTTCAATAGACGAAGGTAGAGTAGGGCGTATGTCTGGCCATCGGAGGCGTGAAGAGATTCGATTTTAGGGCGGGTCTGGCGGTCAACCTTCTTAATAAGAGCGAGCTCGTCGGGAGTGATGAGTCCAGCGCGTTGGTATCCCTGTATGTGTTCGGATGAGCAGTCGTGTCTCGATGGAGGTGGCTGGAGCAGCTTGTACCTCCCAGGGTACAGGCTTCGCGCGAATCTTGGCTGAGTTCTCGTCAAGGTAAGAGTTGGAAACAAGTGTGATGGACATCCTAGGCAATCCCGAGGCCGCTACTGGCCTTAGAGGAGAGGCAGCCGTTAGAGACAGAGCACTCGCGAGACAGTACTACCGCCGAGAACCGTGACCTCAGTCTACGTTTTAGGCAGGTGATTCTCACAGACCATTTTGGGAAAAGTCGAGTGCTGGTGTACTCGGTGTACTGGATGCTTTCGAAGTTCCGGTTCGTCCTCTCTGCTCCTGGTCTCATGTTGTCCCGAAATGTGGTCTCTGCGTGCAGACAACGCACAAGAGGTGGGCTAAGTTCCACTCTCATCGTATATTCTGTCGCTTGACGCGCATTAGTAGGATGCCTGCATGCCCCGTCACGCTCATTAGCTTCCATCGCCGAGGCCTCTTCCTCCGCCGCTTCCTCTTCCTCCGCGACTAAAGCCGTCATCAATGCTGCAGTCATTGTCAACCGCTCTCCCATTCTTACACGCACGTCATCCCTCTTCGAACGCGCTTATTACGCCTACCAGTCACGCATTCGTCGCGCCCTCTTCAATCCCTTCCCAACCGAGTTCTACTTTAAGACCGGCTCCTTGCTGGAGAAGAAGTTTGCCCGAGAAGAGAAGTTGCGTGAAAAGGAGGCTTTTGGTGGTCCATGGTCTTTGAAGCGGAGTGACCGGGGTTCGGAGGATGATGGCGAGCTTGGGAGCATTCAGGTTTCACCTGACCAGGCAGACAACATGGGCGAGGAGCCTATCGAGCCACCTGCATCGAGGATACACGAGGCGGACAAGGAGGGTGACGTGAAGAGTCTTGACAGGCTTGGTGAGCGGAATCTCTACCTCCTCATTCGGGGTAAGGACCACCTGGGTAAGGAGGTGTGGAGGTTCCCTCAGGGTCCACTACAAGACGGGGAGTTCCTCCATCAGGTGAGCTGTCTTGATGGTTTGAACATAGTGGCCACTGCTCAAACCTATGCTTCTTCAGGCTGCGTTGCGTGACCTTCAGGCCGAGGTCGGTGAGAATATGGACATATGGGTAGTGGGCAAAAAACCTATCGCTGTGTATCAGCCCTCACTACCAGAGAGCACAATCAAGTCTCTCGCCGGAGAGGTACGTATAGCTTTCCGTAGCTGGAGTGTTCTCAGCTCACTGGACTCGACTCGCAGCTGTATACATTCTTCCTCAAGGCACACATTCTCGCCGGGCAGGCTCGGCCATCTGGCAAGAATGTCACAGATTTCGCTTGGCTCACGAAGGAAGAGATTGAGCCTCGGGTAGAGAAGGATTACTGGGCGAGCGTCAAGGATATTCTATCAGACCACTAATGCTTTCGTCATAATTGCTTTGCATTACACCTGCTCATACACATCCGCTGGAGACCTATGCTGTTTGCGACCCTGCAAGCGAAGAAGACACTAACGTCGTTCAGAGTCGGTACACTACACGCGCATACCATTCCTCCGAGCTGTCGTAACGTATGAGGTATGGCCCTTCGTCTCATTCGGGTAGATCGCAAGCAACATGTACGATCACTGTTGGCCCACTAGGAGTCAGGAACGCAACGCTAGCCAGAGGATTGCTTCAGTCTTCTCTCTGATTTCCACTACAGCCAGCCTTACATTGTTCGTACAAGTGGTACCCACAAGGCACTCTTCCGAGCTGCGACATATGACTGACGAGTTACTTGGAGATGCACCGCACAGACCCTAACGTATTCCACTCTGAATCAGCACGCTTCTTCAACCGTGTACCGCTGCAAAAAAGACTGACCCCCACTACCCCACCGAGGAGGGGCACACACTCGCAGCCGTCCCCACAATCTTGGGAGTTGAGTGCACACAGGACGGCAGAGCAAAGGGTCGTTTGACGAGCATGCAGTATCTCCTCGGCTAGACAGACGCGGGTTGCCCCTATGGCCACCACGAGAAGGAGGGATCGAGAGAGATCACTTAACATGACGTGGTAGTGCTGGGGATGTACGAGGAACAGCGATTCGGACTTTGTCGACCTTTTACTAGCATCGGACTGTACCTTACTCCCACGTCGGGGTGCCTTCGAGGATACATGTGCTAACACGATGGGTACCTTGCCCCGGCAGAGCACCGGGTGCCTCGACTTCCACACCAGGTACCGAGATCGAACTTCCGAAGTCCTATTGCGAGCATGCGTGAGATACAGTGACAGTATAGAGAGGTGAGTAGCCTCAATCTGACTTAGTATGTAGTAATGTTTACCGAAAGGGTCCGTGGCCCCAACCAGCCAACCGAACCTCATTGGCGAGCCTTTACGAGCACCTTCTTGAGCTGGGCGTTCTGCCTCTCCAGGCTCTCAACCTTCTCCTCGGCTGCGCGCATCTTCTTGAGCAGGTAATTCTCGCGCATTTCGACGGCACGTTTAGAGCCCCACCAGCTGGCGGTACCCGCGTCGATGTCCTTGAGCGTGAGCAGCTCAGCTTCACATGCCTGGACCGTAGCCTCCGACGATGCAATGATCTTTTGGTTGAACGCAATGTCTTGGGTAGCGTGGAATGTCGGGTCTGGTGCCAGATAGACGTTGGTTGCTTGTGTCATGTGAGCGAGCAGATGACGTACCCTTAACTAATTGCTCGAAGACCCATCTGAATACAGGCTTGCCCGGCTTAATCGTGGACGGCCGTCCTGAGGGTGATGTGAGCCTAGGTGTCTACAACGGGGCGCATGGCTTACCGTTGACAGTGCCAATAGTGATGAGCTCGGCGTGCTCCATGCTCCGCAAAGGGGTCTCGTCACCCTTGAAGGGGAAGTCCATGAGGACCTCGTGGTAGGAGACCTATCATGACGGCACCATTTAACCAGATCTTGAATATAGGGTCTGCTTGCCTGCACCCACCTCCGGCTGCTTCGCAAGTTGCTTCACCAAAATCCATGCCTGCTCCCTTGTCCACGCGAGATTCTTCGCGTCCTCAACGTCGTCTCCGAAGGCGTTCTTACGCAACTCGCTCACGCCACGAATGACGATGTCGTCGACAGCCTCCTCAACGGACATGCCGCTGCGGACTTTGTGAACGAGCTGCGGGGCACGATGAACTAAAGCTTTTCCTCATGTAGAGACGGACTCACGCTCTCGAGGTCGCTAGCTCGGCCACCCAATCGCTCAATATACGAGATCTGGTCACGATTGAACTGTACGTCCACGCCGCTATCATGCAGCTTCTGCTTGACAAATGAAAGCGCGCTGGCGTTGTCGGCATCGGACAGGCTGATCTGGTTGAGCGGCTTCGAAGGGAGGGCTTTTGCCAGCCTTTTAACGTTCTCGCGATTGTCACTGACCACAACGACATGCGCGATCTTGCGACCTGGTGAGTACAGAACAGTCGGAAGCACTACCGAACACTCACCTGGTTCTCGGCTAAGCTCGCGGCCCATGAAGCGAGCACGTTGAGCAGCTCCTCCTTCCGCGCGCCGCCGCCCTTGGACTCAAAGTTCTTGATGATGACGACGGGCAGTGTATCTACGGTCTGCGTGTCTTCGGAGCGTTTCTGCTTCTGCGTGAAGTCTCTGCCAGCGTTCGAAGCCTCGTCTTTCTCTCTGATATTCCTCCTCTCGCCCTCCGCTTGACTCTCGAGCGCCACCGTAGGCAATGGGTCGGCTTCGAAGTCCTTGAAGGGCTCAACGCCAACGCCGAGCTCACTCATGACCCCATTACCGCAGACAGCGTCAATCCGTCCATCGTGCCACAGACCCTTCTTGATCCTTTCGCGAATTACCTCTTCCTCCTTGAGCTTTTCTGCGTCCCGCTCGGCTTGCTTCACAGCCTTTTCACGGCGGGCGTGTTGAGAGGCGTTCCCACGGGACAAGCCACGAGCCACGACGTCCAAGATATCCTTCAGTTGATCGGTAAGAGATGAACTCAAGCCGGCTGTAAAGCCGATGATACGTCATATACCGGCGAACGCCAAGCCGAAGACGGCGCACCTTTCTGGCCGATGATACCGACGCTGGCCATGTCGATAACGTTGTTTACGGAATTGAGGAAGGAGAAGACAGGCCAGTACCCCGTTTGATTGGCAAGACCAGCCACAAGCGCCGTATCCGAGGATGCCTTCGACAGCTGAGCTATGTCAATGACGATTGCTTTCCTAGAACCGATGTGAAGCATCAAACCCGCACCCCTTACAGACCAAGGAAAGAGAGCACCTACCGACCGGAGTCCTTCAGAAGCCTAGAAAGCAATTGCGTTTTGCCACTACCCTGGGGCCCATGCATGAACGCCAACGTGGCTGTATAGCAGTAGCGATCAGCTTTCTGTGATCACATCCTACAATGGCACCTACTAGGGAAGTCCGCCAGATACTTCTCGAGAGCTTCCTCCGCTTCCCTCCTCTCCTTCCAGCCACCTTGCGCTGCGAGGCCTAGCTGAGCTTCGGATTCCGCAGACGGAGAAGAGAGGTAGTCAAGAGTATTGGCCCGGAGCCACTGATATACCTTGTATTCTGCGAGAGGCGTTAGTTGTTGTGGAAAACATTGTCTGGTCATTGGCAGCTCACGTCTGTAATCAAACCAGTCGTTGACCTTCCCCTCCACCATGAACACGCGGATTGGGTCAAATATCTGTGTAGCTGTGAGCAAAAATCTGGCGCGAGACAAGGGGCGCACGAACAGCATATGTGACAGTACCCAAGAGGAAGAACAGGACGGGGAGGAAGATCCTAGGGTGACTCGCGATGTAGTCTCGCACAGCATGAGCTGCTATAGGCTGAGCGTAAGATGTCCGTAGGACAGTAGATGCCGATGACGTCGGGATGTTCAGGGAGTGTATGGTATTTCGGGCGGAAGTCGCAGAACGTAAGTGACGGAAGGAGATCTGAGCCGACCTCATGCTTCCAGCTGGGACGGGGGAAGGAGGTGTGATATCCAATATACGGCCATATGGCTATATATATCGGGGTTAGGGAGAAGGGTAGGTGGAAAAGCGGCACGTACCCGAAGGAGACGATACAATGCTTCGTCCGACAAGTCGGGACCTTCAAATGATACCCTGACTATAGACGAGACGAACCTATTCATGTCCTAAGAGTGTGAATTCGAGATACATTGAGGATGTCGAGCTGAGTGGGTTAATGCTATGTGCGTACCTCCCGCCAGGGTGTGCCCCTCACAAGCCAAAGCTCTCCTTGAGGCAATCCAAACCATGACGGCACTCCCCCATGCGAGTGGACATACTTCCGTAGGTCGTCCAGTATTGCCTGTTGGGCACTTTCGGGATCGGCGGCGCTGTACCTGAACTTGACGAAGACCCCGCCGTCCTTGATATGGGATTCGAGGGAGACTATCTCCAAGCCATGGGTATTGACCTTAACGAGAAGAGCGCGAAGCCTTTCCAAAAGAGTATCCTCGCGCGCGTAGCCAACGTATCTCCGTAAACTGCACCATGTCAAGGCATAAGGGGCGGTCCCCGGGTTTCACAAATGGATCAAAAACTCACTCCAGTCGGCCCAAGCTGATTGGAAAGACAGAGTCGACCCATAACCAACCCTCCTTGGTCTACGCTGATAAGTGATAGCCAGAGTAAGTCAGAGTTTGACTGCACCTCTGGTACACTTTGAACATCCTCCTCCGCGGGGACGGTGGTCGCAGCCGCGTCTTCAGCAAAGTGCCTGCAATGCCTGACGAGCGCGATACTTGGGGAACGCCTGAGAAGTGTTCTTGATGAGGAGGCTGTAATGTTCCTCAGAATTCTAGCAGTGGCCGACATGGCATGTCCGGGGAGTGAATAAGAGGCAGAAGAGGACTGAGTTCGCTGCACGCCACGGAGCCGTATCGGGACGCGTTCAACTGGCGGAGTCGGCAGATGACGTCAAACCCTGATCTGGCAGGCGGCGGCATTAGATCCTAACATGCACAAACAACCTCCCGGCGCCAGACCGTGTCTCAGGCGTCTCCAGGCGCGTCGAGGTCCCTCCTGGCAGAGGCTAGGTTTGCCTGCTCTTCTGTCTCAACTGCGAAGCTGCTCGTTTGGATCTCATTGCACAATTAGGCGACGAGTTCGGAATCAATCATGGACGGCGGTGGTCAGCTTCTATCGCTGAAAGTGATGCGGGTCTCGGTAAGTCCGCTGCAGTCGAGCAATGTGTCCCCGCTCAAACTTGCATAGCGGCCGTCACTCGGAAGCGCATGGGAACCTTTTTACTCGAGCTCCCCGTCTCTATCTGCACATTCCACCGCGTCGATCACGTCCCTCCAAGGAAAGACCCCCTTACCTGGCCATCCCAAGACCCTCCGCGATCTTACCCATATCACCGAGCTCCTCACACTGCCTTCATCCTTCGGCGCGATACAACTGGGCGAGACCTTCTCAAGCTGCCTCTCCGTCAACAATGAGGCCAATGTGGATGTGGAAGGCGTCATCGTTCACGTTGAGATGCAGACTGCTTCCACCAAGACATTGCTCGCTGAGTTTGGAGGGCCGGAACAGCGATTAGGTGTAGGCCAGAGCTTGGAGAAGATTGTCAGCCATGAGATAAAGGAGCTTGGACAGCATGTTCTGGGCTGCACGGTCTCATACCGTATGCCCCCTGGAGTACGGCCACCTCCCGGACAATCGGCAGACTTACAAGACCCGAGTGTAGAGTCATTCCGTAAGTTCTACAAGTTCGCTGTGAGTAACCCACGTCTATGTGAGTGCAGGCGCTGAGTGCGCTCATGTCCGTAGGTTACCAATCCTCTCTCCGTCAAAACCAAAGTCCATCTCCCTCGCTCACCCACGGCCCTTCTATCAAGTGAGGAGCGGGAAAAGGTGCTATTGGAGGTGCATATACAGAACCTTACTCAGGATGCTATGTGGCTCGAGCGCATGCAATTTGATTGCGTGGACGGCTGGCAGGCCCAAGATGCGAATTACCTTGAGGATGCCGCTGCTGGATCAAAGGAGTCCTTGTTCACCGGTTCGACGGCCCTTATGCAGCCTCAGGATGTCCGCCAGTACATCTATATCCTACAGCCCATAAATCTGCCCCCCTTTCCGATCACGCACGCTCCAGGTGCTATCCTTGCACTTGGCAGATTAGATATCTCATGGCGATCCTCATTTGGCGAGCCAGGCCGACTGCTGACATCTGTGCGTGACCAATATATCTGTCAATTGAAGAATGCACATATAATCGTGGTTCCCTCTGTAGACATTGTCGCGTCGCATACCCCTTATTCAACCTCCATCCAATCCTCAGACACCGCCCCCTGGACTCAAACAACCGCCCTCTGCTATACCTCTCCACCTACAGCGTAGCAACACAATCGGCGGCTCTCCTTCGCGGGCACAATCACCTCTTCCTCCACAGCGTGCTATGAGCCCTCCTGCCAACCAACCAGCTCCCGCCCCTTACAGGCCAGGCTCTCCCTTCCGGGGTCGCCCACCAAGCGTAGGGCCTCCGGCGCGCAACCAGACTCAATCTCCAGGCCCACCGACGTCCGTTGCGCCTCCCCCGCGTCTGCCAGAGGACGTCGAGGTCGATCTAGTCGTGACGTCAATACCTAGGGACTCATTGGCCATCGACAAGCCCTTCGACGTCGCTTTCAAAGTAACTGTGCAAGCCCCCGCACCTTTTCCGCGACCGAACGAATCACGAAGGCAGCGCGTTCTGTCCCTCGTCGTACAACACACACAAGCTGCGAAGGAGATTAGTGTCGCTGCGGCTGTTGCTTCAGCAGTCGCAACGACACCAGGTCCTTCGAACCAGCAGGGCAGCTGGACGCCGCGCGTGCCATCGTCTGGCTTCTCCACGCCGTCGCCGTACGCTACGCCTTTCCGTGCAGACTTCCCAGATACTCTTTCCCAGAGGCTCCTTGTCGCCTCGCCACGGCAATTGCACGCGGGTGAGCTTGAGTCCGACGGCGGCGACACCCCGGGACCTAACACACATACCGTCGGCCGCGTATACGACCTACCCTCACCCGAGCTCCGGCTGGCCTCAGGCGCAGCAGACCCGAAGGCATCTCGTTCGGACGGCGTCTCATTCCTCGGCACCTCTACCCTCTTCCTCCCCGCCCTTCGTCTGCCCGTACCCTCCCTTCTGCCCGCAGCGGCGCAGCCACGTACTTCCGGTCATACGCGCGACGTCTCTGACAGCTCTGTGGAGAGCGAAAGCGAGAATGAGCCTCTCGCCGCACCCGAAAGGCTGAGAGTCACCGCGTCGCAAGAGTTCGAGCTGACGTATGTCCCTCGCAAGAGCGGATTCTTGACCATAGGCGGGCTCCGCGTCCTAGTCGTCGAAGACCGGCTTGCGGAGGAGGACGATCATGCTGATGGGGCTGTTTTGCCCATTGAGCCTCGGATACTCAAGGAGTGGGAGGTCGTTGCTGAGGTGTGGGTCACGTCATGACATTTGTCTTCCTGGTGCACGTGGGCGCTGGACAAATGTATACTGTGTATTTTAGCGCATATGTGCGTCATATTCACGCCTCCTGGTGCGCCAACTCATGCAAGATCGCTTCGTGCTCCGCTGAACGCGGCTTGATGACACAAGGGAAGGGCTTCGGGTGACTAAGCAAACGTTACCTCTGGGCCACAAGCAAACGAGAGAAGCTGTTAATCAGGTACGTACCACAAGAACCCACGATTGTACTCCACGTCGGGTGTGACCTCCTGTCCATCTTCGTCCACCGCCTTCTTGATCTCGAAAAGCGCGAGGACGTTCGCTATAGTGAACCACATCGAGTCTAGCGCCATGTACTGCCCGGGACAGATGCGCCTCCCGAAGCCGAACGCCGCGACCGAGGGATCACGCACGTCCAGGTCCAGAGTGCCGTCGGGCCGCAAGAAACGATCCGGGTTGAAGTCGGACGCATCGGTTCCGTATGCTTTCTCGTCGTGAAGGATGGCCCTGCAGGCGAACCGCAATCCGTCGCGCAACGTAAGGGTCGGGTATATGAAAAGGCGAGTCGAGCAGGGAGCACAAAGGGAGGCCGTAGGTGTGTGTCAGGTAATGCTTCGAGTTGTGAGGATATGTGTCCGACGTACCAGCTGTTGGCGATGACAAGGGTTCCCTTGGGGATGAAATACCCATTATACATGTCGTCTTGAGTGGACATGTGGGGGGCATCTAGACAGGGGTTGGTGAGCTCGACGCGTACGATATGCGGCGCAACCTCATACCCAGAGGTACGACCGGGTTCCAGCGGAGGCTTTCTCTAAGAATGGCTTCGATGTAAGGCAAAGAAGGTTGATCTGAGAAGCCTGGTAGACAGTGGGGACCAATGACCCGGTCTAGCTGGGAGCGCGCCTTCTCTTGTATCTTCGGGTGGAGGGTCATAGCCAGGAAGAACGATCCGAGAACAGAGACGGTAGTGTCCGCACCACCTGAAGCAATGAGTGGCGGTCAGGCCTGCTCTCACGACTGTATTCTCCACAGATGGACTTACCAACGTAGATAGAGCCAAGTACGGAGCGCATAATGTGATCGGCGTACATAGGGTCCTTCGCATTCTTGCCGAACGATTCGATGACAAACTTGGCAGTACAGTCGCCCAGATTACCAGCCGTCTGGTTACACTTAGCCACTGTTTCGCATGTAGGAAAGGACGCTTAAACCTACGAAGCGCTTCAAAGCATTGTCATAAGGGGCGTCGCGCAATCTCTCGACCGCAACACGCCAGTGCTTCGCTTTCTTTTGGAAACCCGCACCCGGAAACCATTCCGGCACATATCTTACTGTCATTCAAGGGACGCATTAGTTATCACGATCACCACAGAGGCTTTGATTAGTCTATGTGACGCACGGAATGGAATGATGTCCACGAGAAAGGCTCCGGCGATGGTAGTCTCTGAGATAGAGTCACCTGCCGCCTCTGCAGTGTGGATGTAAGGATCGTCGAGGGATGCGACATCGATATCGTAAGCTATCGACATAATCGTAGCTGCGGATAAGCTACAGTTACCTGGTCAGGACATTCTCCTCGTTTGGGAAGAGCCACAAAGGGAAACTTACTGGCGGAGGTTATCCATGAGCTTCTCCGGATGCCTATGCAGATTCACCAAAAAACGGGTCGCGCTCTTCTGCTCATTTGGCCGGAAGCGCTTCACAGGTCCTGAGCGAAACTCTTGGTGAACGATCCTTCTATGGTCTCTCCACCGGTCACCATATGGGATAAACGCTGTACCCCATCCAAATCCACAGCTGATACACACCATCAACCGGTAGATCAATATGTAAACCTCTCGCGTACTTACAGCTCGTTAAGCATAATCATTCTAGGCCTACAGCATCATATAAAGTCAGTAAACTTGTTGCATTGTTTCCAGAAGGAGTACTAAACCTATCGGAGTAGATGCTTGACCGCTTGTCAAGTAGCTCGTTCACCATTTCCAAGGTGTTAATGACGACGATGTTTGTGCCCAACACTGACATACGGACCAAGTCGGACCCTGTTAATGTTTAATGATGATTGTTATGACTTATGAGCAGGGTTACTTCCATGACATACTATGTTGTTGGCCCCATTCGATATACGTCTTCCAAGGAAAGCCGGAAGGGTCAGGCACATCCAGCAAGTTCCCTAGGAGGGGTAGAGGCCTCGGCCCTGGCGGATGGAGGTACCGTCCCGCCCTTCGACGACGGAGGAAGAACCATGCGCTCACCAGCACACAGAAGGACGTAGCAAGAATATCCTGGGGACTCAAGCGAGCCATGGGAAGACAATCCAAATTGCGATAGCCCCCTTCATCGGGTCGCTTTAAATGTCGGCAAGACGCTAGTTGTGTAACGTCATGACAAGCGCGAGGAAGTGACCTGTGCACGTCTCGCGTAAAATTCCACGTCGACCCTGACATATTAAATTGTCGGGCTTTCCTGTGGACATACTCGTCAGCCCCTAGATACCGGAGCGCATCGACTTCCACGAGCACACGATGTTGCGAGTGTCATTAACCACGCCCACGCCACGAAGCCACCAAATGCCTGGAGCTTGGGTGGCCCTTGGCAACTTCAGGCAGCATGTTACCAAAATGGAGTCGATTGAGGCACATCGATCGCATAGAACATGTCGTGGGGGCTTATACTGTCGCTGGTGAGAGACCCAAGATAGCCCATCAACTACCATAGTCAGGGCGGCCTAGGTGAAGGAATAGAACATGTCGTTCTGGCTCAGCCATGAGAGCAACGTTGGTGGGGCGGTTTCCACATTGAATCAATCAGCTGTGAGCCGTACTGCTGAAGCATGATGAATCGCACCTGCGAGCGTCGTCGCACAAACGGAGATGGGTTGAACCGAAGTCGTCCCGGATAAGTAAATGCTTCCAAAGGTAGCACGTCCGGCCCGAAAACCCGCCTACGGGCGCTCCATGCAAACCTGGAGGCGCCGTGAGTTGCACTCATTCTCTTTGATGTACTTACTTCTACCAGCACGACCCATCTTCCTCTCCTCCTCCCTCTTCCATGAAATCCTCCCCATGTAATCTGTATCAATGCCAAAATCACGCAAGAACAAACGCAAGGCACCAGTGACATCTGCGGGGCCTTTTGACCGTTCTTCCCTGCCTTCTGGCTCTGCCTCCCACCGCCCGGGAGCGACGAGAACGATCATCCGCCGTTTCCACGTCCTTATCAAACGCCAGACGCAGCTCCAGCACCTCCTACGGGATGGGGATACAAAGAAGGGCAAGGGCCCCATGACGGCGGCGAGGGCTGAACTGGCCGAGGTCGAGCGCGGGATCGAGGAGCTCGGCGGGCTCGCTGCCTACCAGCGTATGTCGACCATCGGTCAAAGCAAAGATAGAGGCGGTGGGAGCGAGAAAATCTTCATCGGGTGGCTCCGAGAACTCGAAACTCCAGAGGAAGTAAAGCGAAAGGGTGTCAAGCTCCGGTCAGTCAGCTGTGCGTGCTTCTGGGTTCAATGGCGCCGAATTGAAACGCCCTTATGCAGCCTTCTCGAAGTTGGCGCCCTGAAGCCAGACAACTACTCTTCTTGTCAAACGTGGATCGAGGTGACTCCCATAGACCTCCATTCACAGCACCCGAACATCCAAGAGCAGGACTTTTTGCTCATGGATAGCGAGGAACACCGGGAAAAGTGGGACGCGATCAGTATGAGCTTGGTTCTCAACTTCGTTCCCGACGCTAAGAACCGAGGTGAAGACACTCGCTTTGGAGCCTTCCATTGAAGCTGAAATAGAATCTACGTCAAGGTCGGATGCTGAAGCTAGCGCACAACATGCTGCGCCCGAGCGGTTTGCTATTTGTAGCGGTATGTTCGGATGCTATCCGCCATAGATTTACCTGTCTACTCACGGGGAATGTGGATCCAATAGCTTCCGCTCCCTTGTATCATGAATTCCAGATATACAACGGCTGAGCACTATGAAGGCCTTATGTACGCTATCGGTTTCGAGAAGCTTCTATCACGGTGGAAGGACGGTGGCAAGATGGCGTACTGGCTCTTCCGTCGATCCAGGCTGTCCACCTCAGCGACATACCAAAAGCATGCGCTGTACGAGAAGAAGACCGTGTTTCGGACAGGGGACAGGAATAACTTTGTGATATTGCTGTGATACCGATGTGTACGACTTCTGGTGCCGTTACTCTTGTCCTAGATCTGGGGGGTCTGGATACAACTACAGGTACACAACGTTAGACATCAGTAGCTGCACCTATTTTTCAGTGGCCCTCACCTTGCCAGGGTTCATGATGTTCAGAGGATCGATAGCACGCTTTATCGTGTTCATTAGCTCCACGGTGTCGGCCCCCAACTCATCCACAAGGTACTCTTTCTTCCCTACCCCAACCCCGTGCTCGCCAGTGCCTGCGGACCAGCTCAGCAAACAATGAAAGGTATTGCGGTGCTAGGCAAAGCTACTGACATGTTCCGTCAAAAGCAATGGCTCGGTGCACCATACGGTGTACAGCGTCACTGACGGCCTCCAGCTCGTTGTCATCCTTGAACTTAATCAGTGCATGAAAGTTGCCTGCTTCAGGTTGAGCCCCAATTTATCGAGAGTACTGCATATGCCACTCACCATCTCCGACATGACCGACGATTGTGGCTCTCAGCTTCGAAGCTAAAAGATCCTTCTTCGTTTCATATACAAGCTCCGGAAGACGCGAAACAGGGACGCTATGCACAGTCCGCCGTTCAGTGTGACTCTGACGAACTTGTTCGGGGAGCTCACCAGACGTCCGTGGTCCAGACCCTCGCGCCCTCTTCGCTCTGGATGGTACTAGTGAGAGCATATTTCCGATTGTCCCAAAGCTCCTCAGCCTCCTCGTCGGTGCTGGCGAACTCGAAGGCGGAGGCGCCATGCTGGGCCACGATTCGCTGGACTGTCTCCGCGGTGCTTTCAATGGCCGCGGGGTCCCCCTGAATCTTGAAGAACAGCGTGTCACGGACAGGGTATGGCTTCGATACAAGTCCGGCATCGTTAGTCGCCGCCATCACTGTGAACCATATCAGCCAAGTGCCGCTCATTACGATACGGACAGATGGAGCGCACTTCTATTGTCCATGAGTTCGACGCATTCTGGTCAAAGATCAGCCGCCGAGAGGTCAGACGGCCAAACAATCCACATACGTATGTGTGGGCCAGAGGGCGTGTTCAAGATTTCCTGCACTGCGCTGACAGCATTCTCGACCGTTGGGAACTGGGCCATAGCGACCTTCGTCGGTATTACTGGCGCAAGCCGCAGCGTCGCTAAAGCAGTCAGGCCCAGATGAGGAAACAGGAGCTTCTGGCTTGAACGTGGTTCCTCACCCTCCGTGACGATGCCCAAAGTACCTTCCGCGCCAATGAACAGTTTCGTCATGTCGATACCTGCGGAGGACTTCCGTGCACGCCGACGGGTCTTGATGACCTTGCCGTTGGGCAAGACGACAGTCTGCCAGGCACCATCAGAGCCTGCGTGAGTGCTTAGAATGTTATGCTTTGACACCCACGACATTGAGGAACCACTCTCCCCTAGCAGTGCCATAGCGCACGGCATTAGCTAGCACACGTTCAGCCCATCTCGAAGTTCCCAGCAGCTACCGATACAACTTACTACCAGAGCAACCAGTGCCGATCATACCACCAATTGTCTGCATAGATGATGAGTGCTAAGATGACAGGCAGACAGGGGTTCACACATCGTAGGACTCACAGCGCCAGGGCCAGGGTCGAGCTATGCGTCGGCGAGGTTACTCGAGCGAAGTCAAAGGTCGTAACAACAATGCTCACGGGAAAGAACAAGGGGATACCCTTCTCTTTGAGTGTGGAGTTGATGTCTTCCCATCGGACGCCGGATTGACAGACAAGGTCGCTGTCGGCCTCTGTGGAAATGCATTAGCTGGTCAGCGGGAAAGCATATGCATGCGAAACATCCACCATGGATCTCCAGTATCTTGTTCATGTCAGACATGTCCAGGCAGATGCTACCAGAAGGATACTGCTTCATTCAGCCCGGTAATCACACCTGCAGAATGAACGCACGCACTCCTGAGGTGTGGCCTTCGAGGCTGGTCGCCCCGCTATACGGGACGATGGGTACCCTGTACTTCCGCGCAATGTTCACGATGGAGACAACGTCGTCTGTGCTCTCTGGACGGACAATGACAGAGTGTGGAGAGGCAGGGTGATACGAGTTCTCCGAAGAGCCATAGGTTTTGAGGACCTTGGGGTCTACATTCGTCGCCTCAGGGTCGTGCAGAGCATCCTGGAGCTCCTTGATGGCCTGCTGCAGTTCCTCATGAGATGCATATTTCGGCGTTCCATGTTCCAGTGACCCCGGTAGGACATTATCAGTCACGACCTTGTGCTTGACCTTGCCTGCTGGCTCGGCGCTCTCCAGTTGTACTGTCGGACCGGAGAAGCGATAGTATACGATGGAGCCAGCGAGAGCGAGCCCAAGACCAACCGCAACGCGCGGCAGATTCACAGCCAGAGACTCTCCAGGAGAAAGATGCCGAGTAGCGGGGGTACCAGTCGATGCATGACGGCGGGTGTCGAGGCAGAAACGCATAGGCTGACGCGCCATTGTCTGGCGGGTAGTCATGATGATCAACCTGGGACGCATCACCTGCCTCGACCGCAGTGCAGAGCCATGATACGAGTAGCGCAGAGTTCTCTCCATTTCCCTGTATCGCTGTCGCTTCGTGTGATGGTGCGCACGAAAAGGGGAGGGAGGAATGCATGACTCGCTTGAGAACCCTCATGTTGCCTTTGATGACGCAACATATGTGACCTTTGCGTAACGCACAAGTAGTGTAAGAACGGGTCTCTCGTGACAGCGAACAGGCCAAATATATGGAGATTGGTTGAACTCTTTCAAGGCGATTTGGTTGGGGGAGATGATGATGCAGATTGTGCGCTCTTGACGGAACGACGAGGGAGCAGCGAGTGCATGCTCAGATTGCCAAGAGACACAGATCGACGCCAGACAGGCGCCGTTGACTTCCGAAGCACTCCGTGTTGGACATGATATCGTCAATCGCACGGTGACAGAGACGTCACTGAATTACTATTATGATAGACATCTACTTCGCCTTGTCGTAATCCTGAGACTTGAAGGCAAGGAGCTGCTTCGAGAGCGACCGCCAGCGCTCTTCCACCACTGGCATCTTGTTCAGTGCGGTGGGTGACAGGTATCCCCGATTTCGCCAAGAGGTGTACCATACTGGAGTGCGAGTCAGCAGGCAGGCAGACGAGAACCAAATTTAGACATACGAATGTCGTTCTTGCGCGTAGGGGCGGCCTGGATATGCTCCGTGTTGCCCTTGACAGAGTCGCGGAGTGCAAGCTCATTGTAGTACTTGCAGAACACGCTCCCGCCGGTCTTCTCGACTGCACGAATGGCACTTTGCGAAGCGCGTGCAGGGGTGATGTGGATGGCAGACTTCAGGTGCTGGGCACCCTGCAGAGAGACCGGGTCAGAATTGTACGAGATGCACGACGAGATTAGACCCACATTGCCCAACAATTTGATGCCATCGTGCACCTGATGAATGCACCCACTCAGCAACAATTCTCGCGCAGTGATAGGCTTGTCCGGAGACGAAGTCAGGCGGCCCGTGTCAATCCAATGTTGTATGCGATCCAGGTTCACCGGCGCATAGGTCTTCTGGTTCCTGCACAGCACGACACGCTGTCAAAGAGTTGGGAGAAAGTAGAGGGCAAAGTAGAACGCACTGATTCACGAAACCCGTCTTGGGGAAACGCTTCACAATAGTTGTCTGACCACCCTCAAAGCCAGCCTTCGGCTTCCCATTCCCCGCACGAGCCTTCTGACCCTTGTGACCACGGCCGGATGTCTTACCAAGACCCGAACTACGACCACGACCAAGTCGTTTTTGCTGTATCGACGAAGTTAGTCGGGCACTCCGGAAGCAGAAGCCAGTCATACCGTTGACTGCGAGCCGGGCGCGGGAGACAAGTTGAACAGGTGAACACGACTAGAGGTCGCTTTGAAGCGTGACGCCACGCCAGACATGTCTTTCCTACCAATCCCGGACAAGAGGAAGAGCTAGTAGGAGGGAGGCCGTCCGCTGGCTCTAAGAGACAGCGCGTCGAGGTGGTCGATGAAGAGCGTGTTGCCTATTTTGGTGCGAAGCGGCGCCCGAGCCATAAAGGATGCTTACATAGACGCGCATGTCGGGAAGGGCCTTGCCCCGGGTTGTCGCCGAATATATCTCTCTCCTCCTGATCCCCTCCGTTGCTGGCTTGGACCACGCCTTGACGCAACTCCAGAAGTGTGAAGATGACAACGCTCAGCATTGCTCATTTCAATGATGTCTACCGCGTGCAACCGTTCAAGCTGCATCCCAAATCCCCGGAGACGATCGATGTAACCCAATGGGCTGCCTTGCTTGACGATGTTCGAGATCAGTGGCCTCTAAGGGAAGATGGAAAGCGTGACGGACTGGTATTATTCTCGGGCGACGTTTTCAGCCCATCGGTGGAGAGCTCTGTCACTAGAGGAAGTCATATGGTTCCCATCATGAATGCAATCGCTCCAGATATCTCCCTTACAGGTGAGCCCTTCCCGTCCACACACCGCATTCCGTATCATAGTCTCAGATACACTCGGTATCTAAGGAAACCACGACTTCGACTTCGGTAAGAATGTCCCTCGTCAACTGCACTACGCTGTGCAAGACACCTGTATTCCACTTTAGGGTACCCTCATCTATCCAAGCTGATCAAAGACACAAACTTTGTCAGTCCTTGCTCGTGTGACCATAGCGTGAAACGTTGACGTTTAGAAACAGCCATGGCTCCTGAGCAACATCATCGACACTGAGACTTCTCGTGTCCCGGAAGGCTTGCTCGAGTTCTACGTGTTCGAGCGAGCCGGTATCCGTATTGGCATCATTGGGCTCGTGGAGAAGTAAGCCGGAGCCCTTCTGCTTCAGTCTGTGTAGAACGGATCAGAGATAATTCAATATTGTCCAGGGAATGGATAGCCACCGTCTCCACTTGGCCATCCAACTTCAAGTACAAGGACATGGCGGAGGTCGCTATCGACCTTTCCAAGCGTTTGCGGGACCCAGAAGGCGAGCACAAGTGTGAAGTCGTCATTGCACTGACTCATGCCAGGTGAGTGATGCCTCTTGAAAGGTGCAGCCATATAATTGACACACCGCTTCCAGAGTGCCAAACGTAGGTCGGCCCGCTTAGAACGGACTCAATTTCTCTTTGACAAAGTGGCTTGCTACCAGGACGTCGCGCTTGCCAAGGCGATTAACGCTCTGTCACCGTCCGCACAAGAGACGAACCCTATCCATAACCTACATGGCGCCGATATCATCTTCGGAGGTCATGACCATCTGTACTACATATCCAAGGGCGTAACGTCTTGGGAAAATTACGACGTGAACCAGGAGGTCCTTGGCGGAGAGCAGGATCATGGCGACGTCCTCGTCGTCAAGAGCGGAACGGACTTCAGGGACTTAAGTGAACTAACCCTGGAACTTGCAGATACCCCTGAAGGGAGCGTGCGGAGGAAGGTTATCAAGGTTGTCAAAGGTACAATTTCGACAAGAGCAGTTGGTTCGGTGGGGTCCATTTAGAGGAAACTGAGCTGCATCACAGGAAAGCATCATGAAACGAGGCCAGACTGCAGGAAGAATGAGCGTGTGGCAGAACTGCTCAAGGATCTCCTTTCGTCTGTCTCCTCTGCACTCAAAACACCCGTCTGCAAGAGCGCGGTGGAATTGGACCTCCGCTCTTCGCTGATTCGCGTGCAAGAAGTAAGAAGCTGTCCTCGAGCATGAATGACACACGCATTCTGACCACTATCACTAGACCGCTGCAGCGAACTGGTTTGCCGATGTCCTCCGTCATGCATACGATGATGCGCTTTGTCTTCAGACCGGCGGAGGGTCCGACGGTGTTTTCATTTGCGCTGGTACCCTGCGAGGAGACTCAGTATATGGCCCGGGTCCCATAACCCTGGGAAATATTCTCGAGATCTTGCCGTTTGAGGATCCGATCGTCGTCCTTGAACTGGATGGCGAGACCATCTGGGCTGCGCTCGAAGCATCGCTCGAGACGTGGCCGGCGCAAGAAGGGTATGCACCAGTGTGTCTCCTCAACACTACCGGTATTGTGCTCACTCCGTCTTTGGGTTTGCAGACGCTTCCCGGTGATCTCTGGCTTCCGTGTGTCTTGGGACTCCCGTCGTCCCCCGGGCCAACGCGTGCTAGGCGTCTGGCTTCTCCAGGAGCAACCCAGTGGTAGCACGAGCAATTCTGGTGCCACCACTCCCACGTCGCCCGCGCACAGTGGTTACGTATCTTCGGAACGGCGAGGGTCTGCATCGTCTTCTATGACGAGCCTATTGCAGAACACGGCAACACAGTCGACAGTGACCCTCGTTGACGGGGAGCCGATCCAGCGCACGAAGGGCGGTAAGATGTACAAGATCGTCACACGAGAATATATGGCGCAAGGCCATGACGGCTTCATACCTCTCAAGGGAAAGAATTATCTCGTAGACGACGAGAGCGGGCAACTCATGAGCGCCATTGTCCGCAAATACTTGCTGGGTACGCGCCTACTGTTCCAGTCATGGTCCATATGCTCAGGCTATTTTCTTGCTGCCCTGTAACAGGCTGCCGCTTCGTGAACCGCCTCTCACGCATGGCCAGCATGCACTCATTGCAACTCCTCGACCCAGAGACCCCTGCGGTCATCTCTCGCGAGAGAGCCCGCCAATCGCACGCTTCGCGCCGCTCTCGTTCCAAGTCCAAGGACAGGCTCTCGGGGACGCGTGCCAAGAGCCCGGTAGGTACGCTCAAGGATGCGTCTTCTCCTCGCTCATTGAGCCCTGGGCGGGCTATTGGCGACTTGTGGAGACGCGCCGCGGGCATCGCTCTGCGATGGTCGCGTGGACACTACCGCGACCATATGCGCATCTCGGGGCGCGAACACATGAGTGAAGTCGACTGCTTCGATGGCGAGACGATGAGGAAGGGGAAGTTTGACAAGGATCGAACGAAGGAAGAGAGCCAGGACACTGAGAAGAAACAAGGCAAGGGAGGGGAGGAGAATGCAGAGCTGACTGGCTCGGGGGAGGACCTGGCAACCATTCATCCTATCGTGGACGGTAGACTGAAGGATGAAGGAAGGAAGTGAAGCATCGAGAACGGACGACTGAAGTGTAGTATCCATAGCGAGACCGAGATTATCATGATTGGAGACTGATAGATTAACATGTGTATTGTACAATGCTGTCACAATATCCGCAAGTCCAGAGGATAGATCTTATACTAAGTTTCTCTCAATGTGGGGCAACCGGTGGAACTTCCGGCACGGGGATAGTCGGCGCAGGATCGCCTGTGACGGTTCTTGCGTGGTGCGCTATTAACCCGATGGCTGAGCCAACACCGGCACCGCCGAGGATCACTGGAACACAACATGAGAAGATATTAGTGGCTTCGGGTACATAATGGACTCACAATTTATGCTGTTGGCCCGCTTCCAAAACAGCGCAGGTGTTATCACTGCAAACAAAATACCACCAATGGTGGAGTGGTCGTCTGCTCGAATGGATGCCGTCTGTAATGACCGAAAGTGTTTGATGACGCGTGCGTTGTAACATGAGAATGTGCTACTCACATCGTATGCAGTACGAAACCTCCGGATCCGAACCTTCTCTGGGTTCGAGTACGCCGACCGAGCGTATTCGAACGCACCACCTCCGACGATACCTGCGCACTCATGAAGTTGCGCGAAACGCGTTAGAGCAGAGAAAACTCACCGAGGGATCCCCCCATCCAAGTCGCGCGAAGCAACCGGTTGACGTTGAGGTGAGCTCGACCGTAGCGCGTCGTGGCGAACATGGTGTACACGATAGGCGTGACCACAGACATTAGCTGATAGCCCTTCGTCATGCCCCTACGAACGAAGTACTCGATGTCCGCATCGTGCGCCTGAGGGGTCGCGGCGGCCGCGAGATTGTCGCTCATTGTTGGAGTAGAATCCCTCTTTGTCGGAAGTATAGGCCAAGGTCGTCGATGAAGTCAGAGGCAAAGGTGACGCCGAGCGCGCGCGTCGACAAACGTTGACCGCCCTTCAAGCTTCAAGCTTCAAGGTTGTCTCCCGCCTCCATCATCCTCCGCTTCGCCGCGTCCTTTGGTCCACCATGTCCGCTGACTTCGCAGACGCGAACCTGGCGCAGATACGCGACACTATCAATAGCCTCCAAGCTCCCATCCCAGACCTGTCTACCCTCCTCTCACTCCTAGCCGCGCCGCTCGCGAGCATTGGGCTTCTACCCCCACGGTTCAGGCATATCGATGTCTTTCCAATACGCGGTGAAACGCTCAACATTTCGCGACATATTCCGCTTTTACAAAGAGCTCTACTGGAGCATGTCATCCCAACCTGGGAGCCTCTCCTTGCGCAGGAATCCGCGTATGAATTGGTTGAGCAGTACTTCTGTCCAGACGCGATGTCTTTCGCGTCTCCAGCGGCAAGCCAGATCGCCCTATATGCCTATTCTACGTTGTTGTCAGTTCCTCTGCAGAATTATTCTGTAGGTTTGCTCGCCAAGTTATGCAAAGCTTATCCCATCGACGTCCTCCATTCTGTTCTGTTCCCTGTCGGCGGTACACCTGCTCTCACTGGGAGGCATTCCGTCACCTGGGAGGATTGTGTTCGTGATATCATAGCCGTACCTGCTAAGGTCACGAACTATATGGGTACCCGACGCGATTTGCCGTCTGTTCTGGAACCCGGAGTATATTACACCAACGTGAGTGTCCGCACGGAAAACCTGATATTCAGCTCTTGTACTGTACGGTCTCAAGGTGTGTCCTCATAATCGACGCCAAACCCGGATATTGATGTATCATCTTGCATAGAACGAAAAGCATCCGTTGCCTATCTCATTGGCAAATTGGTCAACGTTGGGGTGTTTCCGCCTTCCGTTCCCATGAGCCCCGCCCAGCCCTCCTTCTTTCAGAGTGTCATGCCCACCATCCGTGCTCGTCTTGGGACGGCCGACGCTCTGGATTATTCAAGATTCTGGGCGGATCTACTTGTGTCCCTACCTACCTCCCACGCCCTGAGGTCGGTGCTGACATCCCTGTTCTCGTCTGTGAGGACTTGCAGTGCCGCTTTTGATCCTGCCCCACGGACAAGGGCATCAGTCAAGCGGGAAGCGCATTTACTCAGACAATTGCTCGGTCCCCTGACAAAGGAGAATACCGAGCTCTCTGACTGCTTCAGCGCAGTCGCTCTGGGCCGCACATGGGGAGAGGGTCATGCCAGAATCTTCGCTTGCTGGGCTGCCGGTGCTCAGAAGGGGTCAAGGACAAGGGAAGGTAGGCATCCAAGCTAGGCTTCCTTGACCTCCCTTTTCACTGCTACATGGTAGGATTGGACGTCCTCTTGGCGAAGGTCATCGACTTGTGGACTGATACCGACCATGTCAGACATTCACTTCTTTCACAGCATCAATGTACGTTCTTTGGTTTCAGGCTAACGCGCTGCGCTAGTTACTGACAGGACAAAAGACCTCACAGCACTGCTGCTTCTCACCGTCAATCACTTTCCTGCGCTATCCCCCGCCCATGAGCTGGTCATGTCGCCACAATTCGTCCAATCAATCTCCTTGTACATCTCACACCTTGATCCTTCGGTGCGTAGATGCGGGATGCTGGTAGCCGAAGAAGTGGCTCGTGCGGCGGGCAAGAAGCTCGACTTCGGCGAATGGGAAGGGGACGGACAGGGTAGCGCCTGGTGCAGACAGCTGAGAGAAGTACTCAGGCAGAGCGATGCGGACGCAGATGAAGTTCTGGCAGAGGATCTGGACGCTGAGAACTCGTCGAAAACCCGACATATCAGGGTACCAGAGGTAGAAGAATCGGCCCCAAGCAACGTCGCCATTGAGGTTCCGGCTTCAGGGTATGACTCCGATGACTCTCTCACAGGATACGCATCCCCTGCGTCTTCACGCTCCGCCTCCCCAACACCTTCCGAGTTGGCTGAGATCGAGAAAGATCCTACGCTAAACGTTGGCATCAAGAAAGTATCTCGCCCTGTGTACCTAGCGCAGCTTGGCGAGATGGTTCGACCTACAAGCGGAGTACAAACAGACGACGAGCAAAACACGGTAGCAAAAGTGGAGGTAGCGCTCGATGTAGCCGAAGAGCTTATCAGAAGGAAGAGTGGTTACGGCACAGAATTGGGTGCGCCTGACTCCTGTAGCGGTGACTTGAAACTGATCGACGATCGCAGAGGAAAACGCGGTCAACCTCGTGTATGGCTTCATCGGCTTGCAGGACAATTACGACTTAGGTGGTTTCGATCATAAGCGACAAGCAGCCTTGAATGCGCTTGTCGCCTGCTGCCCTCGAAAGGCTGCGCCGTACGTCATCGTTTTTGTCTTTCGAGTTGTGACGGCTCATTGTATGTGCGACCTTCCGACCTTCCATCAGCACGATCATCGAGCAATTTTTCACGAACCAGTACTCTACAGACCAGCGGTTCACTATGCTCAATGCGCTGGCCCTTGGTGCGCAGGAACTAGCCTCTCTTCCCATCCCAGAACTATCCGGCCGGCAACCCCTTACGGCGGAGAAAACCGCGTTCCCAAGCAAAAGACTCCCACCCGCCCTTCACAACAAGTATCTTACTTCCAGCGATCAATTGAACGCCAACAATCCTGTCCAGCTCCTTCTCGACGGGATAAGCCAGGTCGCAATCGAAAAGAGCAAAGATGCCACGGCGGACAAGGTACCAGAGCTCGTCCGTGAACGCCACCTCCGCGTCCGTGGATCACCCAGAATTGCTGAAGTCTCTCCTCCGTCGTCATCCTCTGCAAGGAGCGCACTCAGGCGGGCAATTGCGAACACTGGTTCTACACATCCTAAGCTCACAACCTTCACGGATGTCGCCGCCGAGTTCTTCATCTGCCCTCTGATTAACCGCTTCTGGCTCTTCCTCCGAGACGAGCAAGCGCGCGAAGACCGTACCGCACACCAGCCCCTCTTGCACAGGTATCGGGGAGCGGGGACGGGACTGGTGCTTTCCTCGCTTGTTCTCGGGCGCATGATGGAGACTATTGCAGTCCTCGTCCATGCAGCACGCAATGCTCGCGAGTGGCTGGCGGTCATTGCACCCGATGCATTGGAGCTTGCGATCACGCTCGGTACACGCCCTGTTTCGCGCGGAGAGGGCATGGACGACGGCGTCGATCCGGACCAACATGGGAAGTCGGGCCTCCCAGGAGAGAAGAAGAGCAACAAGGAAGCTGCCCTCCTCACAGCAGCCTTGGAGCTCGCCCTCATTGTCTTGGACGGCTGCCTCGATCTAGACGGTGGACGTTCGCTCGGCCTTGAACATACTGCGCTTCTCGTTGGGTCAGGCGAGTGGGCCAACAAGGTCTTCGGTAGCTTGGAGGAGGGTGCGAGGGTTCTCGGAGGAGGCGGAGCGCAGGAAGTCCGTCTGCGTCGCGCCGCAGCTGCAGTTCTACTCAAATTGGACGAGCTGACGTCCAGATGGAGGCGGTCAATGATAGACGTGGTGTAGCATTTACAGTTCATGTTGGAAGCCTCAAACTCAGATACGTACAATTCACATACGGTCCGCGAGCTTGCTACGATATGCAATCCGTAGGCCCGTTCCTCCGCGTTGTTAGCCCTAGTTGACGATACTCAATCAGTCCCCCTCTCTACTACACCAGCACACACGGAGGTAGAGGTTGGTGTGCGGATTTCGGATGTAGTACCGTGAGCGTCTACAGACAAGCCGTCGTGCCCGCCTCAGCACTTGTAGTCTCATAGACCATCTTATATGAAGGCGCTGCAGTCGCCGGGTTGCACGCTCATACGGCAGGGGGACTCGGCGAGGTATAAGCAAGAGACCAACATGTTGAATTGTCGAAATGGACTCGGAGGAGTCCCATGATCGTCCGGACTCCGAGGAATCCGAATGCCGCAAGCGGCAGACGCCATGCCGAGCATACCCTCCGACTACTCTAACCGGCGACCGCTAATTTCGAAATCTTGTGGCGATCAACTCACGGCCGAACGAGTCGGATGACTCCCCCGTACGTATGACCGGCAAGACAGATCTTCCGACCTATATAAACACGCTCGCTCCCATGATATACTTTCCAAGGGTAATACGCTCCCAACCCCGTCGCCGTGTTTGTACTCCTTGAGCTCGATTGTTCCTCCAGCTCGAAACATAGTGCGTACAGCCTAGCAGCCGACGACTCAATTTCCTCACGACTTTCTCTAGCATGGCGACATCCGTACCAATGTCTCAGGCCACGACTCTTCACGCTACAGACGAAGAGGCGGTGCTCCGCCTTCCTCATGACGTCGAGCGCGGCGCCCCGGACGGAACGGAACGCGGCGGCCCCGCGGGGAAGTCCCTCAAGTTCGCCTCCGCGAGCGAGTACCCCGGCAGCGGGACTCGCGAGGACCCATACCGCGTCGACTGGGACATCGGCGACGCAGACAACCCGTTCAACTGGTCCAAGACGCGAAAATGGATGATAACCGGGCAGGTGCGTCGCGGTATCTCTACATGACATGACAAATGCACTATGGCTCGCGTGCTGACCGCCCTTCGGTTTCATTCGGGTTTCGCAGCTGGCCTTGTCGACGTTCACCGTCTCGTTCTGCAGCAGCTGCTACTCCGGCGGCCTGGCGTCCATGAGCGCCGAACTGCACATATCCCAGACGATCGCCATCCTCGGCGTTTCGCTCTACGTGCTGGGCTTCGGCCTGGGCCCTCTTGTGTTCGCGCCGCTGGGCGAGCTATACGGGCGGGTAAGACGCCGCGTCTCGGTGCCTGCTCTCATCTCTGCCGAGTCCGCTAATGGGACTTGCCGTAACATCAGCGGATCGTGTTTGTGCTCACCGCCTCGGTGTTCATGCTCTTCCATTTGGGCGGCGCTCTCGGGCACAATGCTGCGACGATCCTCAGCACTCGTCTCCTCGCCGGTATTTTTGGATCGGCCCGTACGCGTGTTCCGTCTTCATACAGCGTCTTCCTGCGGCTCACGGAGCGGTGCAACGGTTCACTAAATATGTACAGCGCTGACGAATGCTGGAGGTGCCCTCAGTGACATGTGGATCGCGCGAGAACGGGGCTTTGCGACTTCACTGTACGGCACGGCACCATGGATGGGACCTGGTGCGCTCAGCGGATTATTTCGCATCACAAAGTGCTCTTACCATACCGTGAACTACAGTGCTGGGGCCTATTGTCGGTGGCTGGGTTTCCCAATCCCGGCTGGGGTGGCGTTTCTCGTTCTGGATAATGTTCATCGTATCGGCCTTGAACGCCCTGTCCTACTATTTCCTCACCCCAGAAACTGTGAGTACGCGATGCCGAGAACGTGGCAGCCGTACTGAATGCACGATGCCTGTTGTTCTTGCGGTCAGTTTGGCCCTGTGCTCCTCCGCCGGAGAGCGCGACGGCTGACGAAAGCGAGCGGCAGAGCGGTGCTCTTTGTATCGCGATTCGACATCAACCGCTCAGTGTCGTTGTCGGCTGTTCTGAAAAGAGACATGGGTCGCCCGTTCTGTGCGTATACTCAAAAGGACTCAGTTGCTCCTATGGCTCACCTTCGACGCAACAGATTTCCTGTTCACGGAACCGATCGTCCTGCTCCTCGCGATCTACATTGCGATCGCATATGCGACGCTATACGCATTCTTCGCGGCGTACCCCATCGTGTTCCAGGAACGGAGAGGGTTCTCTGAAGGAGAAGGCGGACTGGCGTTCCTTGGGATCGGCGTGGGAAACCTGTTAGGTATATCGCTCGCCCCCATCCAGAACAAACTTTACTGGAGAGCGATGGATCGCAACGACGGCAGGACAGTGCCAGAAGCGTACGTACCTGTGTTTGAATATATATATACTGTCGCTGCTGTGCTGAGCCTCTCCTCCCATATAGGAGGCTGTACCTGCCCATGGTTGGCGGCATTTTCCTCCCAATCAGCCTGTTCTGGTTCGCTTGGTAAGTGTTGCACACGAATGGGTATGCGAATCATACGAGACATACTCACTACATGCCGATAGGACAAGCGACCCGCCTATTCCGTGGATTGTGCCAGTGCTCGCTGGCATTCCCTTCGGCTTCTCTTGCGCAATCATCATGCAGGGATTGACGCAATACCTCATGGACGCGTATTCGATATACTGCGCCAGTGCGATCGCGTCCACTGTTATCCTTCGCTCCGTTGTCGCGGCCATATTCCCACTGATTAGCCCGGCATTGTACCACAATCTCGGGGATGCCTGGGCTTGCAGTGTATTCGCGTTTCTGGCCTCGGCGTGCATGCCGGTACCGTTTCTGTTCTATGTAAGTCACCTCCTTTATCGTTCACGAAAAGCACGTTGATGCTGACGGTGGGCTTAGAAATACGGGGCATGGGTGCGGAGCAAGTCAAAATGGGCGTTGCGAGACAACGTACCGATTCATACAGAGCCGCCTTCTCGTGCTGACTTTGATGATAAGAAAGTCCCTGAAGCGAGCGAGAAGGCGGTAGTATGAGATACATAGAGGATTATGATTTTACGACTTGCATAGACTTTGTATCCATGGATTTTTCACCAGGAATTCAATGACGGCGGAGGGGATGGTTTTGAGAAATCATCGGCAGAAGCGCTATGGTGCTGAGTCAGCGACTCGATCACGGCTGACGGGACGCGTCTGGGTCTGAGCGCTATACAATGAACACAAGCGCTCGCAGGGAACGCGTCCGGACTTGAACGTCGCGCTCGGCCACTGCACATCTCCACCGTCCTCCACCCGGGCACTGCGCTCTTCAGCCTGGGCTCACCTTACCTTCCTTTCGTCCAGTTTACGACCGCCCTCCATGGCGCCCACGCTCTCTGACACCAAGCTCACCTCAATCCTCAGCTCAGTTCCCCCGCCCTCCCAGGAGTTCGTCATGCAGCAGGTGCCCGACGTCTTTGTCCACCCGCCCGAAGAAGAGCACGAGCACAATCCTCCGTGGTGCTACTTTGACGCCACGCAGGCCGCAAAGGACAGCCTCGACATGGAGGCACTCGACGTCGCGCTCAGCTTTTGTCAGCAGACAGACAACCGCGCGCCCGCCTTCCGCCGTGCGTTCTCGAACGAGTCCCAAGAGACTGTCGTCATGCCTCGGAGGAGCATGAAGAACTTTAAGCTTCGTGCCGCAGACCTCGAGATGGAAATGGAGCTCGAGCCGGACGGCTTGGCGGACATCCGGAGCAGGGGCATTCGCAGGTACGACGACATCGACGTCGTAGAAGTTGTGAAGTTCCGTCGGGACGAAGGCGGTGCGGACGTCGGTCAGGAGCGCAGCGTCAAGACGAAGAAGACGAGCACCTTCCGCGCACGAGCTACCCAAGCTCTGCGTTCGATCAAGAACGTCGGGAAGGGAAACCGCGACCGGAGAGCGACGGTCAGCGCACCGCAACGGTCGTCTCAGGACCAGCACTTACCGCGAAGTCAAGACCAGAACCGGAATGACGTGCAGGCCGCGACGCTCCAATCACCGCGCTCAACCCAAGAGCCGTCCTCTTCGAGACCAACCTCCCCCTCGCTGTCACGGCGGAAGTCGCTTAACATCGCACAGCTGTTCACCTCGTTCAAGGACAAGGAAAACCAGACGAGCCGACCCACATCGCCTGCAGACGAGATGATGTCTCCGACATCGCTTACACTCGTCGACTCGGACTCTCCTCCCTCCGCTCGTCCCCTGTCACCCGCCGAGTCTACCCTCTCACGGACACGGACACCGTCACCCTTTCTCGAGGACTTCTTGCCTTCAGAAGGTGCGCAAGCTCCGAAGATCGAGAAGCGACGCTCGTTCGTCCGGAGGCTATCCGTCCTAGAGCTTCAGAAGCTGTTTGGCAGTGGTGATTCCAATCCTACCTCGGCTCCGTCACAGTCTGTATGTAGCGCACTCTGCGTATGCCTCTTATGTGATACACACTGACTGGTCCCTTCACAGGCTGCCCCGGCGGGCTTGGACGACGTGTTCACCTCATCTCGTTCACATCCGGAATCCATAGACTCAGTAGCTATCCTCTCTGCGTCGTCGTCACGGACATCTACTGCGTCCTCAGGGGCTATGTTTTCCCGGCCTTCTTCGAGCTCCCAAGTGACCCAGCAGACAACCGTAGAGGCAGACAGCGATCTAGAGATGCGGCTCGACTCGCTGCATTTCGATTCACTTCACTTTGACCCAGAAGAGGTCATGAGTTTGCTTTGACGGAATGGGTCCGCTATTCACTTGTCCTCACACTATCCGGATTGTCTGTCGCGAGACTGACTGCCCATAACCTCTCACCCCCGTCGTACATGACCGTGGCATCGCATCTCACTCTACTTCACATTGGCAGTTCCTATCATCATTCTTTGCATTTGAAACAACACCTCCCATAAATATGGCAGACCTCCTCTCGTCTGCCGCTCTCGTCCGTGTCTCGGTTCTCGTTCGTTCATTCATTCATCCTTCTTCACGAGCGTCCATGTTCACGTCCGTATATGCTTTCCTGCACATGCTGCTTCGCTTTCGTTTGTTGGATTGTTTATGCTCTTCGCGTTCTCTCTGACAGTCCTCCCGTAGACCCTCGGGCCTCACGTTCGGCTGCGCCGTCGGCTACCTGCCCCATCCATCATCACCTCCATGGAACTACCCATGACGTTGACGTTGTCTCGCACTCTGTAGCGCATGTATATACCTCTCAGTGTTCGGAGCATACATCATCACACCGTTGCATGCCCCAATCCTGGCGTGGAACACCAAGCATCCATTCTCATTGTCCACATGATTATATAACTTAGTACGAGCGGGAGGCAAAACGCTCGCTTTTGGTTCATGAACCACGGAAATGACGGCGCTCAGTACTTCTCCGAGATCACTGGACATATTCACATCAGCCGACGCAAGCGTGACTGCGACGACGAGGACTTACCCAGCGCGACGAGCGACGTCCACCCAGTGAACGGATGGCTGGGACGAACCGGCATCCCTTTCAGTACAACCACCATAGCAACGACCGGCAAGCATGAACATACCTCCGCCTACCCTCACCCGTGAGCGCGTCGTACTGCTCCCACACGTACCCAGTCCGGACGTACTCCTGCGCGAGCGGTCAGCCGCGCCTCTTCCCTCCTCCCCCAATGCACGGGGCAGACGCACCTTGTGGACGTTGTCGATGATGTTCTTCCTGAGCTCCGCGTAGATCTGCTGCGCCTGCTGCCGGTACGGGCCCTCCAGCGCGGCATATTTCTGCCGGCGCGTCACGTTTTCAGTTAAATCGCAATGGCTATATAGACCACGAACGGAACGGGACGACGCACCTTGTGCAGCGACGCGAGCGCGAGGTAGTTCATCTGGATCCAGATCGGGCCCTTCCAGTAGTTCTCGCCCTGGCCGAACTCGGGGTGCGACGCGGACAGGCTGCGGAGGCCGTACGGCGACCAGAGGTGCTGCGGGTCGCGGAGGAGGTCGAGGATGGGCCCGAGGTGAGGCGAGTCGGACGGGAGGAGGCCGAGGAGGAACGGGAAGAGGGAGAGGTAGCCCTTGTGGCAGACGTGGTAGGACTCGTCTGCGGAAGGGCACGCGACCGTCAGCCAGAGAGCCGGAGGAGGAAGCCCGGGACGCGAAAACTCACCGTCGTCGTTCACGCCGACGTCACAGTACATCTGCTCTTCCTCGCTCCAGTGAAGGTCTGCAGAGCGTATCAGCGCTGGCGTCCCTCATGTCTAACATGGGGCTGCTCACCGTCGATGTTCGCAATCGTCGCCTTTGCGATCTCCTCAAACGCCGCCGCGTCGTCCACCTCGCCCACGAACTCCGCGATGTCCCGCATTGTCTGGGAGAAGAACGCCATCCACGAGATCAGGTCCAAGTGCAGCTCCCCCGCGTGCGGGGGGCCCCGAGGGTAGTCGTCCATCCCGCTCGTCAGCACGTGCTGCTGCGACCGCCCGCGCCAGCGGTACGCTTCGGTGCGCGAGCGCGCCTTGCGCCCGTACTGCTTGATCTGGCCGCGCTGTGTGCGCCGGAACCACTCGTAGTGGCGCTTGAGCGGCTTGTAGATCGCACGGAGGTAGTCGAGCGCGAGCTCGGGCTCGTCGAGGAACCGCCGGCCGGCGGAGGACGACGAACCCTCGGACGAGAGGGGAGTCTGGGAGCCCATGCCATAGTCCATGCCGAGGTCGGCCTCGGAGGGGCCCTTCTGCTGACGAAGACGGTCGATGAACGCGGTGACGGCCATGGTGAGCGTGGGCGGGTTGGCATAGCTGGGGACTTGGACTTGGAACTCGGGAGGGACGCGGCTACGAGCTTCCTCGCCGAGGATCTGCTCGCGGGCGACCCAGCCGTCTTCGTCGATTAAGTTGATCCAACTCTGAAGAATCTCTAGACTGGATGGGTAGGCATATCAGAATCGACGACATCGCGATACCGAGATACCAGTAACGAGATCTTACGTCAGGTCATTGTCGTATTGGCCAATGTGCAGGAGATGGAAGCCCTCATCCCTGTGCATGATGAATGGGTGTGTCTGAATCAGAGGCGCCTAGACATACCAGTAAAAGCCGCGGGGGAAGAAGCTCCTACTTGGAGTCGCCGTCAAGAGACTCTTGGGTTCGACTAAAGTGGGACCCTTCTTCTCTCCAGACTCAGCTGGATCACTATCGTCCTCCTGGTCCCATTCATATGCAAAGCCACGATCGAGGAGGGACGACCCATAGAAGTAGCCGACGCCACCAATCAGGTTGGAGGTGATAGCTTTGGAGAACTCTCGGAGAGACTCAGGGTCGGACGTTTGGTAGTTTGAGGGTATCGGGAGGACGGTGTCGAAGCGCTCGTTATACGAGGCAGAAAGTGCAGGAATGCCTACGTCCAAATCGGTTGCTAGGTGCGAGGACTGTCAGTCCCACCCGACGCGTTGCGAGAAGGTATGGGTGTTCCTTACAGCTCAGCTTCTGCTTGCCACTCTCAAAGAAGACGTCAAACTGGAACGGTCCGTCAAAGTGCTTCTGTACAGCGTAGAGATTGCTGCTACTGTAGATCTCGTCCGGTAACTGGAAAATGAAGGCCGGATCCGGGTATCCCCTCTGCGGATCAGTATATGACTTGATGATGTCCTGGGCATGCCTAATCATGGGGGCCTGGATGTACTCTGGTTGAACTCATTAGTCCGAGAGTCGACCCAAAGTCCCAGCAACACATGGACCTGCCTAGCGCTTTCCAGACCTCTCCTGGTGAAACTCGCAGCCCGAGAAGATGAGACTTCCCGGTCCGGGCATGAAACGCGTGCGCAAATTGACCCTCTGTGATGTAGACGTTGTTAGGGCCTTAAAAAAACAAACAATGAGGTCGACTCTGGCTTCATAAATACGTCCATTCTTACTATCCACAATTCGGATTGTGAAGTCGTCCAAGTCCGGTGTGAATCCCGTGAAGGCGACAGGACCCTCAATACCCTGCAGAATACGACTGAGCCTATATCTTGTTGGCGATATGCAGAACCATGACGCACATTCTCGTCTTCTTCGGTCTCCATGTCAATACCACCCATGCCTTCCAGTCCAACATAGAAAATGGGAGATACGCGCGAAGGTAGAGCTTAGGTTTCTTGTCAGAACGCGGTTCGGCGCGCGAATATATGTGTTTCGCTCACCATGATTGATAGGTTCTCCTTTAATCCTAGCTGCCCAACTGCCTCCATGTTCGCCACCAGGAACTTTGAGGAACTCGGTCGTGAGTTTGACATTATTGGGCGTGTCATGAATGACCTGCGCACCACCCTCGCGCGGGTCGTATTCTATCCATGAATAACCGTCCAAACCGTCACCCTGGTCGCATCCATGGCGCGTTCCTGATCCCAACCGCGTGCGTCAGTCCAGATGACAGCGGCATGGCAGAGGTGGCAGACGGACGCGAGATGGACTGGTAGTCTTGTGTGCCGAACCACATAAGCCCAGTCATGAGGGACTGAGAAACCTTGGGCCTCAGGCCGAAGTAGAGATTGGGTCGGTAGGTTCCCCAGAAGAGAGAATCAGAGTCGTTCCCTGGTTTTGCGAAGACCGAAGGGACCAATGGTAGCAGAGCCCAGAGTAGCCTCATCCTGAGTAGACCTGGACCAGGCCAGACACTCCAGTGTGAAACGGATGAAAGGTCAGATGGAGGCGAGAGAAGTTGTGTCTGATCCCCGCAAGTCGTTGAGCGAGTCGCATGCTTGATCGGACGTGGCACTCTCCGCCGCGCCTAGGATCTAATCTTATCTATTGAGCTATACATAAGTAGGCGAGAAGCTGTGCCCGTTGTATTGGGCCCAGGCCTTGCCCCTTCTCCTGAGGGCTAAGTACTTCTTGCCTCCACTTACTCGCCTGAATGGGCCCTTTGTATGCCATGGCTCTGAAGCCTAGTCCGAACGGTATTCAAAGTGCTGCAGCATCGCGGGAACTGAGACTGAAACGCACCGTTGCGGTGTATAACAGGAACTTCGATTGCGGTCCTGAGAAATGCCAGGACAAGGCGTACCGCCCATGCTATTGACATGCGGTACGACGCAGGCACACATATCCCCCCGTCCAACCGCTTCCTAGCTTGGCCTCCTTGATCTCTTACTCTGACCCCCCGCTTGAGCCGACCTTACGCAGGACGCAGAGTCGGCTGCCGCCATGAGCCATTCATTTGACGAACACGTTGCCATCTTCTGGGACTACGGTACGTTCCGCACCGTCCGACGCGCCCATGCGCCCCCTTCAATGGTCGTTTCCAGAGAACTGCGCACCTCCGACTAGCACACCCGGCTATGATGTTGTCAGCAATATACGTCAAGTCGCACACGAGTATGGCAGTGTGAAGCTGTTCAAGGCGTACCTTGAGCTTTCCGAACAGTCGTCCTCCAAGTCCATCGGTCTCCGCTCAGAACTGCAGTCGTGCGGGGTCTCATTGACTGACTGCCCTCACAATGGAAGGAAGGACGTAGCGGATAAGATGATGATTGGTATGTCTCGTCCATTCCATCATTCGCGGCAATCATCCATATTATATGTAGTCGACATGCTCACATACGCCATCGACAATCCGGCGCCGGCTACAATTGTCCTCATCTCCGGAGATCGAGATTTCGTCTATGCTGTGTCAGTCCTGCGCCTCCGCAGATACCGTGTTGTCTTAGTCGCACCCAACTGCGCCCACGCGAGTCTCAAGTCCCAAGCTTCGGCTGTCCTGAATTGGGAGACCGACATCATGGGCAAGACAAACCCTCGTCCCCAGACACTCGACGCACCCAATAGCTGTTCTGATGATGCTCCTCAGCGCTCCCCTAGGCGTACATCGTTTGGCAGTCAATTACCACATTTTACTGCAAAACATGCCCGTCGTCCTTCGTTCAAGACTAATACCCCCATTACCCCCGTCACTCCGGATACCGGTGGCGGTCAAGGCGATTCATTCTTTGGCGGACGACATCTGAGGAATCCCTCTATTGTCACTACGGTCGAGTGTTTCGTTGCGGACACCCATCTTCACGGACGCATGGAGTCAATCAGCACACAACCACCCATCCCAGACATAGTTGACTTCATACAAGACATCAAAGGGGCGGAACTTAGGCTACCGGCCCCAGATGATGAGGTACGTGCAGATACCGCAATAGTACTCCCAAGCTCATTCCGCATGCGCTCCCTCGCGAACGGTCGACTACCATCCAAATCAGCCCTCAGCCTACGTATCACACATTCTGCAGACGTCTGCTACTCTCCTGGCACCTGTCAGCGCCGCGAACCCGACTTCTGTAAGTAATGCACTTACTTTACCTGGTTCCTTGGGCTAGGTCGTTCACTGACGTTTCGCGTCTTGCAGGCACCCCCCTCTAGCCGAGACTCAACCAATGGCGCAGAGCCGGCCAGTGCGCCTCCTGATCGTCTCAATGCCCCACCTCTCATTGCCCCGGAGCCCATCGCTTTCCCGCGCCTTGCTTTTGAGGAATCAATCTTGCGCCCGGCGACTGTAGAGCCCTTGTCACGCGTCCCGAGCGAAAGCTCGCAGTCCTCTGTCTCGGGCTCGGCAGTGTCATCCTCCTCAGGTGATCTGTTGCGCACGCCTGATTATGTCTTGGCCGAGGCACTCGACGTTACGCCACCAACTCCTGCGCTGGACGTCGACGAATCTCCAATTACCCCGAATGCCGATCCTGTCCAGGCTCTTCCTCCGACAGCCCAGGAAGAGCCCTCCCCGCATTCCCCGCCCGTCGTTGTGGTAGAAATCACTGCGCCAGTGCCGCCCCCCGTTTCTTTCGCTCCGAACGCTGTACCTTCGTCAATCCCCCATTACTTCCACCCGCTCGTGAAAGCTCTGGAAGAGTCGCGCATGAGCGGTTCGCCACGGCCACTCCGGTCCTGGGTCGGCTTGAAGATCCCGCGTGGCATATACACTCAGGCGAAGGTGCCCAAGTTCAAGCAATATGCCGCTGCTGCGGAGCAGGCGGGCCTCGTCGAGCTAGGCGGCGTTCAGTCCAGCGCATGGATCTCGCTCCGCCCAGAGTGGTATGGGAAGATCCCCGTCCATCCATTCTCGTAAGGTGGATGTGCCGAGACAGTGAGGCACGCCGCGGGTCGGAGTGCCGTATATTTGTGATCTTGTATGCTCGTATGACACACGAGCGATTACTTCCCGGATTGCGGGTGAGAAGTGTGTCGCGTAGCTCTCACTCTATGTGTATTGGTTAGGACAGGAGGCGGCCCCCCAACGTATATCATTTATCCATGAACATGTACACTGCTACTACCCAATGTATCCCGTATTCAGTCTATCATTTGCCCCGCCCACGTCAAGACTCACCTTGGTGTCATCCTTGAGGTGTAATGTCCAGTGGGAGGCCCCCATATACTGATGAACTTCCAACTGATGGCTTAGCAAAGGGCAGTTGACGAGGAACGACCTCCGTGATCCGGCCCTCGCGTAGAATAGTCGACCGCGTACTACCGGGAGCGCCGGAAGGGTGAAAGTGCCCAGCTGGCAGCTTGAGCGCAAGGCGGACTCATATGCCACATTGACGACGGGATATGCTAACTATAGATGTCGTTTGTATATATTCGCTCGTCCTGACTGCTCCTACAGACGTAGAGGTCGGATAATGCATCTATGCTAAACCTTACACCTCTCCGAGTCCTCGCTGGTTTCCAGGCAGTACTCCTCTGGGTCGGCATCCATCTCCACCATGGCAAGTCCCTCGCAGCGTTCCTGAAGGCCATTGGTTTCACCCTCTCGCTTATGGATGGCCGAGACGTTGCCAGTGGGCAGTTGGAAAGAACAGTTCGTGGCCGCTACAGGCGAGCTCGCTCGAGCAGTGAGTGGCGAACGGCCGGCCGACCCGGCGGTTCACGTGCCCGGAAGCTCCGACGTTGATGTTGCCTTGGCTTGACCCAGGGTCTGACCCCAAGGGGTCTGACCTGGGTCAAGGAGGGGTCTGACCCGAGTCTGACCCAGCCGAGCACATGTCTGTTACGCAGTGCGTTCTGCTTCGAACGCGCGTCTCAGGTCGATCTGCTGCGTGGTCTCGCCAACCACGTGAAAATTCTACGGACATAAGTCCAATGTTCTCTCCTAGTACACGATGGGGGATTTCGCTGACAATTTAATTGCCCGAACAGTCGGTGGTCCCTGCTGATAATCTTCGAGGCTCTTCTGGACTAGCGGAGCAGATCAAACCCGACGTCAGATGCTGGCAACTGTCAATCATTAATTATAGTTCTACGTCCTGCTTCGACAGTCGGAGCCGTAAAGCCCCAAGCTGCCGCAGCCAGAAGCGTATCGGCGTAGCCGCGAGTGACTTGCTGTGTTGGCTACATGTGATGCCTGGTAGTACATGCGATGTACTAGAGCGGGCCTTATATGATCTAGAAAAACTGCGTGGAAAATGCTTTGAGGGTGCCGACTTTTGATTCGAGCACGGAAAACGAGGTGTCAGGAAGTACAGATGTGTTGTTGACATGCAGGGCCGTATGTCACCGCGTGGGCGCCTGCGCCGTGGCACGGTCGAAACAAACGGGTTTCCCTAAATAGGACATGAACGCCAACGTATGACTAGCGATTCGCTGTGAATCTCTGGGACCGTCTTAGCCGGACTACCACTGACAATTTGAGGCCACAAGGGGCGTCTTGGAGCGATGTGGGCGGTGTTGGCCCTTTGTCAGATGTCCGGCCAACTCAACGCTTTTCTCATGGGCTCCTCCAACGCACTCCATGCATGCGCATTCGGCGCGCTCTTACTCGCTAGCCCAAGCTCAGGGACAAGGAAGGTGAATTTGCTCTGCATATTGTTCTCTATCATAGCGATTGACAGTAGCGTGACCCAGGACAGTAGTTTGATGTTCCCTGCGCTGGTCCCGAACCCCTCTCGCAATCGAGAGATTACACCGCTCGTCCTTGGCGACGACTTATAAGAGTCCCCTTGAGACAAATTGGAGATGTACCTCCCAATTACTCTGCTCTACAGCCATGCTTACAGTAGTCAAGAAGGCCTGCAAGCATATTGTCAGGGCGCCTGACGAGGACGTCCCGGTTGTCTCTCCTCAGGATTGGGCTAGGAACTTCACTCGGGACCCCACGCAGCGGGTTCGTTCAATTTTTCGATGCGTTGTGATAAGTGGATTCATCTGCGTTACAGGCGACAGCATATGTCACCAGCCTCTTCCCTATCTTGGGTTGGATCACTCGCTATAGTGCGTAGTAGGAGCACAAATTGGTCTGTTCCGTCCACGTCCACCGCTGACCACGATCGGTTAGACTTCGGATGGTTCAGCGGAGATATCATCGCAGGTTTGACCGTTGGTATCGTGCTCGTCCCTCAGAGCATGTCGTATGCTCAGGTCTATCGGATCTCCTCTTGTAAGTTCAATCAATCTACTCACACAACTTGTAGATCGCGACGCTACCGCCGGAGTACGGTCTCTATTCCTCTTTTGTCGGCGTCTTGGTCTACTGCGTAAGTTGACGGCATACACAGCACTTCTCTTCTCCATGCTTCTGCTTCTCTTCATCGCGGTTGACACTAACTGTCCACGCACAGTTCTTCGCGACTTCGAAGGACGTCTCAATTGGACCGGTTGCCGTCATGTCTCTCACCGTCGCCCAGATCATCCGATACATTAACACGAGCTATCCCGACAAGTGGGGAGGTCCGCAGATCGCGACCACGGTTGCCTTCGTCTGCGGTTTCATCGTCCTCGGCATCGGTCTTCTTCGTCTGGGTTGGCTCGTCGAGTTCATTCCCGCGCCCGCTGTCAGCGGCTTCATGACAGGATCCGCGCTTAACATCGTGTCTGGCCAACTGCCTGGACTTATGGGGATCAGCGGCTTTGAGTGAGCTCACCGCGTGTTTTCCCTGAGAACGGAATACTGACGGTGTGCCTCCTAGTACCCGAGCGGCGACCTACGAAGTATTCATCAATATGCTCAAAGGCTTGCCTCGGACTAAGCTAGATGCTGCGTTCGGAATCACTGGTTTAGTTTCACTGTACTTCATTCGCTGGGCATGCGACCGACTCACCCGACGCTATCCCTCAAGAGGTGAGTTACGAATCTGCATGTAAGGGACCTTGGGCTAACATATGCCGGTGTCTGTAGCTCGGCTGTTTTTCTTCTTCTCCGTCTTCCGCAACGCCTTCGTTATCGTCGTCCTCACGATTGCATCCTGGCTGTACTGCAGAAGCCATGTCACAAACGGGAAGTACCCCATCAAGATCCTGCAAACCGTTCCCAGCGGTTTCAAGCATATTGGCCAGCCCACGATCGACCCAGAGCTTGTGAAGGCGCTCGCTCCCCAGCTCCCTGTCGCCACGATTATCCTATTCCTGGAGCACATTGCCATCTCCAAATGTAGGTCCTTTCCGCGTAGTGACCTGATTCTCCTCTCCCGTCTGACACCTGTGGACGGACTAGCATTTGGCAGGGTGAACGGTTACAAAATCAACCCCAACCAAGAGCTCATCGCCATCGGCGTAACGAACACTATCGGAACGCTCTTTGGCGCCTATCCCGCCACGGGATCCTTCTCGCGCTCCGCTCTGCAGTCGAAGTCAGGCGTGCGAAGTCCGGCATCGGGTCTCTTCAGTGCTATCGTGGTCATTGTCGCGCTGTACGGCCTCACACCGGCGTTCTTCTGGATCCCCAGCGCGGGCCTTTCCGCGGTCATCATACACGCTGTTGCCGACCTTGTCGCCTCGCCCAAACAAGTTTACTCCTTTTGGCGCGTCTCCCCTGTCGAGTTCGTCATCTGGTTCGCCTCCGTGCTCGTCACCGTCTTCGCTACCATCGAGGATGGTATCTACACTTCGGTCGCAGCCTCGTTGGCTCTGCTCCTTATCCGTATTGCACGTCCTCGCGGACAGTTCCTCGGCAGGGTAACGCTGCATAACACGAAGGAGTCCAGTTCTCGGGATGTGTACATCCCTCTGAAGCCGAATAAGTTCCTCATGAACTCCGAGGTGAAGGTTGTTCCTCCTTCTCCCGGCATTGTGGTGTACCGCTTCGAGGAAAACCTCCTATACCCCAATTCCTCCTTGGTGAACGACGCTATTGTGGACTACGTCAAAGTACATACCAAACGAGGGAAGGACATGGCAGGGGTCAAGGCAAGCGACAGGCCGTGGAACGATCCTGGCAAGAACTCCAACGTCGAGGCCGAGGATAATGAGTCGAAGCCCCTCCTTCATGCCGTTGTCCTGGACTTCTCCACAGTGTAAGCCCGTCTCTGTCTTTGTATACCTGCTCCGTGCTGACAGGGCCGGGTAGACCACATATAGATACTACTGGTATTCAGGCCTTGATCGACACTCGTATGGAAGTCGAGAGGTGGGCTGACCGTCCTATTGAGGTACGATGCCTATCGTTGCAGTACTTCCACAGGCTTACTTTGCGGGTGTAGTTTCACTTCGCTGCAGTTCTCTCCCCGTGGATTCGACGAGCCCTGATCGCTGGTGGATTCGGTGTCCGTAGCAAAAGTGGGTACACCCATTTCCACGAGGAAATTGCGCCGGTCACTCGGTATCACGATCAGTACATTGCGGACCCCGAGCATGTGGAACGCGTGGTAGATGTGGTCGGGAGAGTGGTCGATCCGGAAGCAGGCATGAGTAGCATCCAAATCAACACTGGCAGTACACGGTCCTCCAGCGAGGGCACGGTTCAATTCGTCCCGAACGGGTCCGGGTTGCTTATGCTGCCGGATACACCTTTCTTCCATTTGGACTTAGAGTCTGCCGTGAAGGCGGCTGAGAAGGGGCTGTCTCCGACACCGTCTATCCTCGATGCTGGATCAGTGAAGGGACCCGGAGGTGACTGAATCTCTGATAAATGTGCACCGTGTAATGTTATGAGTGTGTAATTCAACGATCTATGTATGCGATGTAATGACTATGATGTGACTGTAGCTATGAAGGCGATGGCGTGAGTTCCACCAAGATACATGATGGCAAGAGGCTCACAAGAGTGTGGATAGGCACCTCTAAGCGTCTGCTGTTGTCCACACCTTGAGTGTGTCATCAGCGTTCTCTATGGCTTGTATAAGTTTGTCGAGGCCCTCCCCGGTCTCGTCATCAAGCTCCTCTAGCGGCTCCACAGGTGCGTAAACGAGCTCGCTATTCAGCAACTCGCGAGCTACGCCTGGTGCGCTGAGCACGGACGTGAGCTTGTGCAAGGATGGCTGCGGGCACTTGAACTGTTCGAAGGTCAACAGTGGTTAGCTGGACTGCATTAGAGGCCAGACGAACCTCGACATATCGGCTCCCGTCCTCCTGGTCCTCCGTCTCAAAGTCTTCGGCGTCAGCGTCCAATGCGACTTCTACAAGCTTTTCGAGCCGAGCCTCAATGTCGTCTCCGGCGTCGAGGGAAACCTTGACGCGCCCTTCTCGCTTGAACAAATACTTCACATCCGCCATACGACCACTTCGCAGGTATGAGCCAACGAGGAGCGCAGATAATGCGCAGCTAGCACGCACCCATTGTCTTTGAGGATGCTATTCACGAACTTGATGGTGCGGTTGGGGTTATCCGACAAGCATTCTCTTCAAGGCCTCAGGATCCTGGAACTCTCAATAGCTCACAAACGCGGGACTCACACAATAATACCCACAGAACCCGGCCCCATGACCTCGAAGGTGAGGTGCGTGTCGCCCTTGTCCTTCCCGCCAGCAGCCTGCATTGCCTACGTCTACACGGAGCACGTAGAACATGGCTGACGAGCACGTACTTTCTTGAGGGCATTCTCAATGTTATCTTTGGGCACGCCCGCATCTTTAGCTCGCCTCAAAGCAGCTGCAAGAGAGTTATTTTGTTCAGGATCGGGGCTTCCACCATCTACGCGAATGACACTCGTGAGCAGGCGGGCTCGATGGGATGCGACGGGACGCACTTCGGACCGCGAGGACTATTTCCTAGACGCCGTGCTCAGCGTGGGTCTAGCGGTCTACATCTATGCTGGGCGACGTACCTTGTATGCTCTGCTGTACACCGCTCCCTTCTGGATGTCATTGATACCTTTCTTCTGTTTGATCTTCGACCACTGTGTGCGACAGGTCACCGCGTGTTGTAGCATTGAACACATGCAGACAAACGAACTTTGTTATGGCCTGAGAGGCATTGCGCTGAAGTGTGTAAACTCCGTATGGACAAGGGTCCAAGCCTGAGCTGTCGGAAAGCAAGCATGAAGTTGAAAGACGAAGTGCGAAGATAGGCGCTCCTCAGCTGTTGGTGGCAACCCTAACCTACCCTCAGCATATTCTCTGTCGCGTGGCTGCCAGCTGGCAAGCACAACAGCCTTGAGCGAGACTTCTTCGTTACATTCCAGAGCTCGCGTATACCTACAACCTCAATCCCCACTGTCAGTCAGCAGATGACACAGTTTAGCAGTGAGCTGCAACATTAGAGTGTATTTGCACGGTGATTTATCGAGGTGGCGCTGGTGAAAACGGGGCGCCACCCGATGAAAACCGTGGCGGATTCCTCACCGTAGGGCTGCTAGCGCCGGCCCCACCTGGTGAAAACTCAATGAGGGCGGGTAATGAAAACGCTAATAATTATCCGTGCAAATACACTCTATTCACTCTTAGTTACAGGTGTACCATCGCCATGGAAGCTTCCCATTCCAAGCCAGACGCACCAACAGCCGTACAAATGGATTTGGAACGTCACATAATAAACCCACGGACACCCTCTTTTCCTATGCCTGGAACGTATGCTATAATTCAGATCAACCTCCATGAACTACCAAAGCTTCACAATGCCCTTGCGTCCCTCAATCTCGAAGATGTGCCTAGGGGAAAGAAGTATCTTGTCTGCATGGGCGATGTTGGTGTTTCCATGGCTTCCTTAATTAGCACCTGATTGAATCCTCGCCGGTAGCCTATAGAACTGCCTCTTGTTGACTCTCAGTGGTGTCGCTATTCAGTCAGCTTCATAGGAAACACACTGAGGCCAGAGGAACCAGAGGCCGGAATTGAGTCGAATATGGTGATCCCAATTTTCCCATGCGCTGTAGATGGGCGCCCTCAGGTTACCCCCTCTCCTCCGCTCCCATTCCGAGATTGCTACCATTGGTATGGATTCGAAATGGATGTCTGTGCTCTCGGAAGGCGCGACCGATATCCACTCAATACTGCGCCTCAACTGAGTGTTGCAGACAAGATGAAGATTGACAAAACTTTCGCTTCTGACCGCAGGTGCATTTTCAGCCACCAGCAGAACATTCAGGCCACTTCGGCCCAACCTATCTCTTCCACCCCTCCTCCAAGCGAGGAACCTCGCTCAGACGGCGGGATTGAAGCAGATCCATGAGTCCGCATCTGCAGGCTCCGACAGATCGTCATACCTGGACCTTCCGGGGCTCCTAGGGTTTGATCGGAACACCGACCTCCGTTTAGCATCACAAGTTCCACTTGTCAAGCTATGGCCAGACCCCGAAAACCACCTGTCTGCGGAGACCATTCCAGATCCAAGGGGCTTTCAGAAGGAAGCTCAGAATGCCCAGTTGTAGGTGTCAACAAGCATATGTCTTCGCAGTGGATCACGTATGCATCTACAGGATACTTAACGAAGCAATCGCTCGACTGGACGAATCCAGACAAAGCCTCGGTGACTCGTCGGCTTCCGCATCGCATACAGGAAGTGTGCTGGATGCACCAACTCAAGAGGTCGCACTTGGGCAGACCGGTGGTTTGGGGCCTACCGAAGGGGTGCTTGGCGGGGAGACTAGCCGCAAACGTATGAGCTTATTACTGCAACCTCTTCAAGGCTTACTCATTGACTATGCCTTTAAGCATCCAATCGGGAGCACAACAGGCGTAGCCTGTTCCATAGACTGCGGAACACAGTAGACAGGCTCGTCTCGCGTCGTACTGAATGAGTATTTGACTTGGTCAGTCTATCTACATATTGGTGATTTGTACTCGCTAGGTGAGAGCGCTGCCGACACAGCACCCCTCAGTACATTTCAGCTCGACAGTACGTGAGCGCGCCTTGGGGTGGCCATGTACCTAGCCTGCCATGACCGCTAGCACCTCCGGAGAAGCCAATTGAGCGTATCCTACCCTGTTAATTGTTCTATATGATCCTCAGTCATACCTCTGTCTGTGAGCAACGCTCCAAAGTCAAAGATCGGCGGGCGCTGGGACCACAGTTGTTACACTGAGATTTCTGTTGGAGTTTCGGGTTCAAGTCGGCGAGTGGGCGGCAGCGCCGCGCTAAGCCGCGCACTGCCAAACCGGACGCATACTTGGATCGCCGTGAACATTCTCGCCCGCGCACGGTCCAAATGAGCAAGGTGAATGACAGGTGTTACTGATACACAAAGCAAAGGTGACATGTAAAGACGTACAAATTCTAACTTACGGCATTAGATCGTGAGCATTGGGTTGATAAAAGCTTTCCAATACGATGTCGACGTTTCGATGAGTCCCACGACCAAATAAAATCACTCCACGACATCCGTCTTCCCCTCTGGAGACTTCGACCAGCTAGACCGGTCTGACCTGTTCGACGACTGTCCGAGACCCGCCTCCGCAGCACGCACCGCAGCGGTGAGGTCGAAGTGGAAGAAGGGCGTGTCTTGCGGCACGATCGGCGACTCTGTTTCCTTCGTGGTCTCCTCAATCGCCTCCAGATCGGGAGCTTTATGACGTTCGCTGAATTCTGTGCGGCCTCCGCGGTAGGGCACCACAGGGGCGATCTCGATGGGCACCCGGGACGAAGGCGTGCCGATCCCGAAACCGCCCGCGATCAATGCTCGGCGGATCCAAGGCGAGAGAATGGTAGCGAAGTGGAACTGCGGGATGACTAGTATCAGTAGAGGGCGTCAACGACGAGACATGCATGAAGGACTGACCTCGACAGGCTTGTCCGCCCACCTCTCCACCTCGTTTCTGGTGTCGATGAGAGATTGAATACCAGTGGTGTCAATATGCGACCTGAGTACGCGGGTCGTGAGCACAACGTTAGGATCAAACATGCGCCTGACACTCACACTCCAGAGAAGTCGAGCACGATCGCGTGAAGAAGCGGCTTCGCGAGGTTCTCCGCGGTTTCGTCCTGGCCAGGCTTCGGACCAGGATCGTTCCACGGCCTGTCGCTCATCCTAATCTGGCTCACGTCAATGCCGCGGCGCGTGTGCTTCTTGACGTGGTCGACAAGGGCGTCGTTAAGCAGGGACTGGTTCGGGTAGAGCACGCTCTCCTCGAAACGGTACACAATGACTCCGGGCGGCGGAGGGACGACCTTGACTGGCGCCAGAACGCCGGGCCGCTCCTGGAGAGGCACGTACACGTCACGAACTTCGGAGGAGTTCTGGTCCTCATGGAGGGTAACTTTACCGAGGAAGTATCCGCGAGGGCGCGCAATGCGGACTAGGAGGAGGGCGGCAGACGCGCAGATGGACGTGTAGATACCGTTCTCGATGGTCGAGAAGACGGTGACAAGAACCGCGGCCGCCCAGATGACGAACTCGATCGGAGAGACGCGCCAGAACGAGTAAACCTGCTTGGGAGTCGCAACCAAGTCCGCGACGGCGTGGATAATGACGGCGGAGAGACCGGCGGAGGGAATCCAGAAGAAGGCGGGAGTCAAACCGTAGAGGGCGACGACGACGACGATGGCTGTCAGGATACCCGCGGCAGGGGTACGCACACCAGACTTCGATTTGAGGGCCGAACGCGAGAACGACCCAGTAGCGGGGTAAGCACCGAAGACCGTGCCAATAGTGTTAGTAACACCAATGGCGATCAGCTCCTGGTTGGGGTTAATCTTGTATCCGTTCAATCGACCGAAAGCTACATGTTCTATAAGCATATATGACCGTGATGACTTCAAGGATAGACTTACACTTCGAGATGGCAATATGTTCCAGCAACAAGATGATGGTCGCTACTGGAATCTCACTGGCCATAGCTGAGAGGAGATCCGGGTCGATGACGGGGGGGCCGACATGCTGGAAGCCGCGGGGAACTTTCTGCAAGATCTTGATGGGATATTTGCCGGCCTTGTTCTTGCGATGTCTGCAGTACAGCCAAGATGCAATCGTCAGGACGACGACCACAAAGGCATTCCGGAACACCGAAATGAAGAAGAACAATCGCTCTGGAGGCAAATACGTGAGGCGATGCAGGAGGTACTCGCTAGTGAATGTACATACGCCTGCGAGGGTAGCGGGCCCCAAAGTAATCGCAGCTCCATTTCATGAGGTATAGGCAGACGAGACCAGTGATACCGAATGCGGCGTCAAGCTTCGTCACTGGTAAGAACTTAAGACTGTTGATAATGACCTTGTACGTCGCCGCACGAGTGCTGATAGAAGGCGTCAACAAGACTGCAAAGTTGAAGGGTATCGTCCAAAAAACGTACTCAAAACCAGTCTCCCCAAGCAGACCAGGAACTTGACCTGCTACAATGTTGATTGCCGAGCCCGTCATGAAGCCGCTGACGGCGGGGAGGGGGATGAACTCCACCAGCCAACCAAGGCGTAGGATACCGATCCCCAGCACAATGAAACCGCAAATGAAGGCGGTCGTGGTGGCAATCTGTGGGCCGGACCACACACCTGGGTGGTGCTCGTTGACATGCGCGATGATACGAGATACCGTGAGCGACATGACCGCAACCGGACCGATCGAAACATCCTTGGACGTAGCGAACAACTGTGACAGCACATAGCGCACGTCAAAAACCGGCCTATCAAAGAAGCGGCGCAGCAGCCAAGAAAGCACGCACGCAGTAGATCAGTACACCCACGAAGGCAGAGTAAAGGCCGTATTGTGTGGGAAGAGTTGCAATCTGCGTCCGACATGCCAGGTCAACGGCGCGATCATACGAGGAAGCAGCGAACGCAAAAGTATATACCTGAGCATAGGACATGCTCTGAGGCACGACGACCATGCCTACAGTGAGACCGGCGACAACATCGCCGTAAAGCCACCCGAAGTCTAGACGCCAGCTCAGTACGGACTGATAGAATGCAAGCATCCGGAGTACTTACTGTATCGGGTGATCCATCCTAAGATGGGGAAGAGCGACTCCACATATCTGAGAGCCTAGATGCGCGGACGGTAAGGGTAAGGCAGAACACGCGGCAGAAGAGAAGCGAGATTGACTAACATCACGCGCTGGGTTTTGAGATATGTTGCGGACCCAATCCTTGACTGTGACCACGGGGACAGGGTCTTCAGGCCGACCGATGACGCGCTTTCCGTAAGTCTTGGCCTTCGCGAAGGTCGACGAGGAGGCCATCGCGGGTCGAAGGGCGAGTGGGGAAAGTGATTGCTGGTTAGCGTCTGTGTGTGAACTTATAGCTTGGGCAGCTGTGTCGAGCGGCGGAGATGAGAATTACCCAGGAACGGTTTTCGAGTGACTAGGGATGTCGCAAGGTCCCTGATAGATGACAGAAGCTAATCTCCAAGCGTCTGCAATGTTTACGAGAGACTGCGTCGGGTACTGTGGGACGGGCGTGTACTCGGCTCTGGAGTTGGTTCGTGGAGCGCGTCGAGGAGCGTCTTGTCCGTGGCGGGAACGCCCAGCTGTTCAAGGGGCTCCGATGTCGTCAAAACGGACAAGCACCGACTGCCGCCTGTATTATACATTTCTCTCATGCTTGATTTCGGAAAGATGATGGCGGCCGTAGGGCAGGAAAACATTGAGCCCAGTCTGCGCTCAGAAGCACGCCATTATCCATCCTTCTTGCGCATATTCACGTGACTTGCCATTTGCGTTGCCTGCACAGCTTTGTAGTATACCCCTGGCCCTTTCCAGTCACTTTCACCCACAAAGACCGGTCCGGACTTTACGATCTTTACTTATACATGTACTTCGGAAACCCACACAGTACTGGCCCTCATTCACCTTCGCGGAAACCTGCACACATAGCGTTACAGCATGAGTTTACCTGGCGCTTGACCGTTACACAGCCGGGTGCTATGCATGCAATGTGGAGCCTCTGTTGCGCGATTGCTATATGTATATGTAATTTAGGCCACAGCTAGGATGTATGCTGCTCAAAGAGGCTAACCACCCTTAGGCCAAACGTGGTAGGCGGAGATGTCCCGATTGATCCACACCTCGCTCCCGTTCCTAGCGTCGATCAGTCGCGATGGTCTAAGATTCCTCTCCCGGTGAACCAAAAGTCACTGAATGGCTTCGAGCCACACTGGCACCGACAAGGCGGAGGTCAACGTGGACTGTACTCAGTGCTGTCTCCCCTGTCCCGATACAGTCTGTAACCATTCCTTCAGACGCGTTCATTGCACTTCTGGTATAAGACATGATGCAAACTATCTTCATTCTGTCGCGCATACATACCTTTCAATCAATATGCCAAGGACGACATGCACCCTTCTTCTCCGTTATTTTTGATGAGAACTGGTGAGAGTCGAATAGGGGTGCTCAATTATGGTGGCCACTGGCCACTGGTCGCGTTGAGAGGCAATTGATGCGGACCGATGGGCTAGCCGAGACTAGCCCCTCAACTCGTCTTCGAAAGCTCTGCAGCGATGCTGACACTGGTCCTCCCGCACAAAGTCCCTCGACATGGGTGTCAATCGACGCGGACGGCTCTCGTCTTCAACATTCTCGAACCTCAGGGTTTTCGCTGTCTTGGTGAGCACGCTAGATCGATAGAATGGGAAGGACCACGAAGCCCGACGTTGCTCGCTTGCCAGATGCGGGACACTCGGCTAGTTCATCAGTCCCCATCAATTGCATCTCAACACGACCAGTGGCCAGTGGTCACCATAATTGAGCACCCCTAATGACATCATTCCAGATTATCAGAACTTCACACATCTCGCGCAAGGGCAAGTTGCCATTGTGGGAACATATCGGGCAATTAGACCCCCAACAGCGCCCACAAAATACCACCTCCTCGCCATCTGCCTGCTCCTGCATGGACTATGTCCTCCGTAGCTTTCTAGACGGCGAGTATCTGACTCTACTTTCAGGAAGAATATTTCCACAACATCGAGCGATAGAGTCAATACAAGCCGCAGAACGGGCTTGCTTGTGATGTGAATCCCGAAGATACACTGAAAGCTTTCCCAACCATCCTGCGGGGCTTTAGCGGGCGCAAGGTCCGGAGAGCGTGCTGTTCAGGGCGGTGGGGGTTTGCTCGTGCGCAAAGAACCGCACTTGAAGGCGCGGGACGACGGAATGTGCGAATGTCCGTGGGACCCATAGTGTCCGAAGGTCCGGTTGAATACTGTACCATGTGGAGGGGGACCTGACAAGGTACCGAACGAGCTGGGAGCAATACTGACTCCAAAGGCTAAGCAGATGAAGAGATCGAGAATAGTTTACAGAACCAAGCAAGCGCAAGCCCAAGAGACGATATCGATGTACCTGGTGATCTGTATATTCGTAATGGCCTCGCAATGCCCTCCGAGGATTGCATCTTCAGACATCTGTCCTCCATCGGTGGAACAAAGCCCGGGCAAAAGGATCGGGGCAGAAACGACCCGACACGATTTTGACATCGCATACGACAATGGAGCCGATCGGTTCATGGATGTATGCGAAGCACAGACGAACTGGGAGTCCATGACAGGTCGGAAAGTAGGTTGTTCATGCACCGTACACCTGTTGGTACATCGGTACTGAGAGGACCGCGTCCGATCATGGCCCTTCAGTAGCGCATTGCAACCTTTGCTCGTCGTTGGGAAGACGATTATTTTCTTGGATATGCCTGGCGGAAAGCATGCAGGGCTAGATCACGAAATGGAGTAGGGGAAACAAACCATCATGATGCACCATTGAATCCGCTACGGAGTGCGCCGTTAGTATGTGCCGTTGATGTATATGAGACAACAACGAGTAGAATGACCCAGGGTCCACATGAGAGAACGCCAGGCAATAGGGGACCGTAGGCTCCTAGCACCCGTCCATCACGTCAGCCAGAAAGTACTCGTCAATTCACCAAAACCATCTTACGAAGGTATAGAATATCATGCCGTAATCCGGAGGATGCTTGCAGATGCTGCTGCAAGACCTACGAGAGCCTGCTAGTTGTATTTGTGACGGACGAAGTCGGGGCAGGTAAACGCAACAAAACGTGTTCGCAGGATCGATCCACGACGAACGTTTGATTACCAAACAGTCTGCGCAGCAACAGGCAGCCTGGAATGCCCTGACCATGAGGATTGGCCTTCCGAATTGACTGCAAGGTGTGTGGGGCCCCGCAGGTAGTTAGTAGTACGCCATGTACGTCTCTCTGCGCGGGAGCTATCGTAAGAGCGAAGGTCGTTGATCGGAAGTACACGACGAATGGCTAGTCGACCACTCGTCCGCGCTACTGCTTCGTCCGAGACTCGCACGGTGAGTAATATCAGATTCCACGTTTCCGTGGAGTACTGCGATCCCATGTGGTACCATGCTTGCGGTAGGGATGGTGGAAGGGGGAGGGGCTTCCCAGGTGGGGGTTAGGCGGAGAGAGACGCGTCTTTCAGGACGGCGTGTGTGGCCGGATAAGGAAGCCCACGTGGCGGGGGTCTGGCGGAAGAGAACAAACGGGCGGACAAGTGACCGCCAGCCTTGATTTCCTTCTCGTTTGCCTCGGACACGCCCCCTGTACATTTCCGTTTCACCAGCCAACCGTTCATCTCATCTCTAGACTCAGTGCGCAGTGCGCCTGCGTCACGACCACGACCACGACCTCCACACCTTAGCATACGACCTCCATTATGGCACTCCCCTACAAGACTACCCCACTCGTTGCGCCCGGGCACACGCGACCTGTCACGCACCTATCATTCTCTCCTCTTCAAGACGATGGGACGTACGTGCTGATCTCCAGCTGCAAAGATGGCAATCCTATGCTTCGCGAGTGGACCGGAGACTGGATTGGAACCTTCATCGGACATAAGGGCGCGGTTTGGAGTAGCAAGCTTTCCCCGGATACTTCTCGAGCGGCATCCGGCAGCGCAGACTTCACAGCGTAAGTCTTTTCGATCGTATTCGCACGTTCGTTGTGCGGAATGCCTTCTTCGTGACCGTTCCCTGAACCGATCTTCTTCTCCCGCACAGCAAAATCTGGGACACGTACACGGGCGAATGTCTCCACTCCTTCCCGCACAATCACATCGTCCGAAGCGTGGCCCTCTCGCCAACTTCGTCTCACCTGCTCACCGGCGGGCAGGAGAAGAAGGTGCGGATGTTCGATCTCGGTCGTCCCGACGCCGAGCCGGACTTCCTCGTCGATAGCGCCAGTGCTCTCTCGCATGAAGGCACAATCAAGAGTGTAGTGTGGGTAGGGGACCACACGGGCGTAACAGCAGGGGAGGACGGACTGATCAAGTAAGATCCTCCTCATACCCTGTGCCGCGAACATACTTCCAACATGTGCATCATCATGACAGGTGGTGGGATCTCCGGACGCGGACCATCTCGACAAGTCTGACCTTCCCGGGCCCGATCACGTCGATGGAGCTTTCGCCGCAGACGAATAGGATTGTCGTAACCTCGGGCAAGACCGTCTCATTCATCCCGGCGCTGCTGAATGGACCTCAAACGCACAGCCTGACGCTTCCGTATGCGCCATCTTCCGCGTCTATCCACCCAATCCTGCAGGATCGCTTCGTCACGGGCAGCACCAGCGACGAGTGGGTCCGCATACACGACGTTACGGGTGAAGAACGTGAAGTGCTTAAGGGCCACCATGGTCCTGTCCACTGTGTCGAGTTCAGTCCTGATGGTGAGATGTTCGCGAGCGGAAGTGGTGAGTTCGTCCTCCGATCCTACGTGTCTGACTGCGCTGTCATGTTGCCCGCGTATCCGAACGGTCTCTTGCTGACATGCGCCTTTGCAGAGGACGGCACAATCCGGCTCTGGCAAACTACCCCAGGGAAGAGCTATGGACTCTGGCAGGGCGTGCCCGCAAACGGCGGGTGAGATGTTCGCTATGCACTCGACCGCATCAGACGTCATGAACCACTCTAATGCTATATTCCGCCCGTTATTTTGTTGTAGGAGGTAAAGCAATATGTCGTCGGGAGGTCTTGGCGCAGGGGTAAGGTAGCAATGTCTGTACTAAGGATGCTGTCGCACTTGTGCTGTCATGATGATATGTATCGGTTGTCTCTAACCGAGGTCTTTCAAACAACAGGTGTGACGGGGATCTGTTGAGAACATGCCTATCGATTCACGAAGCGAAGGGAATACAAGGAGCGAGGCCAACGTGGCGGCAATGTCATATTAGAAGCGTAATAAAGTCCCATTCCTGCCGTACAGTTTGCTTCATGGTCGTTCTACAGAGAACAGGAAACTGAACGTGTTGTTACACAGATAAATGAAGTACAAGCACATACCGTTCTCGAAGGGGATTTTGTGATGTATAGTTTGCCACTGGTCGGCATCGTCGTTTGCGCCATTGTCTGCCCCAAAGAAACTAATGGGCTTTAGGTGGAATCGAGTGCACGCACATTGGTGAAGTTGAACCATCTGGAGCCGGTGTGGCGGGGTTCACACATGTCGGGACTGGGAATATCATTCGCCAACGACGGTGTGCGTTCCCGAGTGACAGAGATACGGCGGGAACAGTGCGTTATGCCCAAGTGACAAGTTGGGATATCTAATATACATCTGAATATTGACACGTGTCGTACGCACGTCAAGGAACACAGGAAACCTGATCATAGAAGAACATATATGACAGCGCTCCGCACAGAACGTGGTCGTCGAATTCGAGCAGGCCCGGGCCCCTTGGTGCTGCGGTAGGGTCATGTTGCCAGAAACCCTAATTCCGCAAGTTTATGAGGATCTGCCTCTACAGAATGCGTGAGTTACCCACCGTACCCTTTGACTATGACTTCTCCCTCCAACTCCAGCGAGAAGGAAGTTCGATCTGAGCTTGCCGCGCGTTTTGCTCGTTCATCGACCATCGAAGAGAAAATAGAAGCGCTCAGGTCCCTGCCTCGTCCTGATGCGACGACGTCACTGCATTCTAGGGACAACAACCCATCTAACCCCCTAGGCGACTCCGGTATTGTACCTGATGAGCTCGTCGACCATCTGAATGCAAACCCCGAGGACCGGAAATCTTTCATTGCTGCTGTCGTAGCGGATGTGTTAGGCTCCGGTGGTGGAACTTTCGCGGTGGACTACACCATCCGCGAGCAACCGTGCGCCAATGTCGATGCAACGCGCCAAATTGTTTGCAACAATCGTGGGTTCCTCATTTGCTCTAAGTGCAAGTTGGTGAGCTACTGCTCCAAAGTAAGTGTTCTCGCAACTCGTCCTTCCTATCGGACTAATGGGTATGCAGGCCTGTCAAAAGTCCCACTGGAAAGTACACAGACAAGGCAAGATTTGTGACTATTATAGCATCATCCGACTGATTGCCAACGTTTCCGGCCATAAAGACTGTAGGGATCCCATTCTCTCTGTGGACTGGGAACCCATATGGTCTTTGGAGCGGCGATCTCCGACATTCATCTCGAATGATGTTCGTGGTTCTTGTGATCCTCACTTCTTAGGACATGCCTTGTACGCTCTTGCCTCTCTACCCCTCTCCATCGGTGAGCTGATGGGATCAATAAATTGTTCCTCAGATGGGGCAATGTGCCGGCCGTGGATGCCCTCAATCTTGGTTATAATGAGGGGGATGCTTCTGGAAAAGACTTCTCGATCGCCTTCCCTGGTCAGTCATTTTGTCTGCATGCGAACCAACAGCTAGTCTGACTGCGGGCAATATGTGTCACGGACGCTGGACAGACGCCCCTTTTTGCCGCCCATTCCCCTCCCCTTGACGCCCACCTTCCATTCTCGGACCATTTCCTTTCTTAGCCCATCCCAGTTTGGACACTGTAGATACGTTCCCACTGCCACATGCTCCGTTCCCGTGATCACCATGCTCTTGCCTTTTCTTTCTCGCCCTTTGTTCTCCCTTTGTCATCTTCACTGCCTCGCTCTCGCGCCTTGTCTTTGGTTGCTAAGCAGCCCTTCTAGTATATAA